ATAAATAATACAATATAGCTTAGAAAATATACGTTTTAATTAGCCGCATCCTCTTTGTATTATCTTGATAACTATTAAAATTATATTTCACATTACCAAAAAAAAAAACTATTAAAATTAGAAAAGAGAAATTTTAGAAGCAATTTTACCTGTAAACCCATATTCTTATTCCTCCAGCGATTAGTTTCTTATATATGGGCAAAACCGAGGGCTTTGAATCAGCCCAATTATCAAAAATATCATCGCTGTTTCACGCCAAACCAAATGGAGATTATAACTTAATTATATGTGAAAGTAATTTAAAGAGATAAGTAAATGAATAAGAGAAGTAGTACTTGCAAATGCTCCAGTTCTTAAGATGAATACCATCACTTGCATGAAGAGCTTTCTGAACATCTGCTCTGTTGAAGAACACTCTTGAGTAATCATCCAAACACGGGTCGTATCCACCCATCATCCTCGGCATCTATTGAGAGTTTCCAAGTAAGTTTTTGTCGTAACACACAATGTGACATATGTCTAGACGAGTAAATGAGTCTTAGTTACCATCTTGGAGTTGGCAAGATTAGTCTTGAATCCGGTCGAATTAAGCGTGGAGCTTTTAATACATGGAGGAGTGTAGAGACTGTACTGATCAATTTGGTGATATTGTTTAACTATTTCATCTACGCCTTCTTTGCATTCTCTAACATCCCAAGTAGTGTTACTACTGAAATTGCAAGTCCTGCTTATAACCCCATAGGTCTCGTCTGATATCACGGCATGGCTCCATGCATAATCCACATATCCTTTCCAATCTTCGGCATCCGATGTTTCAGGATTTCCAAGCTAACCACCGAGAGAAGAAAAATAAGAATATATCATCAAACTTTCAAGAATTTATATAAAAAACTTTACACATAATGTATTGAATATTATTATCCAGAATCTCACATTTGAAGTAAGATAACATATCAATAAATACAAGTATTTCGAACATTTTACGTTATTTTTATATTTTTTATGGGCATCAAAGGTATGAAAATGCAAATCTTACTAAACAAAAAAAAACACCAAAACCTTGAGCTATGATTTATATTGGTAAGAAACTGAATAATGTAAATTTGTTTATTTTTATAGTAAAACGTATTGAGATGTAAAATGTCCATAAACATCAATGAAACTTGGTGTCCATGTTTAAGTACATGTAGAGTAAAAGAAACGAACATACCAAAATTCCTTTAAGCTTGATGTGACGCGATGAGTTATCCTTGTTCTTGTCATAAACGACCTCTGCAAGCTCGGGTATGTACTTTCCTGCATGGTGTTTTTTATAAGATTAAAACCATAGACGATGATCATGTAATGTTTTTTTAGGTTAAATTAGTCTAAACCTGCATAGCTCTCTCCTGCTATGTAGAAATCGTTTCCTCTGTACGCTGGGAATCTCTCTAACCACTTTTGGATAAAGGCGTATGCGTCCCTTGCTGTTGAAAGTCGTGGCGTTCATGAAGACATGCCATAGTAATGTGTGATTAGGATTTGGTTGTATACCCTAAAAATAATGCAAATTTCTATCTATTTGACGTCAAAGATAAAAAAAAAATAGACAAACTATAGTATAATGTATAAATAATTACTAAAATTTACAAACCAAATCAAATAATTACTAAAATGTAGTAAAGGTAAATCAAATCATAAATACTAAAATATGTAAATATATAAGCTGTGCTCTTTTTAGGGATAACGCATAATTTAATCTATACATTAAACCATAAATATATACATACATACTTACCTGTAAAATCGTCGCCAATTTTTTTATAGTCAGTAGTTGTGTTTGAATAAGAAAACCCAACACCAACGGGAGATTCTAGAAACAAAATGTTGGCCTCTGCATCATCAAATTCAAATTCAAATTGAAACACATCTATTAACATGTATATAATTAAGAATCCCACACTGGAAAAGCAAATATATACAAACAAAAATCAAGAAAAACAAACACTGCAATAAGTATAGCAATACATTGTTTCTCTCCCAGCCACAGTTATCGAGAAACCCTCTTCAACCAAAGCTTCCGACGCCGGTGGAGGTGCTTATCGCCGGCGTCGGGATCTGACTCCTCCGATCAACATGTTCTGGTTTCTACTTACCTCGTCAATCATTTTAGTCCTTTTTGTATCTTTGCAAGCTTTGTTTCAACCCTCGCCAATCCTCTCTCCCCCACTGCTCTTTAACGACAACCAAGAAACCAACGACAGAGGTCGAAGTTGGGGTTCGGCGTTTGCCCTCCCAGTTTACCTTTTGCTCGTTCAACCTTCCACTCCCAGGTCCAGAGCTAATCCAATTACCCTAGAAGAAATCTCACACCGGACTTTGTTGATGACAGGAGGTATATCTCTTGGACCGTCAGATGTGCCATGTCCGGTGGAGACGTCGACGGCGCACGGCGAGTTTTTCTTATGGGCGACGCTTTCCAATTTTAGAAAGATTTCTCACCTTTGGAGTCCAGCCTCAGTTCCGCTCCATGGCCACCGTCTGCTTCCGCTGCTCTTCCCGCCGGAGTTTACCAGGCGCCGCTTCCACTTCACATCTTGGCCAGCAAAGGAGCAGCTAGGGTTTCCTTTATTGGGCCTTGTCTCCAATTTCGGTCCATTAGCCTATGAAAGGCCCAAGTCCATAAGCTCTTATCATGCTTCTAATGCTAATAAGCCCAGGTCTAGTTCTATAATTCCCTTGTTAAATCTACAACAATTTTTGTGTCGATTTTCTTATCTCTGTGGCCGAAGACTCCATGAGAGTGAAGGATTACCCTCATTGTTACGGTTTAACTTCTATCAATTTCAAATCCTGGTTTTAGTTTCTCTTATGGTTTTGTGGTATGTTTACAAAAGCCTGAAGTTTAACACAACCCTCTCCAACACCTCCACTGCCCCAATAAATCCCAATTCTCACCCATCGCCTCAAGGATTGAAGCTCGGATCTGTTCTCAGTTTTCACTGTCAAACCGGCTACACGCTTTGTGTGGAATTCCTTAACCTCCATGGCTACGTGCTTCATGTGAGGGAGGACCCACCTGCTCTGTTACGGTTTTGCATCAATCTTGTAAGTGTCCGGGTTATAGCTTCATCTAGAGTCTTGAGTTATGTTTCTATGAGTTTGATGGCCTTTGATCCATTGCTCCTAAACCTTCTCATGCTGGCGAGAAACCCAATTTGTGTCTCCTCCGTGGAACACTCTTTCAAAAGCTCGGATGCATTTGTTGCAAGAGCCCTCTATGACCATTTTTTGGTCGAGGATTTCGCGAAGCACGTCTTCAAGGTCGAATCCGCTATGGTCCCAAATGATTTTTCAAAGATTGTAAGCTTCTCAAAGTTGATCATCCTTTTGGAAAACTCATGGAACCTTTATCTTTATTTTCATTGTATTTTCTTTGATTCAAGCTGTTTGAACTTCCCTCTTTTGAGGTTTTAGATGAATGAAAGTTCTTGTTTGACCAAAAAAAAAAAAAAATACAAACAAAAATCATTTAATAATTTATTGGCATTTGAGATTAAAAGTGAAGTCCATAAACTTTGGCATATATGTAGTAGTTATCTATATAGTGATTGTAAGAAACATCATACCTTATATATATTGATTTAATGAGGAACTTAAACTATTTAGGGTATTCAGAAAATAAAATGTTGTATACCATGATTCCATGCGTATGGATTAAATTTAAGGCTGTTTCCTTTGTTATCCACAAGAAATGGACCAATTTCTTGTATTGCTCCGTAACCCACAGAAGAACATCCAGGGCCTATACTTCAGAAAAAAACAAAAAAACAACTCTAAGTCTCAACTAAACAAAGCACATTTTAAGAAAATTATCTTTGCAAATGAACATAACTATGTGTCCTTAGAAGCCAAATGTTGAGTTTGATTACCTCCATTGAGCCACAGCACTAGAGGCTTCTGATTCGGGAGACTCATAGCCTCGAAAAACCAATAAAACAAAGCCCTACCATTTTTTCTATCAACCGGGACATAACCGGCATAATGTCTGAAGTTCACACTAGATTGACCAGGCAAATCTGTAACGAGATCACGCATCGCGTCTTGGCTATCAGATGAAACAGACATGGAAAGAGTGCAAAGACATAGCGCAATCATCAAATTGTAAAAGTTCATTTTTGTATGACTCATTAGGGAGTGAGATGTGAGATTATGAAAAAGAGAGAACAAGAAATAATGAGGTGGTTGATAGATAAGGCTTGGATTTTCATCTAATTTATACGAAAAGATTGTGTGATTTGATTTTGTCTGTTGCCTTTGGTTTTTTAAGAAGGAAATTAACTTGTTGATAAAAAAAAAGGAAATTAACTTATTAGGTAGATATGGACGAATAGTCCTTTTGGGCAATGAATACATTAATTATCCTATAATAATGTTAGTCAACTATGTATTTAATTTTAAGAAACTAAATTTTCTAAACTAACTGTCCATTAAATATGAATCAAGATACATCATGTCATTGATTTCTCATTTTCCTTTTCAATTCGTATATTGAATGTTGTTGTCTTGTTGACAAGGAAAAAAAAAACATATTTAACTTACATATGTACATTGGTGAGAAATATTACAATCGTAAGTGGACAACTAAAAAAAAAAAAAAAATGTTGACTTCATCATATCGTATACTTCACTACTCAAGGATGAATTATCGATTTTTATCCAATATTTGGTATTTTATAGAGTCGTATATAAAAGATTTTTTTTTTTTAAAGAATAGAGTCATATATGAATATAAGGAAGTATATTATTACAATCATAAACGTGGTTGAAATAAGTTAATTGACACATGTAAGTTGTGCTAGCATTACATATGAGTTCAAAACTTACCCTACCGTGAACACGAAAAGGTAAAACATAAACTTGAATAGTGTAACATTAACATAACATATGATCTTCTTCTGAGTAAACTCATCCTTATTTTTCTATTCTGAATTTAGCCACAGTTTCTTAAAATTTTGCTTCTAAGCCTGTCGCGATGAAGGAGGAGGAACTCCATTGAGGAAGGCAGAAAAAAACGCGAGGGATTCACTAGGTTTAAAGGAAGGCACATCATGTCCTGCTCCTCTAAACGTTGCAAACGTTAAACCTTCGTATTCTTGAAACCATCCACTTACCTATACAATCGTAAGAAGAAGAAAAAATCTATGAACTCAAAACACAGTTTATAAAACAATATAATTAATGAAATAACATTGTTTAGTAACATGCATATATGTGGAATGTGATTATTGACTAAGACCTGTTTCTCATGATACCATGGCCTCCAAGCTGTCTTGATTTGTAATTCCAATTTATTGATGCAGTACCTTGTCGAGAGTACGGGAACTCTTCCGTCAGTATCGCCACTGAATCACCACATATAAAACTTTTTAGTGTAGCCAATTATTCATAATGAGAAATAGATGGAAATTCATTTTTCTTGGGTGGCAAGACACTAAGTTTATAACATATGTTGCAGTCCCATTGCTCATATATTTTGCCGAAAATATAAACTAAAGTTTACCTGTAAACCCAAACTCTAAATCCTCCAGCAATTAGTTTCTTATATATAGGCAGCACCGATGGTTTTGAATCAGTCCAGTTCCAATGGTTTAGGATATCGCCGTTGCAAATTGTCCAGTTCTTGAGATGAACACCATCAGACACGTGAAGAGCTTTCTGAACATCAGCTCGGTTGTAGAATACTTTTGCGTAATCGTCCATACACGGGTCAAATCCATCGAACAGCCTCGGTATCTGTATAAGAGCTTTAGGTAAGTTCTTGTAGGCAAAACACACAAATAATGAATATATAGTATCATTAGTTTACCGTCTTGGAATTGGCGTAGGAATCAAGCTTTGATGAATGGTGCATGCATATAGGAGTGTAGAGACTGAACTGATCGATCTCTTTGTATTGTTTGAGTATTTCATCTACACCATCTTTGCAATCTTTAACCTCCCAAGTAGTGTCACTTGTGAAATTGCAACTCCTTTTTATGACTCTATATGTCTCATCTGATATCACTGCGTGGCTCCACGCGTAATCCACCCATCCTGTCCAATCTTCCGCGTATGATGTCAACGGATTTCCAAGCTGTGTCCATAGAAAAAAAAAAATCTTATCATGTCTTCATATAGATTCATAATGTGTTTCTTTAGTATTTATGACAATCAAACATCAACTATAAGATTGGTTATTTTGATGTACATTTTTTTAGTGTTGTATAAGAGATTCTATGATATACTTTTTTTTTTGGTTGATTCTATAATATAATTAACCAAAAGTGTTATAATTAATACCAAAATTCCCATTAAATTAATGTGAAGTGACAAATTGTCCTTGTGTTCCTTGTTCTTGTCGTAAATAACCTCCGCAAGCTCGGGTATGTATTTTCCTGTCCATACGCGTGATTGTTTATGTAACTCAAAATATGGATAAAACAATCTTAGATGAAGAATTATATAATCTTGATTTTCATACGAAAATTAATTAAAACCTGCATAGCTCTCTCCTGCGATAAAGAACTTGTTTTCTTTGTAAGCTGGGAATCTCACAAACCACTTTTGGAGAAAAGCGTACGAGTCCCTCGCTGTTTAATGTAAAACAATCAATCCACGTCAAAACAAGAACAAGAATATAAAGATTAATAACTTTACACGTTACATAAAATATAACATAATTCATATAAAATTACATGTAAAGTCATCGCCGAGTTTTCTATAATCACTACTTGTGTTTGAATACGAAAACCCAACACCAGCCGGAGATTCAAGAAACAATACGTTGGCCTCTGCAGAACCAAATTCAACTCAATTAGTCTTGTTTTTATTATATATGTTGATGAATGATAGTGATAATGATGATGATGGACATGAAAAATACAATAACATACCTTTATTCCATGCATAGGGGTTGGACTTAATATTGTTTCCTTTGTTATCAACGAGAAATGGACCAATCTCTTGTGTTGCACCGTATCCAACAGAAGAACAGCCAGGACCTATATATTACTTATGCACAATGACAAATCCAAATGTGTCCAAAATATTTATACGTAATTGAATATATGTATTTGAGTTTGATTACCTCCATTGAGCCATAGTACTAAAGGCTTCACGTTGGGATGAGTCATAGCTTCGAAGAACCAATAAAACAAAGCCCTACCGTTGGGTTCATTAACCGTGACATAACCGGCGTAATGTCTAAAGCTCACTATTGGTTGGCCAGGAAAGTTTGTCACGAGATCTATCATTGCTTCTGGACTATCAGATGAAACAAAAGCTAAAAGAGTGTAAAGACACAAAGCAATTGACACATTAAGAATGTTCATAGTTTGATAGTACTACGGATTTTGAATGGAGAGATAGGGAGAAGTAGTGAGAGATGGTCTCACTGTAGAGAAAAAATGACGTAATGAGATATGAGATGGATGATGAACATATAAAGGCTTTAATTTGATGTGCATCTATTTATAAGGAAAGATCGAGACTCTATATAAAACGAATGTTGTGTATTATTCTAAATATGAATGTATAAAAAAATTCAAGAAAACTACCGTTATTAATTAATCTAATATTGTAAATATCTTATGATTTTCTTAGTGCGCATATTGAAATTTAACCTGATATAAATTGGAGTTTATGTCGACTAATTGATACCAAAAGTTAGAAATATTTTCAGAAAAAATTAGTCTCTTTACTTTATCTTCTTCCCAAAATTTAACAACTAAATGCCCATATGTTTATTTTATATTTACAGGGTTTTCTATCAAATAGTCATATCGTAAAAGTTGACAAAAATACAAGCGACATGTAGGCTTAACATATCATTAATAAAAAATTAATAACACTATGTTTATTCTTCTAGTATTATGATCCATTATCACATAACAGACAAATCTTAGGTTAAACCAATCTTAAGTATTTTAATGTAATTATGAATCTTTGAATAGGCATGACTTTTATGGAGCGGATGAAGCACTTTCTCTCATTGATGCGTTTCAAAACTTTTAAATCACGAAATGGCAAAAAGTTAGTCAACTTTATCGTCGTATTTAAATCAGCAAAAATACGGGAATTGGTTATCCCCACAATAGCATAACTGCATAAGAAAATAAACTTTTATATATATGTGGAATATGACACACCAATATTAATAGTTAGTGTATAGCTTATGATATAAACTGCATAAGATAAACCTTAAGATAGTAACTATCAACAAATTATTGTAGTTATGACCTTATGATTCTATAAACTAGAGTCCACGTACGTAGTTTAGATAACGAAAACACAACCAAAAAGAGAAAAGGTAATATGATCGTGGTAGTAAAATTTTACATACGTAATTAACTAATGAGCTCCCACAACGAGAAAAGAAAACGACATGGCACGTAGAAGAATTGATTTAAAAACAGTTCGATGACATCATTTGTTTATAATAGAATAAGACCTTCGATATATATTTAAAATGAACTTTTTGGTTATGCAGTCTTATATTATCTTTTCCACATAGAATTCTTTAGTTGGTGAATATCCCACTAAATCGTAACTTATAGGTTATATTTGGTCTTTATTTAGAATGCGTGCATTAATGCATATAAAAGCAACATCATTGATGGAATCTTAACAAGTATCTTAGCTTAAGATACTTGTTAAGATTCCATCAATAATAGTCTAATAGTTCTTCTAACATCTGAGAGAACACAGGCGTGGATACCTTTTTAACTAATCTTGTTTTATCCAAGAACATTTTAATAGTCTTCATATGATTTATAATGCTATGTTGTCTTTATATTTACTTTAAAGCAAATTGAATAATGAGAGCATTGAATTTGTGACAAAATGATGACCAACCCCTTCTATTAGTCATCACTATGGAAGTCCACTTACTGTTTGTATATGAGATTCAGCTCGCTTAAACAGAGCTAGCTCACTAGAGAATATCTAAGAATGTTCTACAAAGGTTATAGTTCTCATTCATCGATTTGACCGGTCTAGTGTTTGCGTTATGTGACTAGAGATGTGACATAACTTGGATTCTCTATATAACATACGTTCTAAGACCACCAATAATGTTGGCCTTAAGTAGTATAACTTTACAAGTCTTCACATGTCACGTATCACTCTGTCTGGAAAAGAGAAAATGATGTGGAAGTGTTCAAGCGAACGACCCGAAGCCGATAATTAGAATATTTTCAATGACATCAAATTCATGGAATTGATAAGACAGTTTTTGCTTTATCCTTTTTTTTTTTTTCCTTCATAGTGACCCTTTTTTCATATCACTTACAAAGGAGATTAGAGTCTTTAAGAAGTAAGCTATTATAACTCGTCGGACCAATCACATTGTGACCTTACAATGAGAAATTCATGCTCCTATATTGTCTTCTTCCATTAACTGTCAATAATACCTAAAGTCTAAATGGAACCAATAATCAAATCTTATCAGCTCTCTATTTTTTTTTTTATCCCAAACCCCAAATTGTATTTTCTAATCTTTCTTTTCAACGAACCTGTAGTCAGTTAAATGAAGAGTCTCTTCCTCCTAAAACTGCACAAAAACCGACAAAAATCCTATCATATGTACCCGTCTGCATCGGCCAAAAAAAATAGAGCTCGAAGCTCGCTTCTTATGAATCCGCCATGAACAAATAGCTCAAGTCCTCTACTGTGAGGTGAGACTGCCGGCTTCCCTTTTCATCTTCTCCAAACGCAGAGGCTACCATCATTCTCTTCTTTTGCTGCATCCACAAAACGTGTTCAGAGATCAAAATTGAAATGGCTTGAAGCTTATAGAGAAATTAATGAGAATCAAATCAAACTAATTATACCTGAAGGGCCAATATCCTATCTTCGACTGTATCTTTTACTGTGAAGCGAACCACTGTTACTGGTCGTGTTTGTCCTATACGATGTGCTCTATCAATTGCTTGATCCTCGGTTGTTGGGTTCCACCACAAGTCCAGCATCAGAACATGACAAGCTGCCACCATGTTTAGTCCTAGACTAGCAGCCTTAAGAGACATAATCATTACAGTCACCTAAAAGGTAAAAATTGCCAAAAAAGACATCATCGTTTTGTTACCGCAGACAGCAAGTCAACCCAAGTCCTTATATTTAATTAGAGGCTATGTAACTTACCTCAGGAAGAGTGTTAAAATCTTGTACTGCTTTATCTCGAGCAGCAACTGACATTGTTCCATCGAGCCTTCTATACTGAATACGCGAACTTACAAGAGAAGCTTCAAGTAGGTCCAGCATCTTTGTCCATTGGGAAAAAACAATGGCTTTTTCTCTAGCTACCTTAATCGGAACACCAAGGCTAATAACCTCACTCTTAACGGGTGTTACAGGAACACATGAGTCCTCTCTGTTTTGAGAGATCTGATTTGTGTCTGTCAAATCCAGCAGTTTGGGCAGTGATTTTAAGATCTCTAGAGCGGCCTTGATTTTGGATGAACCATATGGATGATCTTCAGAACTGCCAAGGCTCTCAAAATGATTCGAAGTGACAATATCCTGCATGCCAGACTTAGCATCGTCCAATCTTGTTTTGGAAGACAATGAGGAGATGGTGAGTGTGACATCGCAGTTTGCAAAGGGGCAGTGATTATTATCACCTGTAAGGCGCTCATAAATGCACTGTTTACAGAAAACATGACCACAGACTGAAACAACAGCATCATCAGGTGCATCCTGTGGATAAAGGAGGATACAATTAAAAACTAATTGCAAAGACCACATGTTGCCAGTGAAGCTTCTGACTTAAGAGGATCTTAGATTGCAGGATATAGATTAAAGAGATAGAATCTTACATTGCAGATACCACAAATTGCCAGTGAAGCTTCTGGAAAAATCTGCTTCTTAGCTAATCCAACAGAGGATTCCCAGGTAAAACTGTAATCACCATTCACGAGAAGAGGGTGATCACAAGCTTGACGAAGGCGCAAGAGCATCAACAAGATATTTACATAATTTTGCTTCACTGTTCCGGCTTCTTCATATTCCTGATATAAGAGAAAATTTTTTTTTTGTTGTAAATACATACAATGGCAAATGCATGCATACAACCAATTTATTCATGGGACATTGCATGTATTACGGATATATATTAAGTTCATATCCCATACCCTGAATTGACTACGAGATTCGGCCTCTAATTTGGAGTAGAAATCACGTTCCTCTACAGTGAAATCCACTTTTCTCAACTCAATGGACTTCGGAGGCAAAGAGATTATTGGTTTCCCATCAAGATGTGAACCTAATGTGTTTACCAGTTAGAAACAATTAAACCCCTCAAATAAAAATTTGAAGCAATTTAGATTCATTATCAGTAGGCTGACCTTTAGTTCGGCGAAGCATCACAGTTTTAAGGATAGCCTGCAGCTTCTGATATCCTTTCACTGGGTTCCTAGTTATAGGGTTCTTAATAGTGCTACAGAACAATACGTAGGAAGAATAAGGATCATATTTGAGAAACCGAAAGTAGCTGTAGAGGTCATCGATTGAATTCTGAATTGGAGTCCCTGATAAACACCACCTCCGTTTAGCACGAAGTCCCCAGCATGCTCTTGCAACTTGGGTTTTGTAATTCTTAATGCTCTGTGCCTCATCGAGAACAACTCTAAACCATGAAACTTTCGCAAGAGGACCAGACTGAAATTCAGCCTGTTTCTTCTTCTTTGAGACTTTCTTCTTAGAATCAGGAGGATATTTTCTTTTCTTGTTTGAGCAAAAGCCAGTAGTTGCAGATCCACCATCATGTACCCCACCCTTCTCTTCGTCCTCATCATCTACAAGAGGCTGTTTCGGCACTTCCATACTTACGATAGAAAATGTGGTAACAACAACATCATATTTTGCCAACTCATGAGGATCTTTGGTTCTGCTAGACCCATGGTATACCAGAACAGAGAGATTTGCTTCACTAGTCACTTTCTTATGTAATTCATCAGCCCACTGCCGCATAACACTAGTGGGACAGACAATAAGCGTTCCAGCAGCTGGCCTTCCCCTCACTTTACCCACACTATCTCCAGCAACTATGTTTTCAAAATGTTCGCTTTTTACACTGGGTTTTAAAGGCGCACATTCTCCACTCTCGCTTTCAAGGTCAAAAATTTCTTTCTTCGTACTTTCTTCACATGCTTGGGCAGGTTTAGACCGTTCCTTCAGTATAAGAGCTATAGTGGAAACTGTCTTCCCAAGTCCCTGCAAAAGATAATTATATCAGGAAATTTGAGACTATTAAGCGTAAATGTTTCTTAACTATTGACAACAGAAGACAAAAATAACCTGATCATCAGCAAGAATTCCTCCCGAACAGGGGAAGCCACTTGTTTCCTTCTGGGCCATCCAAGACAATGCAATTCGCTGTTCATGAGTAAGATACAGTTAAGTTGAAACATAAAAATAATATCAACTCACATTAGCCAAATCGTTCAACCATTAAGTTGGAAAATAACATTAACTTAAAAAATTCCATTTCTCATTTTTGGGCCAAATCATCTTCAGGCATACAATACATTAATAAAGTACATCTCTCTTTTAGTTTCTACACCTTGTGTTTTGAACGTCTACAGGGAATGTTATAATTTTAATTAATACATACATACCTGATGTCTCATAAGCGGGACTGTCAAGACACCATCAGGCGGACTTGCTTCAGAATTAGGCTGAGAGAGATCCTGTAAAATCAGACAATGTTATTAGACCTAAAGAGTCCCAAAAAAATCCAAGAATAAAGGTTACTACGGAGCTATCATTTATTGCATATCTAACTCATGACACATACAATAACAGGAACCTTCTAGTACCATTATAGCCCCATGCAATATTCGCAACTTAATCATGCATAGGGTTACAAAATCAGATATTCGATACACATATATGTATCCGCATATCAGCAAAAACTAAGGTGTTGGTAATGGTATGGTGCCTGGGGGATACAATAGAAAATTAGACAACACGCCTAACCTGCAATGCAGCTTGAAAGATCATATTTTCTTTATTTGACTGAAGCTTCAGGCCTCCAGGTTGATGAAAATTATTACCAATTGTAGAATATTCTGAAGAAACCACTGGGTTTATCATAGCTTGAGGTCGAGGTGGGATAGGTCGAGGTGGGATAGGTCGAGGTGGGATTGCCGATTGGCAATTAGTTTCTATTATGCAGATGTCAGAATCATCATCACTATCAGATATCAATTCTGAAGAATGGCTTTGAACTGATTCAAAGCAGGCATTTGAGAAATTAGAATCAAAGCTCCTTGGTTGAATATGTTCATCGTCTCCTTGATGTATTTGAAAATCTAAATGTTCATTGCTTTGTGTCACTGGGCTGGGATCTTCTGCTACATATTGCATACATGCATCTGAATCATAAAAATTACTGGAGCTTCTGTTGCCACTGTCCTGGCTAGGGAAAGCAGTTTGTGGTGCCATATATGAGTATCCTTTTTCAATATCTGTTTGGTAGGAGACTGCACAACTTGATGCACCAGACCACCAATGATTGGTTTCTTCAGGTGCATATGCATCGTCCCTGATACTATATTCCCCTGGAACTGAACTGTAGACCACTTTCTCTGACTCAGCCTCTGGTTTAGCAGTCAAATGAACAGCTTTGTTATCCTGAAAACTGCTTGAACAATTATCAGGCCGGTCAAGATCATTATCAGCTAAATGACTGTCGAAATTGTTGTGCAGTTCACCACAGGCAGGAGAAGCTGAAGGATAACTTTCACACTTGAAACTGATCCCTCTTGCACTAGAAAAATCAATGGCAGGTTTCCTTTCTAAAGATCCATTGTCTACTCTCCCATGTCTATCAAAAGTCATCCGGCTGGCACCATCTGACTGAGACTCACTAACTCCACTCTCAATATCATTTACAGCTTCTTCTTCTTTATTGGGAAAGAGCTGAAACGAAAAATTCTGGACAAAATTGGGGGTATGTTCTGAAAAGGATGCACCACTTGTATTGTAGCAGTCTTGTGCAGAAGAGACATAGTTATCCCCACTGTCACTGAGAGAATTGGAGTTATTAAAAAATCCCGACATGACAGAGGAGGTATGATTGGCTCCCAAACCCGCTCCATATCCAGACTCGTCATCAAAATATGGAATCATCATTGTGGAGCTGGTCGATGTAACTGCAATTTGATGTAACAAAAAATGAGGAACATGGAAATTAGCAACAGATAGATGAGTAGTGTCAAAATTTACAAAAATAACCTGAACATTTAGTAGATAAGGTGCATACATTTGGAATCAATAATCTTGTCATCCTGCTTCGAAACAGTGTCAACGTCACAATTCACTGGATTGAATGCCACATTGCCATCATGATCAGAGAAACTAGACGATATACTACAACTAGTCATCTCAGATTGAGAAACTCCACATGTTTCCACAGGCTGCTCACCTTGGCTTAACGAAAACCAATCTTTAAGACTTGCAGAACAAGTATAAGCAGGTGAAGGACTTAGCCCAGGTTCCAGTTTCATTTGTTCATCGAATGAGCCTGACACCCCAGTCCCTGGTTGCGAGGCTCCTAAGCTATATGAATCCCGAGAAGAAAACCAATCATCCGTCTGAGATCCTAATCAAGAAACAAACATAACCATAAAAAATCCAAATGATTGTTAATACTAATTACAAGTCTATGTAACAACAACAGAACCGTTTACAAAAACTAACCATTTTGCAACTGTGAATGCTTGAGCTCGTCAGCAGATGAACCAGCTGGTGATAAATTATCTTGGCTAGCCTAAAAGTAGTAACTCTCACGGTTAGAATAAATAAATCAAAATATAACAATCCCACAAATCCAAAACTTAAGTGTCATTAAGAGTTAAAACCTGTTAATCACTCATACAATAGAATTCAAATCAATGTTAAAACACACAAATCCTCAATTCCTAGTTCTATGAACAAACGAAGCTAAATCAAAACCATGTCCGTTGAAACAATTGTAAAATCGAAAGCTACCTCAGCAGAAAGAGGCTTCTCATCTAGAATCCGGTAAAGAGTTTCGATATCAATAGCATCGTCATCATCATCAAACGCAAAAGCACCATCACAATCATCACCGGGCAAATCATCTCCAACCCCAAACACTGAACCTTCCTCACCCATCATGAACCCTAACCCGAGAAAGACGAAGCAAACCCTAAATCGGAAAATAAAAACCAAAAAGTCAGGGAATTCACCACCGGAGAAAACCCAAATCGAATTGAGAGAAGTTGGGGAAATCACGGAAGCGTAGATCCAGGGATATGGGTTTGTTTGAAATTTGTGAAAATTGGGTATTGAAGAAGAAGAAGGAGAAAAGCACGGAATTTTCCAGGAAAGGTGTAGAGAGCAGTTGGGTATTGATAGAAATAAAAAAAAAACGCGACTTTTCTCGCGCCGGTGGCTTCTTTTTATTGCCTTCTTCTTCTTCTTCTCTCTTTTGGCTTTCTTCGAATTGGAAAAGGTAAAACAAAACATATGCCACAAGAGAGAGAAGAGACTTCTGCTTAAATAAGGAACGGTCGAAGACATTTTTTTGTCATTTTTTTTTTCTTTCTCTTTTTAAATTATGTTTTTATTATTTTAATATTTCTTATTACTGTATATGCGCCGTCATCTTTTTTGTTAAAGCAAATCACAATTTAACAACTTTAAGTCATGGAGATTTGTGTTTCCAAAAAAAAAAGTCATGGAGATTTTTTTCTCTAATCATAATTCAATCAAATTTATGGTGGAAAAATATTAATTTATTTTGTTTCTTTTTATTTGTGAGAAAGAAACAATGTATTAGAGTTCACACATAATTTATTATGGTGGAAAAATATTAATGTATTAGAGTTCACACATAATTTAAAATAGGAGACTTTTGACATAAAATGAAAAATCTTAACTAAGAAGATAAGAATTTCATTAACTTTTTAAGAAGAAAGTTTTGATATTTTTTTTAGAAACCAAACTATAACAGACGAATCAAAATACGAAACGTGGAGAAATTTTTACCACTTAATGACGATTTAGATGATTTATCATGTGATCCAGCTAATAGTAAAATTAAAATTTTGGCTTATCACTCCAATTAATTTGATTAGATAAGGCAAAATATGTTTGACTATATAAGGACCTTATTAACTTTTTGGTCATATTTTTCAACATAACAAATATTAATATTTTCTTAAACGATAAATTTTCTATGTTTACACTTAAATTTCCTAGCTTAAATCTATTAACACAAGTGGCATAGTTATCTCCCTATAAATTTAGAGAATTTTCTTTATTTTAAATTTATTGTTAAATTATATTTACAGAAAAAAAAATAGTGTCTTTACAACTAAAGCATCATATAGTTTAATAACTTTGAAAGGAAAACAAATTTGATAAGAAAAAAATACTCAACTCTAGATTGGAACTAGAGTTGAAGTCCTTCGTCATAATATCGATCACCTATTAGTTGACTCGGTTTTTCCGCAAAAGGTTGCAAAAACCTCAACCTAACAAAACTAAATATGAACCAAACCACACAACGGATAATAAAAACCCAAGTAAAAATATATGGGAGGTTAAAGCAATGACAATAGTATTTAGTGAAACAGTTGCTAGCCCTAAAACAAGGCTTGTTTTATACCAGATCCCCATTTTTGATCCCATGCAATAAGTCTCTGCGAACACATAAGTCAACGATTTTTGTAGATAGTTTGATGACAAAAGAGCTTGCCCATTATAATACACATTTCCAATCTTGTCATGTGATATAAAAAGCCTTTGATTATACAGAATTAGGAAGTCATCGAAATAAACCAAATAAAGATTGAGACCCAAGTCGTCCTCGTCTAGCTTCTTCACTAAGTTCTTCCAAATCAACTGAGAAAAAAATAAAAAGTATTTAAAACATAAAGTGGTCCATTGGTTCTTTGTTGGTCAACTAGAAGACCTCAAACTATGTTATCGATCCTTTGTCGTATTGCGGGGTTCAACATAAAACAGCCATGTGCAAGGAAAAAACATGTTTTGGGACTTTAGTTTTCAGATGCAACTACTTAAACTAAACATATTGTAAGATGGGAAGATACTATATTGCACGACAGTATCGTTTAAGGTGTGTAACTTAATTATTGATTTTAATTAAAAAAATATAAAACCAACTATAATATATATGTAACTAAAAAAACAAGGTGGCAGTAGTATAGTTTTCTAGTAAATACGAGTTTGCGAAAGAGACAACAATTTCTATTTTTTTTGGCTCAACATATGTATATTTTCACAATAGAGTTTAGCGAAATGACGTCGTTTTAATTTAGAAAACAAAATAAAAAAGAATTATAATTTTTTGGATAGCTGAGATAGTGAAAAGATCGAAAAGAGAGAGTGGTGTGTGGCAAAACACTGATTTAAGAAACTCGAAAATTGTTAAAACGACGTGGTTTTGTTCGTTTCATATGTCTTATCGTAGCCATTTTATTGAATGAATCATCGTCGTTAAACGGTTAGTAAACCTTATTTCGGAAAATATTAAAATCGGCTTATTTTATATAATTAAACTTATGTAGGCCATTGTATTGTAATTGTATTGTATCAAAAGTTAAGGCACAAAAATGCTGCTCCGAAATAGTTTGAGCCATTATCTAGGCCATTTTCCCCATTTTACAACAGTGTTCCGAACCATATTATCCGGTTTACAAATAACCAAAGCCAGAAGACAAACCGAGTCGGATCCCATGATAATTTAAACCGGATCGGTTCATCAACGGTTTCTTGAACCCGATCTCTTCTCTATCGAAAACCTCGATATTTTTATTTTCTCTCTAATCAGATTGTAGAATTAGGGAAGAGACTTTCGCAAGCAATCTATAAGCAAAATCGATCTTCAAATCTCCGTCTTCTTTGCCAGAATCTTTCACAGTCAATCTCCACCAGATTCTCCACTTCTCCAGGTACATCTTTCCCGGATAGATTTTCCAAGAAACTTACTCTCTCTATCTTTCTTAGAACTACGGTTCCTGTACTGTTTTTGGGATCAAAGCTTCATTTTTGATCTCTATCTCCTCGAAAATTCGATTTATTTTGAAATATCTCTGATCGGAGTGTGTTTTTGAACACACAGGTAATACTTTGTATTGAATGAGTTAGATTTTTATGATGGGAGTCACACTGGCGTGCTAATGTCATTGTTTCGGATTTTTGTTAATCAGCTTGAAGAAGACGACGAAGATATGGTAATCTTTTGTTTCTTACGAGTCTAAATTGTGTTCTCTGATCTAAATTGTTGATGGGTTTTTGGAAAAATTGAGTCTTTATGTTGGGGGTTATTTTGAGTCACAGGCTACTTCGAAGAAAGTGATCACACGTGAAGAATGGGAGAAGAAATTGAATGCTGTAAAGCTTAGGAAAGAAGATATGAATACTTTGGTGATGAATTTTCTTGTGACTGAAGGATATGTAGAAGCTGCTGAGAAGTTCCAAAGGGAGTCTGGAACCAAACGTATCCTTTTTTGTGTGTTTTTTTTTCTTTCACTGTTTTGTTTGTGGAACTTGTGAGTTTGATGTTTAGGTTATCTACTCCTTTTGAATTTCCTTAATGGGTAAACAGCAGAGATAGATCTTGCTACCATTACAGAACGAATGGCTGTTAAAAAGGCTGTTCAAAACGGAAATGTCGAGGATGCGATTGAAAAAGTGAATGATTTGAATCCTGAGGTACATACATTGCTTCTTCATATTCATATTTTTCTCTCCTTGTGTGAATGGTTGCCTTTCACTTTTCCTATATACTAATAAGTCAAAATCTGAGTCTTCTTTGAACCGGTGCTTGCAGATACTAGACACAAATCCCGAGCTGTTTTTTCACCTTCAGCAGCAAAGGTTGATAGAACTAATTCGTCAAGGGAAGACCGAAGAGGCCTTGGAGTTTGCTCAAGAGGAGCTTGCACCACGTGGTGAAGAAAACGTAAGTCTTTGTATTTCACTTTGTGTCTGTATTTTACTTAGACTTCTCTTGTTGAAGATGGTGTTTTCCATGTGAAACATCTATATATTGCTAATTGACTGCACAAAATACCTGTTTTTAAGTGTTCTAGTGTTGCTGAAACATCGTTCTTACAATTTATTGATTCTTTCTGTAGCAAGCGTTTCTGGAAGAATTGGAAAAAACTGTAGCCTTACTTGTTTTTGAAGATGCCTCTAATTGCCCAGTTAAAGAGCTTCTTGACCTTTCTCACCGCCTTAAGACAGCAAGTGAAGTAAATGCAGCGATTCTTACAAGCCAGAGCCATGAAAAAGGTAGCTTTCGCTGTTTTAGTGGTTGTAGTTTAGTAGCCACAGAAATGATATTATCTCGAGCATCATTCATTTTCAATCTAAAGATTCAGAGTCTACATAACAAACTAGAATATTACATTCATTACTTCATCATCAACATGTGTTATTCAAATTCATCCTGAAACTTTCCAGTTTCCTCGATGGTTGATATACCAACTCAATGTTTATGAACAAACAGATCCCAAACTTCCAAGCTTGTTGAAGATGCTGATTTGGGCTCAAAATCAACTGGATGAGAAAGCAGTGTATCCTCACATAAATGATTTGTCTACTGGTCAGCTCGAAGACCCATCAGAATGATTCTGTGCTTCTTTCAGCAAATGAAAAACAGCAGCGAAAAGGAACAATCAGTGGTGCCCTTCTCTTCCCGCAATCTCAATAACTAAGATTCATATGCTTTCTGGTTTCCCTTTTCTTCTGCATCAGGATTTGTTGGACCCGCAATCATTAGGATATGTGGAGGGGGAACGTAAGCTGTTGTAGGCAATGAATTACTCTAGTCAAATGTTCTTATGGTCATCAACATATTTTCCCATGACTCTCTGCATATGTGCATTTGATTTGAATTAAGTTATCGACCTTGTTTGGATCTTTGGGCGTTCGTTTTGAGGAATTTTTAATTCCGAAAGGTTCGAATTTGTAAACAAGCGAGATGGCTTATTCATCACATGTATTTTAGATGAATAAATGATCAACTTGGCAAGGTTCTTTACTTACCTAGAAACTTCATGGCCTATTGAATTGTGTGATAGTTACAACTGAAATGGAGAATCTCTAAGGATGTCCTCCGCCAATGTCGAAGTTCACTGAGTAGTTCAAAGAACAGTACTGAAATATCATCTGATTTTTCTTCTTCACAAAATATGATGTTGGTAATGGCAGCTTTGAAGCCAGCCTCCAATCTATATCATCACTCAACAAAAGAGTGGGTATTCTGAAATCGAAGGAAATGAAGAGAAAGAACCAAAAACTTATGAGCTATGAGCTACGAGCTATTAGCAGCCACATAGAATATAAAGTGAGCAAGATTTAAATTGTTGAAATATGACAAAGAGATAGCTCAAGAGGCTTTGGCAATGAGTCAAACACATTACTTATAACTTCCTTTAAAATATGATGAACAACATAACTAGTTTCATTGAACTACAGCGAATCACAAAACAAACGAAAGGAAAACCCAAAGTTAAAACCAAATCATAATCCACACGACTCAAAAGCCTTATGCCTCGTCCTTGGATGAGTTCTGTCCACACTCGACATTTGTAGACTCGTCAAATACGAGGGGAAGCTTTCCCTTGGTGCTTTCAAGTTTGGCCTCTATCAGCTCAGCTTCATATGCTACATCTGACACATAACAGAGGATCCATCCACAATTCGCTGCACGAACTCCTTCCTGCAACTCCTGACGTAGCCCTCTCTGGAACATCCAAGCCAGCTCCTCTTCGTCACACTCTCTTTCAAGGGTCTTGCTCTTCTCAAGGAACTCTTCAAGGTACTCACTCACTGTCTTGGTTCCTTGCTTCACGTCCACCAACTTAGACTCGGCCAAGTCTGCCTTCTGAGAAGCTTCTCCACCGCTGCCATGTGTCTGTGGGTGTCTGCTGAGACCAACTGGACAATCCTGGCGCGGAAAGTTTTCTTGGTCACCAGAGTTTTTGGTCGACTCTACCTGACTGCGAGTCAATATTAATTTAAATTTTAATACTATTATTAAATTTCGAGTCACTTATACAGAGATTAGTAAATCTAACATATTCTTATATACAAAATTCAGATTAAAATTGAAAGAATTTATAAAATATTATGGATTCTAAAATTTGATAGAAGTACGTATTTGTTTAGCTAATAAGTTTTGTACTGTAACGAAATCATAAATTACACGAAACTTATGTATATAAGGATGACTGGAAATGGAACAAACAGAAAAGAAAAAAAAAAGAAAAAAAAAGGAGATGTTGATCTGAATTTTGATCTTGATATTTTAGAAAATTTCATGCTTTTACAAAAGTAAAAAGCCTAAACTACTACTAATCTGAAGACTAAAGAACTGAGAAAAGAAAATAGAAAATACTGTATATTTTATTTGTATATTCTCAAAATCACCATTAGATACTGTAAAACAGAAAATGGAAAAATGAAAATCCTTAAGAACTTACAAATTGAGATTACTTCTTCCCTCAGCCATAATGAAGAATGAAAATGAAAAGAACCTTAGATTGTGTCCCTTTGGTCAATTCTCAAGATGAGATGATACTCTTCATTTTTTATTAACTTGTTTCATATATATATATAATTGCTTGAGCTTTTCGCGCGAGAATTCAAACTTTATGCGTTTGTTACAAGTTAAATAAAAGATTAAAGATGACAATAAAATAAATTTTAATTTTTTGTTAAATAAGGAATTTAATACAATTGTTGACTATTTAAAGTCTATATACATTTTCATGAATTATGTTTCCTAAATATTTTTAATATAGCATATATTTAAATAATATTTTATAATGTTGAAATCTAAATTTATGGCAAGTCTACTTTTCTTTCTATTTTAAAGTATATTTATTTTGAATAGTCATTAAAAATTCACAGATTATCTTTTCTATTCAATGCATCCAGATTTATTTAGTAACAGTCTTGAATATATGTATAATGTATGTTCTTAAAAGGCCCTATTGGGATTATAATATTCTTTCTCAACATGGAGATAAGAGTTTTTTATATTAAATACAGATATTTTTCATATACAAATTATATTAGTGAAAAGGATACTGTAAAGTGTAAACCACTAGTTATCCTAAATTTCAAAATTTATTATGATATTACTTTTCAAAACCACAATTGGGTTTTTGTTTTATCTATTCTCAAAATACCATAAAATCATATTTATAAACTATTATAACCGATATCAAATATCGTATAGCTCTATAAACTATTTTTAATGCATGATATAAACTGTTGTGAGGTTTTAGGTTTCATAATGTTTATAAAATAACTCTTGCATGTCACATGTTCTGATTCTCAACACATTTCATGACTCACTGCGTATGTGCATTTTGATTAGAATGAAGTTATTGACTTTGTTTAGATCTGTTTTTTTTTTTTTGTGTGTCCCAAAATGTTTTAAGAGAGTTTGCGTGATCAAGACATGTATATATGAATCAATAAAATCAACTTGGTAACTGGTAAGGTTCCTAACTTACCTAGAAAGCTACATGACCTATTGAAATAAACGATGTTACGAGCAGTGGACATTAGAGAATCTCTGAGGCAATATTTGAGTTTCAGCGAGTAGCTTTAAATAAGGATCATATTGCAAAGCCATATGATTTTTCTTCTTTGTCTTCGGAAAATATCATTCATGGTACTAATATACACAGCTTTGAATCTCGCCAAGCAAAAAAAATCAGTCCTGTTTTCATTCACAAATTACAAGAAAAGGACAGGAAAACGTATGTTTCCCCAAAAAGGCCACACTACTATTGCAAATTATATATAAACCCCAAAAATTTACATTCTGCAATCTAAACCCCAACATTGCTCCCTCTCTCTCTTCTACCTTCCCTCCATTGCTAAGCCAATAACGAAATACATACAGTGAATACAGCTAAACCCCAATTACACTCACACAAGAAACAAGAACGACATGAGAGAGCTAGAGAGCTTCAAAGCTACATTGAACCAGAACCACCAATGGCCACCAGTGGAAGCTCCGGCGAGAGGAGCCTTGGATATCTCAGTTAGACTACTCGATCAACACTGTTTCTTTCGGTTTCGTTGCCACCGCAGTTCTCATCTCATTGTTCCTCATCATTGCCATTTTCGAGAGACTGATTCGAACCACCAACACCACAACTACTACTAGCTCAGATTCTTCCTCGGGTCGAGTCCTTTCGGGTCTGGACTCTCGGGTCGGGTTCAGTGACTCTGCTCTTCAAAACTTGGTTACCAGTCTCCCAAAGTTAGTATCTTTATTTCTCAACTCGTGCAAAATTTGATAAAATTTAGTTGAAAGTTTGGATCTTTGTGTTGAATGATGCATATTTGGTATCAAAAGTTTTAAACTTTGTGGTGAATTAACCAAAAAGATCACATTTTTTCCTTCTTCTTATGCATAACTGATCTTTTACTTGATAGTGATGTGTTCCAAATAGTTCTTTGTAATTGATTTGTACACTTTTCTTGGTCCTAACTCCTAAAAGCAAAACAAAGAAAACATCATAGGGTTCGTTTACTCATTGGTATTGAACCCACACACATGCTTTTGCATCATCACGATCAAAACTTTCTTATACACTTTGTCACACATACACACACACGGATACTTATGGTGATGCATTCATTGATATCATTAGTAATCATATCTGTTTTTTTCTTTTCTTTCCATAATGTCGATAGAGGATGGGGAAAAGGGTAAAATAGAAATGTGATTTTGTATTGGAGATTGATTGATTTTGTAAGTACAGAACCCTATGCTTGTGGAGATAGAAGATGTGGTCTCTACCCTACTATTTTGACTTTGCATATCCTAGGAACACAAAATGGCCCAATAGTTTTGTCCCTTTGTTTAATTTGTGATCAGTGGGTGTCCTCATCTTTTGCATAGAGATCATAGATTCCCTTTTTGTCTCTCTTCTCTTCGAGTTTTGATTTTAGGCATTAGCTTAACTGAATACTTGAGTTTGATCTTGAAAGTGGGTTTTGTTAGATGTGAAATCATGATCTCATTGTCTTGATTTACCGATTGGAAATGATTTTAGTCTTTGGTTAGGAATTGTCATTTGGGGGTTAGAAAGTAATTGGCATGTGACATTTACACAAAGAACATACCATGTGAACATAACTAGAATCATTCAAACATGGGAGGACCCATACAATGTAAGTCCTCTCAAATTAAGAGGTTTAGATCAACCTCATGTGATTTTGTGCTAACATCAAATTCTGTTTTTTGGGAACATAAACACATTTCATTTGTCCAACACAATTAGAGGTTTAGTTTTTTTCTCTCAGTTAAACTGTTTGGATATCAACTTCTTTGATTGGAGACTGATTTTGTGGCGTTTATATGGATTTGCAGATAGGTATGTACTCAAAAGGGGTCTCTGTGTTGATGCTAGGAGACCATATACCTATCGGCTACACCAGAATTAGAGGAACCAAACTGCAAAAACCGTGGCTTACTTATATATGTATTCAAGATTTGTCAGGAACTGAAGTGGTCATGAATATGCTATAATCGAGAACTAGATCTGTCCACTTTTTAGATTCGTCTTACATGTTTTTTTTCTGGTCAAAAGATTCGGCTTACGTTAGCCCTGGGCGTTCGGGGGCCCGTTCGGGGTCGGGCCGGGCTTTTCGGGTTTTCGGGTTTTCGGGTTTAGACCTCTAAAGCCCATTCGGATATATATATATCTTCGGGCGGGCTCGGGTTCAGATCGGGTTTTTCGGGTTCGGGTTCGGTTTTGTTTCGGGTTCTTAATAACAACTATTCTTATTTACTTATCGCCTTGGTTCAGACCATCTCCATGGAAGCCTAAAGGGCAACGACATCATGATGTTCCCGAGTTCTATATCAAATACATAGAAAGTCAGAAAAAAAAAATCAAACTTTAGCAAAGAGGAAGAAAAAGCATTAGTCACTTAACCAAACAAGCAGAGAAAGTTAGACCCTTTCTAGTTTCAGACCAGCAGCCTCCATCGTTCATTGAACATCTTGCAGGTCCATAAGCTGGACCAAGAACAAGATAAAGAGAAATTTATAAGATCACTGAACAAAAGTGTACAATGAGAGAAAATAGAAAAAAAAAAAAACAAGAAGACTTACAAAAACATACGCTTGCAGGAAGTATAACCATCTCCTTTATATTGAACACCATTCACGACAGGGAACTCACATACTCTTCCCCTAAATGTGTCCTAATAAGATTCATGCAATCTATAAAGAAGAGATGAAAAATTAAATGACTTAAACATACAAGTGTGTGGCTGCGGGTAATGGCAACAATGTCTTGATACGAAGTAGAGCTAGAACCCACAACTCAAAGAAGCATGTGTATGTATATAAACCTACTTTGGTACAATGCCACGTTCATGAGTTGTCTCAAAGAAGCATGAGCTTCCTTACACACGTTCATGAGTCAAACAAATTATTTTAAACACTTATATCTTCTTTAGTTTCCCAAGTCATCTCTTGTCTTCATCTAGTGATCCAAACTCTCTAATTATATATTTATATGTGTAAGAAAGAATCTGTTTGACACATTTAGGACAGATCTACATTTGACCCACCAGAAATATACAGAAGCGAATATCACACAAGCTCTATACTATATTATATCAAAAAAGGCATCTCTTCGGCCGGAACATGAAGGTTAGTCATAGTCACATTTTTTTTTCTGACAGAATCATTTGATAAATGTGATACAGATTACAGAACAAGAAGATCATCTACAAAAGGGTCTAAACATAGAAACCAGAAGAGTTACAGAGAACATATATAAGAACACAAATCATATATAAGAACACATGATTCCAATCACTCCATTATATAAGAACACACGATTCCAAGACTGACTTCACTAAAACGCTACTAAGAACACACGCTTTATAAATCAAACTAACAACAGACGCTTCAATACTAAGAAGTAAGAACAAAAACAAAAAACGCAGAACACACTGAATTCAATAAACATGGTGCTAGAGAGAGACGTACGAGAGAGAAAGACATAGACAAACTAGAAAACTCACCTCAGAATTATTTGTTGAAAACTCAGAGGGAGGAGGAGCATCTCTGGGATGTGAATCCAGTTTGTTTGTTGTATGGAAGCAAATCGATTCTGTTTCTGGGCAATGAAATCTTAATCGATCAACAAAATTACAAAGGCATGAATGAAATCAGGTTTAATCGGGTATGGTCGGGTCTTCGGGTTTACCCGAACCCGGACCCGAACCCGGAAGTTTCAAAACCAAAACCCGATCGGGTATCCTCTTTAATCGGGTTCGGGTTCGGTACGGGCCTAACGGGCCGGGTTCGGGTATGGGCTTCGGGTACGGGCTTTTTGCCCAGGGCTAGCTTACGTTATGATACGATTTCAGATCTCTGACATAAGTCTCTCACCTTCGTAATTATCACTGCCTAAGTAAAAACAAACATTCTCTTTATATATAATCAGGTCCTCCAAAAAAACTCCAAATTAGTGTGTCAGCTCTGCTGTTTCATGAATTGAATTGTTACAGTCTTACAGAACTAAGGGTTTGAATGGAAAGACAGATATAAAGCAGATATATAGTGGGACAGATAAACTGCACTTTGTTCACCATTCATCAAAATTAATAATTATCATTTATAAAGGCAGTTTTCCTGCTAAAAATCTGTAGGTGGACCAAAAAAAAAAGAAAAAATTATTTTATAGTCATGTTTTTTCAAAGCAGATCAAACACCTCTATTTTAAAGTGTTTAATATTTGATCTGCACTTGAACTGTCAAATCTGTTTGATCTGCTTTTTTTTGTTAGATCTGCCTAAAATACTTGATCTGCTCTGCTTAACATGTTTTGCCATTCAAAGCCTAAATAAACTACGTCTGCTTTTGTACTTTGCCCGGAAGCTTAAAAATGTTAGGCAAAATCAAATGTTTAGTTCAATGAACTCTTTGGGAGATGGCTTGTTTTAGATCTATAGCCATTTTTATGCATGTGAGTCATGTGACTAGAAATTAAATTTACAACTTTTTTTAAAACAACAACTACAATATTTTTTCTATAGATTTTTGGATCCAATCAAATTTGAAAACAATAAACAAAAAACTCCACTAGTAAATCCTTCCCGAAAGGATCTAATTACGTCACTTCTTTTTTTTGTCGTAAGTACATAATTAACAACTCATCTTGTGTAAAGATTTTTTAAAATTTACTTGTCTAAAAAGTTATCATAACTTTATTAACGTCATTATATATCAAGAAAAATTGAAATTTGCATGGGGGTTTTAAGTTTATTCAACAGACATAATTACTATTTGAAATCATTATAAAACTAAAGAGACTTTAAGGGGTAGTTGTATTATTTATCTTTTTACACATTATTATTATTATCAACTGTCCCAAAAAAAAAATATTAACAATAAATACTCTTACTTCATCACAATCATCCTCTGCTGTCACCACACAATTATAACACAACCAGAAGAGTTATTACTACTACTACTGCTACTCTCTAATCTCCGATCAAACTACGTCGTCGCTTCTCATTCTCTCTAATGGGTAATTGCTGCTTCAGCCCCGGCACCACTGATCGTGAAAACGAGAACGTTTCCGACAAGAACACGACCATTGTCGAAGAAGAGACAGTAGTTAAAGAAGTCTTGTCTGAGACAACTTTGCTCACTACTTCTACTAATATGCACACTTCGACGATCAAAGATCCGGTGAAGACCAAGATCCGAGAAGATGAGGAGAAGATAAAACAAGGCTTCTTGAAAATGGTTTCAGACCCGGTTACGATCCGACCCGGTTCGACTGATCATGAAGAAGGCTCGGAGGTTTCGGAGGTTTGTAGCTTGAGTTTGAGTGAGAGTGTGTCTTCGACGGTTGTGATTAATAGCTACGATGAGGAAGACGTGATGATGAAACAGAGGAAGACTCAGAGATCTCCGGCGAAGACTCGGACCCGGGTCACGGGTAATAATAATTACCCGACCCGGAGGACTGATCAGTCTCCACGTAAGAGAAACAACAGTACGTGTAACGGAGCGAGATACGGGTCGGGTGTGAGAGACCCGGGTGAGAGATCCGGGAGAAGGTCGAGATCGCCGGCGACGAACAGATCGGTGATGGATCCGAATCAGAATAGTCGGGTGGGTGGGGCGAGGACTAGGAAGAATAATCAGTCCCCGGGTCGGGTTAGGCAAGATCCGAATAAAAACGGGTTGGATCAAGAGCAGCATGAGAATTACGGTTATACCACTGAGGAATTGTTAGAGAACCCTCTAGTTTCGTTAGAGTGTTTCATATTTCTCTGAAGAAAAATAAAACGAATATTCCGGGGATTTTTTTTTTTTTTTCACATTTTGACGTTTGATTTTGTAAAATTCGTAAAAGCTACTAAATTACGTTACCTCCGTAATTCATTTGTGTGTTCTTCTTTTTGTGGTAATTAAAATTTTGTAATTTCTGTGGAATGATGAATATGGTTTTATTTGTTCTTTTTTTATATCCTAAGAATATGAGAGTTTAAACACCAAATGAGTTAGTAATGTTTATAAGTTTTAGAGAAGTTAGTAATGTTTGTAATGTTTAAGAGTTTAAACACCAAATGATGAATATGGTTTTAGAGAAGTTAGTAATGTTTGCTATAAATCTTTGATGAATATATAACCGTTACCATTTAGTAAGAATTTTTTAATTTGGTTGAATTCGAATCATTATCTCAAAAACGGTATCATTTAAATGATTAGTAAATTTTATAAAATTGAATCGTCACATTTTGTTTAAGATCGTCATTTTAGGTCACCAGCAGTGAAAGTGGAACACTTTTTTTCAGTCGCACGAAAGTGGAATCACTTTAACACACACACTCGCATTGAAATTTCAAAGGTTTTTTTTCTTCTTATTTTCAAGAGAAAAATAATTACATTGAAAAGTTTTTAGTTTCTACATATGAACGTTGCTTCTTTTATTTTATATATTTTTCTCTATTTTTATGACTCCTTTTTTTTGAATTTTATATTAAATAGTCATTTTTTTATTTTTCAACTAGAGACTTAAAATTTTTTTAACCATGTGTGCTGTAGTTTTGTTTAGGCCACATTTGTGCTGTAGTGTTACTTGAACCAATTCCAAATCATCTAAAATCTGAACTGAACATCTAGCAATTGAAATGTAGCTCACTATTCTCAACTCCATTAATGTATTAACATGTAAAATCACAAATCATTAATGTATTAACAAACCAATTACTCCATTTTTTTATTATTACAATTAGCTTTTCTATCTACATTTTCAGTTACCGTTGCATGCCTAGGTATGAACTCAGGCTCCACTGTCAGGTATAATACTAGTTTTAGTCAATTGTTTTGGTCTTTATCCTAATACAAATATAAGTATTTTTTATTTTTTTTGTCGCCATACAAATATAAGTATATGATAATATATGTACTTATCCCCTAATAGTCTTCTTAATTGTTTCCTATTTTGAAAATGTTTTGATTTCAATGTTTTTTTTTTTGTGTGCTTACGAGACTTGATACAAGAGTAACAAAATGGCGTAATTATTGGTTCGATCACTCTGCTTGTGGGTTCAGAAAGAAAGATTTTAATTTTTTACTCAATATAGTCTATACTAAAATGAAAGCGAGTCGTCACTTTGAAAAGTCAATAGAAACTAATTTGTAAACCGAGTGGTCTGAAAACAACGACGCCAATGTCTTTCTCTATCTTAATTATTTTCTTTGATAATCTCTAAACCATTGGTATTGTAGCAAGACGATGTTATCTCCAATATTTTGTCACCTAAAACACTTCTTCTACTTCAGCTTTAGCTAGCTTCGTTGTTGCTTACTGAAACTTTTCTCTCTTTATTTATCAAATTTATGGGGAATTGTTGTTCTTTCCAGTTTACTGTTGATGATCTAATAAAATTATATAGTTTATTATGTGGGATCATCAACAGAGACTCTCCTGGAGTGGAGGAGATGCCTACTCAGCCTACGGTTGGTCAGGAAGAAATGTTTGAGAAGGCCTGGAAACGCTTAATGGAAGATGGAGTTGGAATCTTGGGACTGCACGGTATGGGTGGTGTGGGTAAAACTACCCTTTTCAAAAAAATCCACAATAAGCTCTTAAATAGTACTTTTGATGTTGTGATCTGGATCGTGGTATCTCAAGGTGCAACGATATCAAAGCTTCAAGAAGATATTGCAGAAAAGCTACATCTTTGTGGCGACGAGTGGAAGAACAAGAATGACATTGATAAGGCCACTAAGATACACACTGTTTTAAAGGGGAAGAGATTTGTTTTGATGCTAGATGATATATGGGAGGAAGTGGATTTAGAAGCCATCGGAGTACCGTTTCCAACCAGAGAAAATGGATGCAAAGTAGCATTCACCACTCGTTCCCGGGAAGTATGTGGACGGATGGGGGACCATGAACCTATGCAAGTCAATTGTTTGAAACGAGATGAAGCATGGGAACTGTTTAAAACCAAGGTCGGAGACAATACCTTAAGAAGTGATCCCGGAACCGTCGAGCTAGCCAAAAAGGTTGCTGAAAAATGCGATGGTTTGCCACTGGCGCTTAGTATCATTGGTAAAGCAATGTCATCTAAAAATACAGTACAAGAATGGGAGCATGCAATCGATGTTTTGACTACATCTGCTGCAAAGTTTTCGGGCATGGAAAATAATATTCTTCCAATTCTCAAGTTCAGTTACGATAGCTTGATGGATGACAATATCAAGTCCTGTTTCTTGTATTGTGCTCTGTTTCCAGAAGATTTTAAGATAGAAAAAAGAAGTTTGATAAACTATTGGATATGCGAAGGATTCATCGGAGAAGAAGAGGATATTAAAAGAGCGAGGAATAAGGGTTATACGATGCTCGGCACCCTTATCCGTGCAAACTTACTAACTGAAGTTAGGAGTCGGTATGGTGAAAGTTGTGTTATGATGCATGACGTGGTTCGCGAAATGGCTCTGTGGATTGCATCCGATTTTGGGAAACAGAAGGAGGCTTTTGTTGTGCGAGCAAGAGTCGGATTAGTTGAATTACCAGAAGTCAAGGATTGGGGAGCTGTGAGAAGAATGTCACTAATGAATAATAAAATTGAAGAGATAACATGCAGACGTTCCAATTGTTGTGAACTTACAACTCTGTTCCTCCAAGAGAATAAATTGAAGAATCTCTCTGGTGAATTCCTTCAGTCTATGAAAAAGCTAGTTGTTTTGGATTTATCGTATAATATCGACTTGAGTGAACTTCCAGAGCAGATATCAGAGCTGGTCTCCTTGCGGTTTCTTGATTTGTCGGAAACAGGTATAGAGCAACTACCGGTTGGTCTCCAAGAATTGAAAAAGCTAACTTACCTAGGTTTATTTTTTACAAATAAACTTTGTAGTATCAGTGGGATATCAAGGTTGCTGAGTTTAAGAATGTTGAATCTGGTAAGCTCTAAAGTTCATGGAGATGCTAGTTTATTAAAGGAGCTGCAGCTCTTGAAGAATCTACAAGATTTAAGGATAACTCTATCGGCGGAGTTAAGTTTGGAGCTAATATTAGGAAATCAAAGGTTGGCAAACTGCATAACTACTATGGATATTATCGATTTTCAAGAAAAGCCACTCCAGAGTATTGAGAATCTTCTTAGCCTATGGGCGATAAGTAGCCATGTCTCGGAGATTAACAATCGGACAATTCCATGCTTTACCAACCTCATCGCCGTGAATATAAACAAGTGGCATAGCATGAAGGATCTGAGTTGGGTATTGTTTGCTCCAAATCTTGTCTCCCTAGAGATTGAAGATTCAAGAGAAGTGGAAGAAATAATAAACGAAGAGAAAGCAACCAATTTTAAAGGTATTACACCATTTCTGAAACTAGAATACTTAGGTTTGGAAGATTTGCCGAAGCTTGAGAGTATCTGCTGGAGTCCTCTCCCCTTTCCATTTTTGAGGCGCATAAGTGTAAGGGATTGTCCAAAGCTGAGAAAGCTGCCCTTAAATGCTACAAGTGTCCCACGACTTGATGAATTTGGAATACATATGCTGGATCCAAAACAGATGTATGACCTTGAATGGGAGGACCAAGATACCAAAAATCGATTCATGCCTTCCATAGGACAGGTAATTAATTATTACTCGTCATTCTCTTATGTTTGGTTCATTTCTTGTAATCGAATCAGAGTTATTTTTATTTTCTTACACGAGAGAGATAATAGAGAACTTGTTGTGCCTATCAATTTCAATGCTTTCCACAAAAACTGTTACTAACATTCTTTCATTTTTCTCCTCAGCATATTGCACGGTATGTGGTCATAGATTCTGTCTAAAACCAGAATCCACGCTTCTTCTTCTTCTTCTACTACTATTTTCTTATTTGATTGTATCGTTTGCTTTACTCTTTCATCTTGCAGCATCTTTGTGATTATTTTAGTTAAGAGACAATGTCTAAATCCAAGTGGCTGGCTCAATCAGAGTATTTATTATATTCAGAAAGAGATGCATGCCACAAAAACTAGATCTAGGTAGTATGATGAATATTGCTTTCTTTCTTCTTGTAGTACTGTGTTGTGTTCTATTCTGGAGTGTGTGTTGTTCTCTTGGATTATATATTTTTCATTTTTGTATTGTATTACTTATATTGGATTATGATTTTGGGTTGTACTAGTTGCTTTCTCTTTCATCTTGTAGCGTACATATTTGGGTGATGGTTATAACATGATCAAGATGAAAACTTTTGATTTTGCTAATTCATGAAGATCATGTACTTCTTCTTTTTTTTTTTTTCATGAAAACATTGGAAGATCATGTACTTCTTTTTGTGCTAATTAAAATTTTGTAATTTATGTGGAGTGATGAATATGTTTTATTTGTTCATTTTTTATATCCTAAGAATATGAGAGTTTAAACACCAAATGAGTTAGTAATGTTTATAAGTTATAGAGAAGTTAGTAATGTTTGTAATGTTTAAGAGTTTAAACACCAAATGATGAATATGGTTTTAGAGAAGTTAGTAATGTTTGCTATAAATCTTTATTGGATATATATATAACCGTTACCATTGAGTTTAAGACTTTATTTTAATTTGGTTGGATTCGAATCATTATCTCAAAAACGGTATCATTTAAATGATTAGTAAATTTGATAAAATTGAATCGTCTCATTTTGTTTACGATCGTCATTTTAGGTCACCAGCAGTGAAAGTGGAACACTTTTTTCAGTCGCACGAAAGTGGAATCACTTTAACACACACGCTCGTATTGAAATTTCAAAGGTCTTTTTTCTTCTTATTTTCAAGAAAAAAATAATTACATTCAAAAGTTTTTAGTTTCTACATATGAACGTTGCTTCTTTTATATATTTTTCTCTATTTTTATGACTCCTTTAAAAAAAAAAAATTATATTAAATAGTCATTCTTATTATTTTCCAGAGAAATATAATTACATTCAAAAGTTTTTAGTTTCTACATATGAACGTTGCTTCTTTTATATATTTTTCTCTATTTTAATGACTCCTTTTTTTTTTTGAATGGGACAAAGTCATTCCTTTTTTTTTTCAACTAGAGACTGTAAAATAAATTAACCATTTGTGCTAGCTGTAGTATTGTTTAGGCCACATTTGTGCTGTAGTCTCTAGCAATTGAACTGTAGCTCACTATTCTCAACTCCATTAATCTATGTATTAACATGTAAAATCAAAACAGACCAATTACTCCATTTTCATTATTACAGTTAGCTTTTCTATCTCCATTTTTCAGTTACCGTTGCATGCCTAGGTATGAACTTAGGCTCCACTGTCAGGTAAAATATTAGTTGTAGTAAATTGTTTTTGTCTTCTTAATTTCTTTAATAGCACTTAGTTTCCTAATTTTAAACGTTTTGATTTCAATGTTATTTATTTTATTTTTGTGTGCTTACAAGACTTGATATAAGAGTGACAAAAGGGCTTAATTATTGGTTCTATCACTCTGCTTGTGGATTCAGAAAAAAAAAGGATTCTAATTTTTACTCTGTGTACTCTAAACTAAAATGAAAGCGAGTCGTAGCTTTGAAAAGTTGAAAAGTCATTAGATGCCAATATAATTGCCAGAAACTAATTTGTATGGACTTTAGCTACCTCACCAAAAAGATAAGAGTAATCACATGGAAGCCGAATGGTCTGAAATCAACGACGCCAATGTCTCTATCTTAATTTCTTTGATAATCTCTAAACCATTGGTATTGGAGCAAGAAGATGTTATCTCCAATAATTTTTCACCTAAAACACTTCTTGAGCTTCGTTGTTGCTTACTGAAACTTTTCTCTCTTTATTATCAAATTTATGGGTACTTGTTTTTCTTTCACTTATAATATTGATGATCAAACGGTAATACGTATCTTTAGTTACTTATGTGGGAACGACAGAAACTCTCATGGAGTGGAGGAGATGCCTAGCTACCCTACGGTTGGTCAGGAAGAAATGCTCAAGAAGGCGTGGAATCGCCTAATGGAAGATGGAGTCGGAATCATGGGTCTGCACGGTATGGGCGGTGTCGGTAAAACTACCCTTTTCAAGAAAATCCACAATAAGCTCTCTGAATTTAGTGGTCGGTTCGACGTTGTGATATGGATCGTGGTGTCGCAAGGCGCACAGAAATCGAAGATTCAAGACGATATTGCAGAAATATTAAATCTTTGTGACGACGAGTGGAAGAACAAAAACGAACGTAATAAGGCCACTAAGATACACAGAAAGTTGCAGGGGAAGAGGTTTGTATTGATGCTAGATGATATATGGGAGAAAGTGGATTTAGAAGCCATTGGAATTCCATCTCAAACAAGAGAAAATGGATGCAAAGTAGCATTCACCACTCGTTCTCGGGGAGTATGTGGGCAGATGGGAGATGATGATCCCATGGAAGTCCACTGTTTGAAAGAAGATGAAGCATGGGAATTATTTAAAAAGAAAGTGGGAGAGAACTCATTAAGAAAAGATCCCGGAACTGTCGAGCTTGCAAAAAGAGTTGCTGAAAAATGTCATGGTTTGCCACTGGCGCTCAGTGTCATTGGTGAGGCGATGTCATCTAAGACTATGGTACAAGAATGGGAGCATGCAATCGATGTTTTGACTACATCTGCTGCAGAGTTTTCGGGCATGGAAAATAATATTCTTCCAATTCTCAAGTTCAGTTACGATAGCTTGATGGATGACAATATCAAGTCCTGTTTCTTGTATTGTGCTCTGTTTCCAGAAGATTTTAAGATAGAAAAAAGAAGTTTGATAAACTATTGGATATGCGAAGGATTCATCGGAGAAGAAGAGGATATTAAAAGAGCGAGGAATAAGGGTTATACGATGCTCGGCACCCTTATCCGTGCAAACTTACTAACTGAAGTCAGGAGTCGGTCTGATGAAAGTTGTGTTATGATGCATGATGTGGTTCGTGAAATGGCTCTGTGGATTGCATCCGATTTTGGGAAACAGAAGGAGGCTTTTGTTGTGCGAGCAAGAGTCGGATTAGTTGAATTACCAGAAGTCAAGGATTGGGGAGCTGTGAGAAGAATGTCACTAATGAATAATAAAATTGAAGAGATAACATGCAGACGTTCCAATTGTTGTGAACTTACAACTCTGTTCCTCCAAGAGAATAAATTGAAGAATCTCTCAGGTGAATTCCTTCAGTCAATGCAAAAGCTAGTTGTCTTGGATTTATCAAAAAATTACAGATTGGGTGAACTTCCAGAGCAGATATCAGAGCTGGTCTCCTTGCAGTTTCTTGATTTGTCGGAAACATGTATAGAGCAACTGCCGGTTGGTCTCCAAGAATTGAAAAGGCTAACTCACCTGATTTTATATGATACAAAGAAACTTTTTAGTATCAGAGGGATATCAAGGTTGCTGAGTTTAAGATTGTTGAATCTGGGAAAGTCTAATGTTCATGGAGATGTTAGTTTATTAAAGGAGCTGCAGCTCTTGAAGAATCTACAAGATCTAAGGATAACTCTATCGGCGGAGTTAAGTTTGGATCTAATATTTGGAAATCAAAGGTTGGCAAACTGCATAACTAGTATGGATATTATCGATTTTCAAGAAAAGCCACTCCAGAGTATTGAAAAGCCAGTCGAGATAAGTAGCCATGTCTCGGAGATTAACAATCCGACAATTCCATGCTTTACCAACCTCTCATATCTGCATATAAGCAAGTGCCATAGCATGAAGGATCTGACTTGGCTGTTGTTTGCTCCAAATCTAGTCGGCCTACAGATTACAGATTCAAGAGAAGTGGGAGAAATAATAAACAAAGAGAAAGCAACCAATTTCAAAGGTATTATCCCATTTCTGAAACTAGAATTCTTATATTTGATAAATTTGCCGAAGCTGGAGAGTATCTGCTGGAGTCCTCTCCCCTTTCCGGTTTTGAGGAGCATAAGTGTAAGGGATTGTCCAAAGCTGAGAAAGCTTCCCTTAAATGCTACAAGTGTCCCACGACTTGATGACTTTGAAATACATATGCTTCCTCAAAAACAGATAAATGAGCTTGAATGGGAGGACGAAGATACCAAAAATCGATTCTTGCCTTCAATCAACCAGGTAATTAATTATTACTACTCTTATTCTCTTCCGTTTGGTTCATTTAATGGGGGTAATTATTTCTTATAATCGAATCAGAGTTATTTTTATTTTCTTACACGAGAGAGATACGAGAGAGATACGAGAGAGATACGAGAGAGATACTTTCCATACCTAATTTTAAGATTATATTATTTCCATAACTAATTTTATGATTTCCTAATATTTCTCTAACTATTTAATATAATATATTAAAAGCAATTATCATTCTTCTTTGACATTTATTTGATATTATTTTAAATTTATGATATTATACTATATAATAAAAAAATTTAATAAAAATTTAATTTTTTCTGCATATGTTGCAATTTGAATTTTTCAAAACGGGCGTATAATACTCAACTACATTTGGTTAAATATTCTGAACAATGATTTAAAATCAGTATGACCAATATTAAAAACACGGTGAAAAGTTTTACGTATATTTCTACTTTTACTACAAAAAGGGTCAATTGAATAATTTTTTTTTGTGCTGTTAACTTTTCACTGTTTTTTTAATTGTATCAAAATTCAATGTATTATTATTTATTCAATTTTTCGTTTATTATTTTATTTAAACTTATTATACAAATATACAATTCACTGTAATCGACTACATTGCAATAAAATTAAAATGTAATGTATCCTAATCCGCTAAAATATATATATATAGTTAATTATTTCCCCCGCGCTGTAGCGCGGATCCGAACCTAGTCTTATATAATAAGACAAGGTTTCTTCTAACTTTGCCTCACAAAGCAACATTTGGCGCTCTATATTCTTGACATGTGTCATTTTTATTAATTTCTAATTTAACATTTAAAAGTTATTTTATTTGTAATATTGTGTTGTAAGTTATAAGATATGTATTATTTTCTTTTTTAAAAAGTGTCATTGTTGCAAAAAATATTTTCCCTAATTTTAGTTTCTATTTAAATTAAACATCATATAAACTATACATAAAATGGAGTAGTCAATTTTTTTTTCTTTGTATTCAAAGAAAATTGGTATGGGTTTTTTCCTTAAGATTTAAAGTTCAAAAATCACATGAAAATTTCCTCCTCCGTTTAAAGTATGTTTTCCTTAAGTTATTATATACCGGGTAAAAAATTATTTATAACATATTTTTTTTTTATAATTTTTGGAAAATAATTAAAGAGAATTGTTTTTTTTTTACTTTAGCATGGTGAAATCTATGGTAAATAATGAAATTAGAGAAAGTTTGATTGTTTTTAAGTATAATAAATTAGTACATCTAAAATATTTAGATAAAGTAACTATTTAACCAAAAAATATTCTATTATTTAATTTACTATTATTTAATTTAGAAAACAAAATTAGTTTAAATTTACTATTATTAAACAGTTGAGAGAGGAAACACAGTTTAATAGAATATAATATCACGAAATTTAATCAAAGATATATGATAAATTTAATCAAAGAATAATTATCATATTATTCACAAATCATATATATATATATTTATATAAATAAAGTTTCACTCTATTCTTATTGGTTCACTTGGCATCTAACTTTTAAAAAAAAATTATGTATTATCATATATATATATATATATTATATATATTTAATTCACAATTTAATATAAAACTGAAAAACAGTTAAACCATAAAACACATTTAGTCATATACATTAAACTCACACTTTAATATAAAAACTGAAATAATATAACTTTGCATTAACTATATTTTACATTGAATTTTTCAGCACACAATAAATTATAATTGATTCCCATAAATTTTTGTATGAAATTGTAACTCCCATAACTTCTCTTCCTATATATACTCATTTTTTCAGTTATCATTCCCTCATTCTCTCATCCTCTAATTCTCTATCTCAATTATTATATATAAAAAAAGAGCTTCGTGTTTTTTTTTCTTTTTTTTTTGTATGAGTTTTAGAAAACAAGTAAAATATTCTTTTATAAAAGCTCAATTGTAAAAACAAATTAGAGACTATATGATATACATCTTATGTTATTATAATTTTTGTTTTTTGAAAATTCATCTCTATTTTATATTTTAGATTATCATCATATAAGTAATCATACCCTCACCCTATTCCATTATATTCATGTATCTTTAATATTTTTCTATTTTTTATGTTGTTATATGGCATAAAAATCAATGAAATGATCATTCAATAATTTGATATAAATATTTTTAGAAAGTATGATACAAATCTAACATATTTTTAAATTTAATCATACTTATAAATTAAGAAAGTATGAAACAACACATGTGTAAAATAAAAGATTTTGAAGGCTATAAAAATAAAAATTTTGATTTAAAAATCCATTTCACATATATTTAAATGCAAAGAATTCACTAGAATTAAGTTAAAAAGATACATTTCGTTATATATTTTTGATGTTCGCATAGTTTCTTACATATATATGCATTTTTCTTTTCTTTCTTTTTTTCATCAAAATATGATTATATTTGATAATTGAAAAAATCGTAATACAATTGGTCTGATAGCCATACAGGCGGATTTAAAAAATAAGAATAAAAGGGAATCGAAATACATCCAGAAGAAGCTAATACATGAGCAACTTTGTTACAATTCCTATTACAAAAAGCAAATGAAACATTGGAAAACTTATTAACCCAAGAGAGAATGTCCCGATGAACAGCTTCAATTGTAATATCAAAATATTGTTTTTGTAATATATCAATCAGTAACTTGCAATCTCCTTCAAAGCAAATATTCATAATACCCCTTATCCAAACTTGTTGTAATGCAGGTAGACATGACTTTGTTTCTGCTTCTAATGTTGAAATAGACGTTCCTAGCTGAGAAGCTCCCCAACCTAATACTCTTTGAGTTGAAGATCTAGTCTCCGAAGTGATAGAATTGTGATCCATAGAAGTATGATTCATCCAGGCCTGAACATCGCATTTTGATTTATGTAGAACCTTGGACTGAGAGAGCCAAACACCTTCGAAAATAAATTTATTTCTCGATTTCCAAATGCCAAACATCGCATTTTTCTTTTCTAATTAAGAAATTTCTAATTAAATATTTTATCGTAACACATTTTCCAAATAATATTTTCTTACCTCTTTTGTATTAAAATTATTCTTTGTAATTTATTTTTATATTATGTATCATTATAATTAATTTTTGTGATCTAATAAATTATTATATAAATATCGTTAAAATGTTAATGAGGGCTAAGTATTTTTTGAAAACGAAAAAACGTGGTTAAATTTGGTCCTTCAGATTTTTCTTAAAACAAAATATTTTAACTCCTACCGGCTAACTAACCATAACTTTAAAGTCTTCTTATACGATCATAGTACAATAGATGAACTTTACATTGACCACTATTTTTGTATCCAAACATACAAAGAAATCAACACTTTGGTAGATAAATTAGAAAACTTACCTGGTACTAACCTAATATCTTCTTCCAAATTTTAATATTTTCCATTTCTTCTCTAAAATTTTATTTCTTATTATTTTCCTTATTGTCCTATAATTTATTTATATATAAATTCTCATGATGTTATTGTTACATTATTTAATTTTCATTTAAATTAAAATATTTTTTTTTTCTCGGGAATCGTGGTAGAGAGCAAAGCGGCTATGATAAATTGTATATGACTTTTCTTTTTAATTAACATAACCTATTTTTAAGAATACATATGGTTTAGGTTTTTATTGAATATGTAATTAATATTAGGCTATTTTGATGCTCTGGATTAATATAAGGTTGTTGACAAATAAAAAATTGAAGTATTAATGTGTCATTATATAAATATTATCCTATATGAAATATTAGAAGATATGATTTTTTGAGAGACCGAAGAAAAAAGTAATCAACATTTCATAAGCAATGATTTTTTTGAAAACAAAAAAAAAAAGAATATGACATAGGGAGAAACCTAAAGTATATTTACAAGTTCAAAGAGTTGTTTGTAATGCTCTAAGTCTATAAATCTTACTCTTAGTATCCTAATGTAGATGAATAAAAAAATTACTCTAATGCTTATTTTAATTGATGATGGAATTTTTTGAATACAAATTAAAAAATTATTTAACTTTTTGATTTTTTTTTTTGTAAAACGAAATATCATTTATAATGTATTTTAATTAATTTATGCAGTAGATAGCAATCTGCATAATACAAAATAATCATAAAACATATACACTTAGTTTTATTTTAAAATTTGGAAACATCAAATAAATATTCTATGAGATAGTGCATAAAAATGAAGAGAATTACTTAATTGCTTCAATCCAATTGATTTCCAAAAAATATATTAAAATTATTATAAATTTAATATCAAATTTATCTCGCGCATCGCGGGTCTACTTCTAGTATATATATATGATACTCTTAAAAAAAAAAAAAAATTGATTTTCTGGAAAAATTGATCGCATAATAGAGAACCTGTTGTGCCTCTCAATTTCAATGCTTTTCACAAAAAGTGTTACTAACATTCTTTCATTTTTCTCCACAGGATATTGCAGGGTCTGTGGCCATAGCCTCATAGTCTGTCTAAAACCAGAATCCACGCTTCTTCTTCTTCTACTTTCTTAGTGGAGTGCATCGTTTGTTTTACTCTTTCATCTTGCAGCGTCTTTGTGTTTATTTTTGTTAAGAGACAATGTCTAAATCCAAGTGGCTTTCTCAATCAGAGTATTTAGTTATATTCAGAAAGAGATGCATGTCACAATATTAGCTCTTGGTAGTATGAAGGTATGCCATACTAAAATCAGAAACACTGCTTTCTTTCTTCTTGTAGTACTGTGTTGTGCTGTTTATTTTGGATTGTATCATTGCTTTTTCTTTGCATACTCATCTTTCTGGACTGTACGTGTTGTTCTCTTGGATTCTATAGTTTTTCATTTTCTTATTGTATTACTTATATTGGATTCTGATTTTGGGTTGTATCGTTTGCTTTCTCTTTCATCTTGCAGCGTACATATTTGTGTGATGGTTATAACATGATCAAGATGAAAACTTTTGATTTTGCTAATTCATGAAGATCATGTACTTAAGTTCTCTAATATTATTAATCAATCCCCTTAAACTTAGCCTGAACTCTGTTAACCAGAGGTGGTGGGCTAGTGGTTCTAGTCTGGTGGAAGAGTCGCCATGTTGGTCTAGGCCAGAGATCGATTCTCCTCAGACGTAGAATTGCTAACTTTATCCCTTTGGCCACATGGGTAAACCTATGAAGATACTAAAACTGTGATCTAATTCTAATATATGTCTAGTGGTGGCTTGTTTTATTTTTATTTGGGCAACAAACAATAGCTGCCAGTCCATACATAATAAGTTTTTGTGAGTGTGAAGGCTATCACGATCAATCTTGTCAATAGCTGCAGTCTACAAGACTGATTCCCTCCAAAGTCTGTAAGATCTTCTTCCTCTCTAACTTATAAAAAAATATATACATTTTACCTCCTACATCTGCTCTAATATTCTCCCAACAACATGATCATCTATATATAGGAGTAAATTAACCTAGAACAAAGTTGAAATAAGTTCTGTAAAATGTACATCAAATTTACATATAGACTAATTTTTTTAATAAGCTCTTATGTGAAAAAAGAGAAGACCAAACTATATATTTTAAGATTTGTCTCCCTCTTCAAATTTCACATTCTAGATTTTTCGTATAGATGTTTTAGTCTAGTTCTCATTAGTGCTATATTAATGTTTAGTTTTTAATTTTATAAAATTTATATTCAAATTTATTTGTTACGAATATGGATTTTTTTAGTATATTATTTTTTTACATTATTAATAATTAATATATATCTAATATTGATTTTTATTACCTAAACCCCACCTAAATTAAAGATATATCTAACATATGATAATCATTAAATATTTAAAGTATTATGCGGTAAGTCTGGTCCCGTTTAGCGTCTTTTGCTTTTTTTAACATTGAATTATAGTAACACTTGTGATAATAATCAATTCAAAAAAAAGTATAAAGTCTTTGCTTTTTTTATTATAAATCACGAAACCGTTCTAGAAAAGTATGTTTCTAAAATAACTCGTATAACCAAAAGAACTAAAAAAGATGTTGATAGTTTACCTTGGATTGATTCATGAGAAGAAATGTAACAAAATATATTTTGTCACATTTCTTCTCGTCAATCAATTCAAGGTAAAATATCTACATCTTTTATTTCTTTTGATTTATGATTATAACTTTTCTAGAATGTTTTTTTTATTTTAAAATATAAAAAAATTCCAGAAATTCTCTATACATTATCTTAGCACTAACCATCTTCACAAAGTTTTACAATAGTTAAGTACTGTTGAAAAAAAAACTAAAGACGCTAAACGAGATAGATCAACCGCGTAAGACTTTAAAAAGTTAATAAATTTCATATGTTACATATATCTTCAAATTAAGTGGTTTATAGATAATAAAAACTAGGGAACTGATCAAAATCCCTAAAACTCACCATAACTCCATGAATTGAAGAACTCAAACCTAAGATTTGTCTCAAATACGAAGAAGGTCATCTAAATCCAAGTTGGTTAATCAAGTCTTCTTCAGAAAGATATGCAAAATGGTTATATAGATCATTGTCATACATTTCATCTGCGTGATTTATATGTTGTTGCAAAAATGAAGCAGTGATCTTTGTTATCACTTAACTGACTGCTTGATATAGTTCTTTTTTTTTTTTGTAATTTGGAAAGTGGTTTTGAATATTCTAGCAATGTACAAGATTTAAAATTATCAGCAGCCCCTCCAAAGTTTGTAAGATCTTCTTCCTCTGATTTAGATATATTACATTTTTCTTCACTAGTGTGTTCTGTTTTGACATTCATACCACTCTATGTTGTGACTTTTCATCAACTTTTTAGCTTTTATGAAATGTCTGCTAAAATTGTCTCTGCCCTTTACTGAGTATGTTTAAAGATAAGATTTAGCCCAGAAATCTGCATTTTAAGAACGCCAGCATGAAGTGCAGAGAAAGCGAGATGGACTCAAGAATAGTTTATGCAATCCAACAAGTCTATCTATGCAGTACCAATCTCTCCGAAGTGAGTAAATCTAAGTGTAGTAACTAGAATTTTCTGTTTTCTTTTTCTTTTTCTTGCTGAGCTTCTTTCATGTATAGACTGTTATTAGAGCGATATGATTCATTTGCATTATGATACAAATAATTGGATATTACTATATTAGAATTGTATGTTATTACTGTGTTTAAAGTGTCTGTCTTCCAGTTCCTTACTCATCATCAACCACTCTTTGTCCTGTTTCTTACTCTTTCAGAATCCAGATCCATCTCATAGGTTGTCTTTATTGGGTAACAGCATTGAAGAGAGATAACTTGTGTGGTTCTCAACTTACAAGTTACAACTATGGAGAAGAAGAAGAATAACCAAAGATATGGCTCTCTTTCACACTCAATAAGATAAGATGGATTCGCTTATAGTGTCTTTGCCACACTTTGACTTTTGTTCTAATTCCATGTTCTTCTTGCTTCATTCCAAACTAAGAAAGCTTCCCTTAAATGCTGCAGGTGTACCTTTGAATTGGCGCGTTTTTCGGTAACCATGGATTGTTGAGGACAGGAAACTGACACTGAATGGGAGGACCAAGATACCAAAATTCGTATCTTGCCTTTGTTCTGTCATCAGGTAATCATTATTTATTTTCTCTTCTCACTGAGTTTCTTGTTAACTCTAGGTATTATTAGACTGATATGATCCTTTTACATACAGTTTTAAAAGTTATTTGTTCAACTTCTTAAGATATTATATTAATTTCCGGTGGAAATTTGAAATTACTAAAAGCAAATGATTATAGTGATTAAACATTGACCAGCATGTAAAGTGATTATAATAATCCAAAGTGGGTGATGATGAAGTGATGATGAATCATTGAGCTTTGTATTCTTTAGTTTTATCTTAACTATGAAACAGTGGATGTGGAAATTTCAACGTAAAGTGGACTGAAATCTAACTAATCCTTTCTTCCCTCGTCATTTGTTCAGCTTCAGCTCTAGCTTCATTGTTTCTTTGTATTCTTTTCTCTCTTTCATTACCATGGGGAGTTGTTTTTCTATTCAAGTTACTGTTGATGGTCAAACGCTGAATCGTATCTTTAGATGCTTATGTGGTAAAGGTTATATCCGAACCCTCAAGAAGAATCTCAGAGCTCTGCAGAGGGAAATGGAAGATCTCAGAGCAATTGAAGATGAGGTGCAGAACAAAGTAGCCAGAGAAGAGAGGCTGCATCAACAAAGGCTTAAATCTGTCCAGGTATGGCTTACCCGTGTCGATAACATTGATTCACAAATCAAAAATTTGCTTAGTACAAGTTCTGTTCAGCTTCAGAAGTTGTGTCTCTGTGGTTTATATTCCAAAACCGTATGTTCAAGCTACAGTTATGGGAAAAGGGTATTCTTGTTGTTGGAAGAGGTTAAACAACTTATATCAGAGAGTAATTTTGATGTCGTTGCTGAGCCAGCACCGAGATCTGAAGTGGAGGAGAGGCCTACACAGCCTACGGTTGGTCAGGAATTAATACTCAAAAAGGCATGGAACCACCTTGTTGAAGATGGAGTCGGAATCATGGGTCTGCACGGTATGGGCGGTGTTGGGAAAACAACACTCTTCAAAAAAATTCATAATAAGTTTGCTGAAATGGCTGGTAAGTTTGATGTTGTGATCTGGGTTGTGGTATCTCAAGGCGTAAAGACTTCTAAGCTTCAAGATGATATTGCACAAAAGCTACACCTTTGTGACGAGGTGTGGATGAACAAAAATGAAGGTGATAAGGCCGCAGAGATGCACAGAGTTCTAAAGAAGAAGAGATTTGTTTTGATGCTAGATGACATATGGGAGAAAGTGGATTTAGAAGCCATTGGAGTTCCGTATCCTACAAGAGAAAATGGATGCAAAGTAGCATTCACCACCCGTTCTCAAGAAGTATGTGGGCGGATGGGGGATCATGAACCAATGCAAGTCAAGTGTTTGGAACGAGATGAAGCATGGGAACTGTTTAAAAACAAGGTCGGGGACGATACATTAAGAAGAGATCCCCTCATTGTGGCACTTGCCAGAAAGGTCGCTGAAAAATGTCGCGGTCTACCACTTGCGCTCAATGTCATTGGTGAGACAATGGCGTCTAAAACTACGGTACAAGAATGGGAGAATGCAGTCGATGTTTTGGTTAGTTCTGCTGCTGAGTTTTCTGACATGGAAGATAAAATTCTTCCAGTTCTGAAGTACAGCTATGATAGCTTGGTGGATAAACATATCAAGTCGTGTTTCCTGTATTGTGCTTTATTTCCAGAAGATAAAACAATAGATAAAGAAGAGTTGATAGACTATTGGATATGTGAGGGATACATCGGGGAATGCCAGGTTATAAAAAGATCGATGAATAAGGGTTATGAGATACTCGGGACCCTTATCCGTTCAAATTTACTAACGGAAGTTGGTACACATGATGTTGTGATGCATGATGTGGTTCGCGAAATGGCTCTGTGGATTACCTCATGTTTTGGGAAACAGAAAGAGACTTTTATCGTGCAAGCAAACGTCGGATTAATAAAAATACCTAAAGTAAAGGATTGGGGAGTTGTGAGAAAGATGTCATTAATGAATAATAGCATTGAAGAGATAACATGCAGTTTCAACTGTCCTGAGCTTACCACTTTGTTCCTCCAGTATAATAATTTGAAGAATCTCTCAGGAGAATTCCTCCTGTCTATGCAAAAGCTTGTGGTTTTGGATCTATGTGGTAATTCCAGTTTTAAGAAATTTCCGGAACAGATATCGGGGCTGGTCTCGTTGCAGTTTTTGGACTTGTCACATACTAGTATAGTGCAACTGCCTGTTGGCTTCCAAGAGTTGAAAAGGCTAACTCACCTGAATTTGACTTCTACAAAGAGACTTGGTAGTATGGTTGGGATATCAAATTTGAGGAGTTTAAAGATTTTGAAACTACTGAATTCTAAAGTTCATGGAGATGTTAGCTTATTGAAGGAGCTGCAGTGCTTAGAGCATCTACAAACACTCACCATAACGATATCTACAGAGTTGGGTTTGGAACAAATATTAGGCGATCAAAGGTTGGCGAACTGCATAACTAGTCTGGATATTAGTGATTTTCGAAAAAAGCCATTCGACATATCATTGCTGGTGAGTATGAAGAATCTTAATGAGCTCTGGGTGGTAAGTTGTCATGTCGCGGAGATTAATACATCTATGAAGTGCAGAGAAATGGAGAGGGACTCATCTGATTTACAGAACACGACATGTCCATGCTTCACCAACCTCTCCATTGTGCGTATAATTAATTGCCATAGCATGAAAGATCTGACTTGGTTATTGTTTGCTCCAAATCTTGTCTACCTAGACGTTACATTTGCTGGAGAAGTGGATGAAATTATAAACAAAGAGAAAGCAATCAACTTCACAGGTATTACTATTACACCATTTCAGAACCTACAAGTGTTATCATTGACAAATTTACCTAAGCTGGAGAATATCTACTGGAGTCCTCTCCCCTTTCCATCTTTGAGGCGGATAAGTGCAATAGGTTGTTCAAAGCTTCGAAAGCTTCCCTTAAATGCTACAAGTGTCCCACGCAGTGACGAGTTTTCAATAGCAATGCTTCCTCCGAAACAACAAGATTACCTTGAATGGGAGGATGAAGATACCAAAAATCGTTTCTTGCCTTCATTCAGTCAGGTAATCATTTCTCTTAATCGCTTCCGCTTGTGTTCACTGAGTTTCTTATGCTCTATGTTTGCATGAGATATACACCATTATTAGACTGATCACTGATATGAGCCATTTTGCATAACACAATTTGAATCACTAAGATGTCATTTAGTTTAAAACATAAAACAAGCAAGTGATTCATGTTTTGCTTTCACTCTTGTTCAGCAATACGAATAGTCTCTGCCTCTCGATTTTAATGCATTCCAGAAGTGGATAACTGACTTTGTTTCTTTTGTTCTTATTTAGTGGCGGCGTTAGGTCTAAACATCTTTTTACTGTGAGTCTGGATTCGTCACTGGCTAAAATCAGAAACCACGCTTCTTCTTTTGTTGCTTTCATTTTCTTTTTGTAGAGGGAGGGTGTTGTCCATTTGAATTGTATTATTGCTTCTGATTTACATTCTGATCCTTCAGACTACATCTAGATGAAAAGTTGTGGTTTTGCTATATCATGCAGATATTGATAAAAAGTAATGATTTTGCTAAATTATGAACATCTGATGTGAATCCCTTAAACCTCATTCTGACAGTACTAAGGCTGTGATCTAACTCTAAACTTGTTGAGTGTTATGGTAAACTCAGTCTTGTTTTCTCTTCCAGTCTTCCCTCTGTTGATGATCCGATGTGGTATACTCTTTTATCCGATGTGGCATATTTCACAGGTTTGAGTGCCCTTAGATTTTAAGCCTATTTCATCACTGTAGTTTGTATTCTATGTGTTTAGTTTCATCACTGTGTTTATTTTTTTATTTTTTTTCTTTCATTGACCTTTGTTTTCTTTACAACATGGTTGCGTGTTAAGTGATTATAACAATCTAAACTGGGCGATTAGTCATCGATATCTGTATCGTTGACCATTGCTTTTTTAAAAGTGATTACAATAATCCAAACAGGGAGAGATAAAATCATTGACCTTTGTGTTTTCTGGAAGATAGTTGCATATAAAATATGATTATAATAATCCTAAAACACTTCTTCAGCTTTAGCTTCGTTGTATTTTTCTTTCTTTGATAGATGGTTTACATTTTCGTTGTTACTTGGTGAAAACATTACCTCTTTCATTCAACATGGGGAATTTTGTGTGTATCGAAGTTTCTAGTGATCAAACGGTGGATCGTTTCATTAGATTCTTACGTGGTAAAGGTTATATTCGAAACCTCAAGAAGAATCTCAGGGATTTGGAGAGGGAAATGGAAGATCTCAGAGCAATAAAAGATGAGGTGCAGAACAAGGTAGCGAGAGAGGAGACACGACATCAACAAAGGCTTAAAGCTGTCCAGGTATGGCTTACCCGTGTCGATAGCATTGATTTACAAATCAAAAGTCTACTTAGTACTTGTCCCGTTGAGCTTCAGAAGTTGTGTCTCTGTGGTTTATGTTCAAAATATGTATGTTCAAGCTATAATTATGGGAAAAGCGTATTCTTGTTGTTGGAAGAGGTTAAGAATCTCAAATCAGAAGGTAACTTCGAAGTGGTTGCTGAGGAAGCTACGACATCTAAAGTAGAGGAGAGGCCTACTCAATCTACGATTGGTCAGGATAAATTGCTCCAAATGGCATGGAATCGCCTTATGGAAGATGGAGTCGGAATTATGGGTCTGCATGGTATGGGAGGTGTTGGCAAAACTACACTCTTCAAAAAAATCCACAATAAGTTTTCTGAAATGGCTGGTGGCTTTGACGTTGTGATCTGGATTGTGGTGTCCCAAGGCGCAAAGACTTCAAAGATTCAAGAAGATATTGCACAAAAGCTACACCTTTGTGGCGACGAGTGGATCAATAAAAACGAAACTGACAAGGCTGGTGACATATACAGTTTTTTAAAGGGGAAAAGATTTGTATTGATGCTAGATGATATATGGGAGAAAGTGGATTTAGAGGCTATCGGAGTTCCATATCCGACAAGAGAAAATGGAAGTAAAGTAGCATTCACCACCCGTTCTTTGGAAGTATGTGGGCGAATGGGGGATCATGAACCGATTCAAGTCAATTGCTTGGAACCAGATGACGCATGGGAATTGTTTAAAAACAAGGTCGGATACAATTCATTAAGAAGAGATCCCTCCATTATCGAGCTAGCAAAAAAGGTTGCTGAAAAATGTCGAGGTTTGCCACTGGCGCTCAGTGTCATTGGTGAGGCGATGGCATCTAAAACTATGGTACAAGAATGGGAGCATGCAATCGATGTTTTGACTACATCCGCTGCAGAGTTTTCTGACATGGAAAATAAAATTCTTTCGATTCTCAAGTACAGCTACGATAACTTGGTGGATGAACATATCAAGTCGTGTTTTCTATATTGTGCTCTGTTTCCAGAAGATAATTAGATAGATAAAGAAAAGTTGATAGACTACTGGATATGCGAAGGATTCATTGGAGACTACAATGTTGTAAAAAGAGCGAGGAATAAAGGTTATGAGGTACTCGGTACCCTTATCCGTGCAAATTTATTGACAACGGTTGGTACAACATTTGTTATGATGCATGACGTGGTTCGCGAAATGGCTTTGTGGATTGCATCCAATTTTGGGAAAGAGAAAGAAAATTTTGTTGTACAAGCAAGAATGGAATTACATGAAGTACCAAAAGTCAAGGACTGGGGAGCTGTGAGAAGAATGTCATTAATGACTAATAATATTACAGAGATAACATGCAAATTCAACTGTTCTCGTCTTATCACTCTGTTCCTCCAGAATAATAACTTGAAGAATTTCTCAGGTGAATTTATCCGGTCTATGAAAGAGCTAGCTGTTTTGGATCTATCATGTAATTCCCACATCATTGAACTTCCAGAGTATATATCAGAACTAACATCCTTGCGGTTTCTTGACTTGTCGGGTACAAGTATTACGCATCTACCTGTTGGTTTTCAAGAGTTGAAAAAGCTAATTCACCTGAATTTGGCTTATACAAAGAGACTTTGTAGTATCAATGGGATATCAAAGTTGCCGAGTCTAAGAGTTTTGAAACTACAAGATTCTAATGTTGTTCATGGATACGTAAGCGAAGAATATTATAATGACGTAACTAGAGCTCGTGCAGAGGTTAGCTTAGTGAAGAAGTTGCAGCTCTTGGAGCACCTTCAAGTTCTAACCATCTCTTTATCTACGGATTTGGGTTTGGAGCAAATATCCGGCGTTCAAAGGTTAGCAAACTGCATCAATAGTGTGCAAATGCATAAATTTCAACAAAAGCCGTTGAATATATCATTGTTGGTGAATATGGAGAATCTTTGTGAGCTCAGAATGCTTTACACTCATGTCTCGGAGATGAATTCATATAAAAATTTCAGAGAAAGAAGAAAAAACTCGTCTGATCTATATAATCCGACAAGTCCATGCTTCAGCAACCTCTCTCTAGTGAATATATTTTATTGCAATGGCATTAAGGATCTGACTTGGCTATTGTTTGCTCCAAATCTTGTCGAGCTACGCATTGTACGTTCAGAAGAACTGGAAGAAATTATAAACAAAGAGAAAGCAACCAATCTCACTGGTATGATCCCATTTCTGAAACTAGAAAGCTTACGGTTGAACAGATTGCCAAAGCTGGAGAGTATCTACTGGAGTCCTCTTCCCTTTCCATTTTTGAGGGAATTAACTGCACAAAACTGTCCAAAGCTGAGAAAGCTTCCTTTAAATGCTACAAGTGTCCCTCAAGTTGAGGAATTTGTAATATATATGGATCCTCGAGAACAAGGAAATGGCCTTGAATGGGAGGACGAAGATACCAAAAATCGTTTCTTGTCTTCAATCAATCTGGTAATCAGTTCTTTTAATCTCTTCTGCTTGGTTTTTTTTGCCATCAGCTTTTTTTTGTTTTTCATGTTTAACCTTGGCTACTATGAGGGATGATACATTTGCATCATGATACTGATACCCAACAAACACAAATTGTAATTCATAATAGAATATGTGCATCTCACATTGTTTCGTTATTTCCTTTGTCTCATTTTTGTGGCTTTAGGTCTAACGTATTCTTTACTCTAGATTGGGAATATTCATTTCTCTTATTCTCTTTGGCTTGAGTTTCTTACTTGGTTGCTCTATGTTAGCATGAGGTATGCACCCTTAATATACATAGATGATCTATTTGCATCATGATACACAACAAACACAATAAGTATCACATAAAAAGATTCTAATATGCCTCTCAATTTCAATGTGTACTTCTACAAGTGTCACTAACTTTGTTTTTTTTCCTTCTCTATGGGCTTTAGATCTAAACGTTATTTGCTGTGGATTGGGATTCGACACTATCTAAAATCAGATCTATGTATACGTATATGTATGTTTCTTTTGGCTTTATGTTGCTTCTTGCTGTGTATATATGTTGTGTTATTAATTTGGATTGTATCATTTGCTTTTCCTTTGCACTTGGATTACGTACATCACACAATTCAGTAACAGTTTACATTTTAGTGATGTATTTTCATTTTTTTCTATGTTACTAAACATAATATGGATATACACTAAGACTGTGATCTAATTTCTAATCTATGTATAGTGGCTTTCTGATTTGAGGCAGTAAAGAAGAGCCAATTTTGGTTTATAGTACAACTAGAGATTCTTTTTCATAATATTTCAGAGTTTCCACATTCTATAAAATTAGTTAACTAAATTGTAAAGAATCAACGGAAAGCTCTTTCAAGAAACAGAATGATCTCAGGCTCTCATCTCAGCCAAGTTGGCAAGCTAATCTTTTAAAGTCATAATCAACGTTACCTGCACTTTTTTTTGTTTTTTTGTTTTGTTTTGTGTGAAGTATGTTGAGATTCTTTTTGTGCGTCAAGACGTGTTAACCGGTCTCATTCGTGGATTCCTAGTTACTACATGTTTAATCCACTTTCCCATTAATTCTTAGATAATATGTGTTTGATAGAAAAAGAACATTTTTAAAAGCATTTTATTTGTTTTTTTTTCTGTTTTTATCACATTTAAAAAGAAATATTTTTATCACAAATTTTTTCTATTACATTTATATATATTAAATTATCGAGATAGTAAATTTAAATATTTTAAATTATGTAACTTCATTATGTTTTCCTGTAAATTTTTAAAGATTGTTAAACCTTCGTAAAATATTCTAGAAATAATTTATGAATAGAATTACGATATTTTAAGATTTTTAATGATGGTAAAAACATTTGTAAGTGAAACAAAACAGAATAAAAGCTTCTCACCAAAAGATGTGATAGTCCAAAAAGGTTTTATCGAAGTTTTAAAATTGTGTTTTTAAGAAATTTCATATTTCTTTATTAAATTATTGATTCTAAGAACCTTTCACTATACCTCACTATATTTACAGACACACTTATGATACTATAATTTGAAATAATCGTGTTTTGATGATGTTTTTTTGTGCTCTCTAACTCTTTTTTAGTGATTTTTAATTTGTTTACCTTTGATTAGTGTTCGGAATTTTGTTAAGAAAGGGAAAATATAGCTTAAATTTTTTTTTATATATCATACATACCAAAATTTACAACTATTAATTTGTCAAATAAAGTAAAAGTTGCAACATTTCATCAAATATACAAAAAGTTGCAAAACTTCAACAAATAAACTTTAAGTTACAATATTTAATAAAATAAACCAAATACTAAGTTGAAATTAAAATCTGTTACTAGTAATGATTACGAGCTTCTCCTAAAATCCAATTATCCACCATATGAACGATACCACATTGTTTATAGACTAGCAATTTTTTCCAAAACTGGTTAAAAATCAATCAAAATGCAAATTTAATCAAATCCTTACAAAATCCAAAAATCAAATATCAATTTCATCATTAAACCATGAAATTAATAGTAACCATCAAACTTGTAAGATGTTGATGATCACTGTAACAACGGAAGAAATAAGGTAATCAAAACACAAACAAATATTACTTTTTTACTTTACTTTTTATTAAAAAATAAATCTCAAACTTTGACATTTTTTCCTTCAAACTAACAGATTTTTAAATTGCCACATCATTAAGAGAAGAGTTATATTGAGGATGATTTTTGAAATCGTAGTATTGACATGTATTTATTTGATATTGAGGGGTTTCTTGCAAAAAAAAATTACTTACAAGGTTTTTTTTACACAAAAATCTTTCAAAAACAATGGTTCAATTAAACGGTAGCAACAATTTATTTAGTTATATTAATGTGATTAAAATTATAAAATAAAATTAAGAAAAGTTATTATCGAGAGATGTGATGATGGAAAATATTTTCCTTAGATATTTATTATAAAGACAAAAAAGTGTAACAGTTCATAAAATATATCAAAATTGCACCGGTTTATCAAATATACTAAACTTTTTAGCAATTTTAACAAATGTAATTCATCAGAAAACCAAAAATTACAATGGTTAGTAACATATACTATATGTTGCAACAATTCAATTAATAGCAATAAATCAATAAAAAGTTTTTTAAAAATTATGAAATAGTAGATGGTTCGAGTGGCACTTAGATAAAAACAGAATAAAATACTTTAGTTTCAAGTTGAAATTCTATATACCGGATCCCAGCACTAATGCACCGGATCCCATCAGAACTCCGCAGTTAAGCGTGCTTGGGCGAGAGTAGTACTAGGATGGGTGACCTCCCGGGAAGTCCTCGTGTTGCATTCCTTTTATAACCGTGATCGATGAATGCCTGACGACAAAAAAAAAAAAAAAAAAAAAAAAAATTCTATATTGAGCCGAAATCCACAATCTTTTCATAATTCATAAATTACAATTCTTTAACGTGAACGTTTTAAACATAAAAAATAAAAACGAAAGTTAACGTAACAAACTAAATATCTACCATTGACAAAAAAAAAAGAAAAGAAAAAACTAAATATCTACCGACCTAAAAATATAACATGAGACAAAAAAAAAAGATTATAATTTTTTTCAAAAAATAAATGATATAAGAAGAAACACTTTCAAAACTTAATAAATTTATTTTCTGAGAAAAAACACATATTACAGAAAATGTTAACAATTATATAGTACACGAGACCACAAAAGAATCAAATCACTAAAAATATAACGGTCTTTTCGTGTATATGATCACCATGGCCATACATCTATGGATTGTCTTGCAGAAGTATTCTATGTTTTGAACTCACATTACTTTAATTTATTTCTAAGGTTGATACTTGATCGTGTCTATTCAAAGACACAAACAAAAACCAAGAGACGATGACGTGTTGCCTCACCAATCAAATAATATTTTTCGTGACCAAAATACAAGCTTTGTAATTGTATGATGGAGTTGGAGAAAATAAAAACTGAACCAATAGAGAGAAGTCAAGTCAATTCGAAGCAATGTTGTTTTCGTAATATTTCCTTCTTCGATTCAATGACCAGACAAAAACAAAAGGGTATTTTCGTCAGAACCGAGAAGAACAAACTTCGAAAAAAACTATAGAGAGAGGTCCTCTGTCCAAGAAAAATGCTTTTTTTTTTTTTTTTAATTTATAAACCCGACCGACCGATTAATAAATCAAATTAAATAATTTCTGATAAAATTAAATAAAAACTTTCTTCTTCTTCTTCTTCTTCTTCTCTGTTTCTTTTGCTTTTGTTTCTTCTTCTTCTTCGTGTCGTCGTCACTATTTGAATCTGATTTTTGTCTCTGTTCCTTTCTCAATCTTCTTCTTCACCCGAATCTGATTCTTTCTCACGCTTTTCTCGATTTTTTTCAAATCTCAACGGGAAGCTATCTCCAATTCTTCTTGTTTCTCAATTTTGAATCTCCCTAAAATCTCGAGCTCTGTCGTCTAGTGACAATTGGGGGTTTTTTCTCAGCTCCGATTCACCGATTTTTCCGATCTATTCAGGAAGCTATAGATTCGATTCTGGATTTCTCAACGGATTTGCTGCATAATCGAGTAGATTATGGCGAAGCGTGGATATAAGCTCCGTATCCTTACAATTTTTCAGGCGATTTTGTTTGATTCTTTAGCTGTGGTGCCTTGGCTTTTAGCTGGGTTCTGAGTAATTTATCACTGAATCGTTAGAGTTTACTTTCTATGTACTCTCAAGAACAAACTTTGGTTTCATTGCTTCTTGATAAGGTTCAGCATTTTCAAGATTCTAGCAGATATTAATTTCCGGGTCAAAATGTTTCTATTATTGTCTGCTTAATCAAACTGAGAGCAAAATGGTAGAAAAAGACACTGCAATTAATATGTTTCTTCTTTTTTTCTCCGTGTGTTTATCATCTTGAATGTTTCTGGATATGATTTGATTTCCCATTGTTGTTGACCTGTTTTATGTTTTCATGTCGGGTTGCTTCAAAAGGTTGTTTCATTTTTGTTGATATGTTCTTGTCTCTGGTTTTGTTTATAACTTAACTTGAGTTGTTGGGAACTTAGAGGAGTTTTTGGCACATTCTGCAAATGTGAATTGCTTAAGTATTGGAAAGAAGACATCACGTCTCTTTATAACTGGTGGTGATGATTACAAAGTCAACCTTTGGGCGATCGGCAAGCCTACTTCTTTAATGGTTTGTTTCACATTTCCTTTCTTCAGTATGTGTTTTGTTTCTACTAATTTCTTGAGCAAAAAAGAATGATGCTATATCCTTTTCATATCTTTATTGGCAGAGTCTATGTGGACATACTAGTGCAGTGGATTCAGTAGCTTTTGACTCCGCAGAAGTTTTGGTGCTCGCTGGAGCTTCTTCCGGTGTGATAAAGCTGTGGGATGTAGAAGAAGCAAAGAGTTAGTTGATTGATTTTCTGCTCTCCAATTAGAATATTTATTGCTTCTTATATATAGAACTAGTCTCATCATTTAACTGGAATATATTAGATACCATTTGAGTTATGGTTAATGTGGGTTATGGGTCCAGTTATCTGAGCAGTGTACCAGACTAAATATATTGTTTAGTTTAGAATTATGAGGTCTAACATTTTCACTCTTGCCCTTGAAGTGTAGTGGTTCGAGCTTTTACTGGACATAGATCCAATTGTTCTGCTGTTGAATTTCATCCCTTTGGTGAATTTTTGGCATCGGGATCAAGTGACGCGAATCTAAAGATTTGGGACATCAGAAAAAAGGGATGCATACAGACGTACAAGGGTCATACTCGTGGCATCAACACTATTAGATTTACTCCTGATGGTCGTTGGGTAGTGTCAGGAGGACTTGACAATGTTGTAAAGGTAAGGACACCATTTTCAACAAATGAAACTTGTGGATCATTTTTTTCCAACTTGATCTTTGAACAATGTACTACATATTGTTTCCAATAGGTATGGGATTTGACTGCTGGAAAGCTTTTGCATGAATTTAAACTTCATGAAGGAGCTATCCGTTCACTAGACTTCCACCCACTCGAGTTCCTCCTAGCCACAGGTTAGTATGTGTTTCTTTGTTTTTCAGGCGTTTTAAGGGTAACTTGGTGGCAATTTTGAGTGGGTAGATTAACTATCCTCTCTTTAATCACACGTTTTATATTGAGGTCTTGATTTCACACTCTCTATTCATTATTCAGGTTCTGCAGACAGGACTGTAAAGTTCTGGGATTTGGAAACGTTTGAATTGATTGGATCTACCCGACCAGAGGTACTACCCTGTTGTATCTCTAGATACTGATTTTCCAGGGGAATCTATCACAAGTGTTTTTACCAATATTTCCTTTTAGCGTGATTACCTTGAAAACCTCATACAATACCAATATCAGAAATCTGCTTATTCTTCGTCTTTCTCTGAAGACTGTTAAGGGAAATTCCAAGTGATGATTTTGTTATTTAAAAAGGTGTAGAAGAAGTAAATATAATTTTTTCGCAAAAAGTAGCATCTGATGAGAATCATGAGATAATGTTTTTGCTTGAGCTGTCTTTGTAGTATTGTCTTAGAACATCTTATTCACATAATTTCCATGGGATGTGGATTTCCTTGTTTCACAGGCTACTGGAGTTCGTTCAATCAAATTTCATCCGGATGGGCGAACCCTTTTTTGTGGTTTGGATGATAGCTTAAAGGTTTTGATTTGTTTTTGTGATGAAATTTACCATATTGAGGGTTCTCAGTGTTTAAAACATTCATATCATAATTTGATACTCATAATTCAGGTTTATTCATGGGAACCAGTAGTTAGCCATGATGGTGTTGATATGGGATGGTCAACGCTTGGTGACTTATGCATCAGCGAAGGGAAGCTCCTGGGTTGTTCGTACTACCAAAATTCCGTAGGGATTTGGGTGTCAGATATATCAGTATGTCAGCTATTGTGATTGTCCATACCTTTAAAAAGTTATATGAAGCATGTAGCTAAAAATTCGAGAGTTCATTCTTTTTTCTTTGTGTTTTTCTTGTTTCCTTTATTAAAACAGCAAATTGAGCCATATGGCACTGGATCTGTGGATAAAAAGGAATGCGTGGAGAAAATACTCAGTGCACTGGATGATCAGTCCTCTGATAAAATAAGGAGTAGCTCAAGGCGCAGCTCATCTCCAGATTATGAGACAAAAGAGATCAAAAACATATACATCGACTGTGAGTAAATGTTAATATTGTTTCGATGTTTGTGGATTTATTTTCTACCTTGAACTGATCGAAACTTGACCTTTCAAGTGGGGTATGGCAGCTTTTGGTTAGGTTTCTCGAAGTCTCAGGATGGTAGCTTACTAGTTACTGTCATGCCAACTATATCTAGAAATTAAGCACATAACGATTGATTTCAGTAGACTATTAACGGATATCACCAACTCTGGTTTACTTGCGCTAGTGGTAGGAAAGCTAACTTATCTTTAGGCCTGCTCTAAACATATATTTTTCGTACATGTGTTTGTGTTTATTCCGAAATTTTGTAGCAGTTGATATTGAATTGAGTCTGTAACAGTGGTCTTTTTTCTGAATTAAATAGTGATAGCCGTAACCATTGTGACCTGGACTGTGATTTTCAGTATTCAGCGTCAGTTTCTCTGCAATAGTGATAGCCATAACCATTGTGACCTGGACTTCTGTATGCCTATCGTTTATATTTGGTTTAATACTCTCTCTCCTCTTCAACGCTGCAGGTGGAAATTCGGCTGTTGCACATAAGTCAGTATCTCTAATTACTCCGAAAGTCAAAGAAACTTCGACTGGACAAGAAGGGGACAATAAATCTATCATAGTGCAAAGTGTTGTACCACGAGATAGTAAAATTGGGAAAGACTCTTCTGATTCAGGAAAGGAATCTATCACTTTATTAAAAACAAAACCGGGCATGCTGCTGAGACCAGCTCATGTAAGAAAGACGCCAACAAAGTATGATGAAACCAAGCAGTCAGTGGCCATTCAATTCGGGATTCCAAAGAAAAGTGGATCGGACAGTGAGAAGAAGCTAGATACTGGGACGGCATTTGATTCAGAAAGAAGTGTCAGGAAACCATTTAATGTTGACGATTCAATCATCAAGAGTATAACCAGCAAGTTTGAACAAGCTTTATTACCAGAATCACCAACTGATGAAGCGAAATGTAGGTTCTCCCAGTTCATTCTTTAGTTTCATCAAATTTTAAGTTTTTAGATTATCTAATCCTATCCTTTTGGAAACCTTTCCATCTTTGACTCAGGTATGGTGCTGAAACCACCTCATGTACAGAGATCACCAAGTACTAGATATAATGAGGCAAAATTGGCGACATCTGTTGATTCTGGAGCTTTAGACAGTAAAAACAGTGGGTTAGAGTCCTCAAAATACATAGAATCACCAACAGGGCTCAAGGATGACAGAGGTAGTAACCCGTGTGAGGACGTTATCGATAACAAGAGCATTTCAAGCAGGTCAGAAAGAGTTCTATCACCAGAGAAAGCTGGTGATGAAATGAAAAGTAAGTCTTGATTCAAAACTATGGGTTTTTTTTGCTTCTAAAGTCAATGCTAAAACTAGTGCAACGTTTATGTGTATGGCTTCCCTTTTACCTTTGAAAACTGTCCATTAAGGAGTGAATTATTGTATAAAAGACAGTCGAGAACAAAAATCAATCTGGAAGAATGACCCGGCAGAAATGTAATAGCATTAGCTTTTAGGTTGCTACATCTAAATCTTTAGCTGCGTTTATGACTTCCTTTACAGTTTTCATGCTGGTTGTGGTCAAGTTACTCGGTCTTCAGGCAATGATCAGTTTATAATTGGTTGTAAATATTGTGTCATGTAGGCCTTGAATCCCCAGAAGGTAACAAAGAATCAAACTCCGTCAAGGTTGTTAGAGGAGGTTAGCCATTCAAAGTTTGCGGTCTTTGTTTTTCTTTGGTAGCATATTAGTCATCTGGTTATTAATTCTTTAAAAACTGCTGTGTTTACAGTAAAAGTTGTTTCGGGAAGGACGCGGTCATTGGTTGAGAGGTTTGAAAGAGGAGAAAAAGTTACTCATACTGAAGATAAAGCAGCCAGTGCAACAATAGTTCAGAGCTCTGATGCTGTAGAGGAAGAACCCCAGACAGCATCAGTACAGGCAGTCAGTATGACGCCCACCCAGGTAATGCCAGTTAAACTTGATCAGGCAACTAACTCGATGCCAGTTGAAGTTTCTGTGTTATCAACACGACGAACTAGGAGTACTCCAGTCAGAGTGATGCCTGTGGTACTCGGTCGGGACACTTATATGGCAACTGATGAGCCTCCTGTAACATCAACACGACCTGATAGGACTTCTTCTACTAATTTGGCATCTGATGTGTCTTGTGTAACATCTACACGACAACCTAGGACTTTACCAGCTCCAGTTATGCCTGAGATAGTCGATCAGATATCAAATATGGAATCTAATGAGCCTCCTGTAACATCAACACAACCTGATAGGACTTCTACTATTTTGACATCTGATGAGTCTGATGTAACATCAACACGACAAGCTAGGACGTCTCCAGCTCCAGTTATGCCTATGATACTCAATCAGACATCAAAAATGAAATCTGATGAGCGTCCTGTAACATCAACACGACCTGATAGGTCTTCAGCTACTAATTTGATATCTGATGAGTCTCCTGTAACATCCACCCGACAAGCTAAGACTTCTCCAGCCCTAGTTACGCCTGTGATACTCAATCAGCGTAAAAAAACTAACATGAAATCTGATGAGCCTCCTGTAATATCAACAAGACAAGTTAGGACCACTTCAGCGCGAGTAATGCCTGTGATACTTAATCAAGCATCTAATACATATGATGAGCGTCCTGTATCATCTTCACGATCAGCTAGGACGTCTCCAGCCCGTGTAATGACAATGAAACTCACTCAAGTAGAAAATATGCCATCTTATGAGCCTCAAGTTGCATTAACACGATCAGCTAGGAACTCTCCTGCCCGTGTAATTCCTGTGAGAAACAGTCAAGCAAGTAACTTGACATCTAATGCATCTAATATAAGATCAAGGCAACGATATAGCCCAACGCAAACACTGTCAACACCTGCAGCACTTGATCAGGTGACTGATATGACACTGGATGAGGCATATATATCAGAAACGCAACCAGCTTCTGATATTTTGACCCAGGTAAGCTTCTAGTGATAAGTTTAGGAAACTAATAGACATCTCCATCTTTGAAATGTAGCCCGTTCTATAATTGATATTGGTCGTCACTGATGATAAGAGGAAAAAAATTGGAATTGCAAGGAATACAAAGTTGAAAGAGCTCTGAATACATATTAAGTTTTTGATTTGTTTGGCTTATGCAGAAAGAAGAGCCTCAGATATCTGGGAGGGAGAATGATGGTGACATTTGGGAGACTTTAATGGAAACGCATAATGAGGTGTTAAACACTCTTCAATCAAGGTTAACAAAATTACAGGTAAATTTTGTCTCTGCTAATCCTTTTTTTCATAGTTTCTCTTGTTTTCTTGTCCTTTTTCTGTTCATTTCTTTTTTCATCGTTGATCATGAACATGCAGATTGTAAGACATTTTTGGGAACGTAGTGATATTAAAGGTGCGATCATGGCCTTGAGAAAGCTGTCAGATCACTCTGTAAGTATCCCAGTAGATATACTTGTGCCCGTCTTTTTTATATGCTTATATGTTTGGAAAAAGCTGACTCGCTTAAACTGGAACAGGTTCAAGCAGATGTGATCAGTATTCTGACTGACAAAACAGAGATTTTAACATTGGATCTGTTTTCTCAGTTAGCACCCGTCCTCACAGGCTTGTTGGGCAGCAGGACTGAGAGGTAAGTTATCTTATTATATACTCAACCTTAAGACTTTGGTTTGATTTGACTTTGAGATATAAATAAAGTGATCTTCATGATTTGGCTTGCGAATAAGGGCATGGCAAGAAAATACATTTGTTAGTGTCTCTGTTCTTGTGATAAAATTATGAGCTTTTGACGTAACAGAGGAAATTGATAATTTGTTTAGGCCTGTAAATGTCTCCTTGGAAATGCTCTTGAAGCTTGTAGCAGTGTTTGGTACAGTAATACAATCAACTGTTTCAGCACGACGAGTTGTTGGCGTTGATCTTCATGCAGAAGAAAGGTACTTATCATTTCTGCTCCTCTTATATATTCATGCCACACCTTTTGCTACACTATTAGTAAAACATATTGACAATATGATATTGTGAAAATGCAGGTTACAGATCTGCCAAAGTTGTTCTGCTGAATTGCAAAAGGTTCACAAGATTCTTCCACTACTCACAAGGTAAAAGAATACTTCTATAACATCTAAAACTTAATTCTCAATCATCAATGTCAAGTTCTGAACCATTCTAGCTCTTGTTAATCCGTGTTTGCTTTCGGTTGTCTAAATTTTTCCCTCTTGTCGTCGCTCTCTTTCATCTGAAAACAGGCGAGGTGGTCTCATAGCAAGAAAGGCTCAAGAACTAAACCTAGTTCTTCAAACACCATAGCTCCAGATTCAGATTTTCGGATTCAGGCCTCTCCGTGATTTTTCCAATCTGTACATTATGAAGAAACTGTCTTCATGTTCCTTCCGGCGATTTTCCATCTGTTGCATTGAAGACTCATCGATCAGTCACAGTTTCTTTTGGCGGATTTTGTGAGATAGTCGCCCAGGAAGAACACGGAAAACACTCTGCGAACAATCGGTATATGCTGTAAATCAATCAATCTCTTGGGGATTGAAGTTGTTGTGCTTCTTTAGATTATTGATTCAGCGAAATCTCAAATGTTTAGCTAAAATATCAATTACAATGTCTCTCTCCATGTGAATGTAATATGCAATCCTAATGAGAAGACACCATCGGTATATGAATTATATTTGGCAATCTACTACTTTTGGTCCTCCGACTTATATCTAATATTTGGAATTGGTCATGTCATTTAAAGGTTAAGGAAATAGACTTATCAAATATACGTTTTTCATATACCAAATGTGATATTGACATAATTTCCAATAGAGGTTAGTACACATGATTAGAGTCTTTGTTATTGAATATTTAGTGTTCTTCAATCTCAAATTTAGGAAGTAGATTAACGAAGAAACATCTCTGTCTTTTTAAATAATGGGACAGACAAAAGAAGCAGCTAATCTGGAATCCAATTAATATTTCTAAAAATAGTTTAGATTTTATGATGATTAGAGATTTAATATATATTTAGTGAAGAGGTATATTTAATTTTAAAAATTTAAATCTAGTGATTGATTATTTTTCAGTTTGGTTACTGAATAAATTAGTCATCATCCAATATTAGGCCATCGATTAAACGAATGATAAATATATAAATAATTCTTCTTTTTGTCAGCAACATCGTTCATTGTATTATTCTCGATGAAACTATTCAATTCTAAAATCAGTTTTGGATTATGATATTAAAAAAACACTAATGTTCTAAAAATAAAAATTAAAAAAATATATTCTAAACAAGTTGTTGTGGTAATGACGAATAATAAAGAAATATAAAAGAAAAATTCTGTTTATAAAAATAAAATTACTTTATTTAGGGAGAAAAAACAAAGGCACACAAATCTAGTCGTAAGTCTCTTCTTTGTTCAAAAAAAAACAACAAACCAATCTTCTTCTTCTTCTTTCTTATTTGCCTTTTTGAACAAAACAAGAAAAACAAAATAAAACAACAAAACCACAACCATCAATTTTTCTCCATTTTCACAAAACGTCGAGCTTAAGTTAGAAAGACCCTTCTCGTCAACCCTTTTCTCTCCCACCTCTGATTTTTTTTTTCCTTTCTTCCTTCTTTACTAATTTTGATTTTTAGATTTTTTCATCTCTCATTTTTTCTTGTCGGAATACAGCTTTATCGTGTAATAACCTCCGACACAAACCCACTCGAAACGGCTTTTCTTAGCTTCTTGTCTTATCATACCAGATTACCAAAATTAATTTAATTTTTTTTTAGGTTCTTTGGTTTGTTGTCTCTGTCTCTGTCTCTCTCTCTCTGGTTTGAGAAATTGAGTGGTCGGAGAGAGAAAAATAGATTAGGTGGAAAGACGCTAACGTGCGCTTTTGGATGCGTAGTTTAATTTTGGGTTTTTTTTTCAAAACCGAGAAGCGCGTAAGGGACACGCGTGATTTGATTTTTATTTTTATTTGTTTATGATGATGATGATGGTGACGACGACGATGGAGAGTGATTGGGGAACATGGGAGGAGCTTCTTCTCGGCGGTGCTGTTCTCCGTCATGGAACCGGTGATTGGACCGTCGTCGCCGACGAGCTCCGTTCTCATTCTTTACCTGAGATTTTCACACCTGAGGTTTGGGGTCTCTCTCTCAATCTCCTCGTTTCCCCTTAAATTTCTAATTTAATTATTTGATGTTTTCGATAAGATTAATGTCGGAATCTTATAAAAAAATATGATAATTAGGTTAGGTCATTTAAAGAAAATTCTATGTATTATGAAACTAATTTTTAAAATTTGAAAAAAAAGAAGGTAAAAAATTTAAGATAGAACAAACAACAGTGGTGTTGTCGGTGGATTTAGAAGCATTAGATTCATCGCTTGTGTGTCAAGAAAGCTTTTAGGGTCAAGTACACATTGTTTTGATTCTCCTGTTCATGTTAGACTACTATAGACACTATTCGAACATTGTCTTGTGGTTTTTGATATATTGCAGGCTGAGTTTGGTCATTTCTTGATATTGTCTTTTCTTTTGAATATGCTAAATCCTATTTCCTTATTTGCAGATATGCAAGGCCAAGTACAAGGACTTGCGGAAACGTTATTTGGGATGCAAGTAAAGATTTGTTTCTTCTTGTCTGATACAGGAGTTTAATGACCTACTACGATTGATTATCTGTAGTTTCTATATGTTTATGTTCTTGTAGAGCTTGGTTTGAAGAGCTGAAGAAGAAACGAGTAGCTGAGCTTAAGGCAGCTTTACTAAAATCCGAAGACTCTATTGGGTTAGCACTTGTTTCTAATTGCAAAGTTCTTCCAAATGTCGTAAACGTTTCCGACAATCAATGGAAAAACCGGAGTTAAAATGTTGCGATTGGTTGCGATGATATTCTGTTTTTCAGGTCTTTGGAATCAAAGCTACAGAGTCTGAAGTCAGAAAGTAATGATGAATGTCAACAAAACAATTATGATTCTAGTCGAACGTTATCACTCGAGCCTTCCCCTAAATCCGAAGGTGGAGGAGAATGCACGAGCAAAGATACATCCAAAGACTTGTCATCAGTTGGTAGTTTCACACAGCAAGAACTGATCACAACAAACTGGTCACCTGAAGCTAAGTCAGAAGCACCAGCAGTAGTAGAGCAAGAGAAGACGAAAAGCATACTACACAGCGACATTTTCGAATCTGTGTACGGAGGAGGACAAGTGCTTCCGAGTATGAGGAAGAAACGAGGCAAGAGAAAACGAAAAGATTGCAGTGTTGGTAAAGAAGTGACGGAAGTTAGCGCTGTGGAAGAAAGCGATTTGTTGGATACTTCTGCGGATATTGCTAGCATTTCTAGGTGTAAAGAACCTGCTTCTACTAGCAACAGCCAAAGCAGAGGTCATGGTTTGGCTCTACCCAAGGAGCTTATGAAGATATACAATTCTATTGCACAGAACGAATGTGCACTTGTCTTTCGTAGACGGCTTGATAGCCAGGTAATGATCATAATATGGTGAGCTTTTTAGTCTTACCATGAAACCGCCTTTTTCGCTTATTTCCTCTCTTGTCTATTTTTTGTATTGAACAGAAAAGGGGAAGATACAAGAAACTGGTACAGAGGCATATGGATTTAGACACAATACAATCAAGGATCAACGGTTGTTCGATATCTTCAGCCAAAGAACTCTTTAGGGACTTTCTTTTGGTGGCGAATAACGCAGCTATATTTTACTCTAAGAACACTCGTGAATACAAATCCGCGGTGTCCCTTAGAGACATTGTTACCAAGTCTCTGAGACACTATTTGACAGAAGATCATCCTCCTCATCGTAGCAGCAGCATTACTACAAGCACAAAGGTTCCCATTCTTCCTCAGAAATCTACATCTCCTGCTGTCCGAATGAGCCTGGCAGCTAAAAAACCAAGAACTGGGGCGCACCCTCTTAAAACGGTTGTGAAAGATATGGCAAAGTCTACAAGCAGGGGTAACAAAAGGTCTGTTACGGATTTACCAGTTTCTGCTGTGAAATCCTCAGCAGCTGGTAAGAAGGGAGCGGCGGTAGAGAGAAAAAAGGACGGTAGACAAGCAAATCGAGGACTCGATTCTCCTGCACTGATGGGGAGAAAGCGGAACCGGGTTAGGTGATTTTTAATGAAGGATATGTTTCATTTGTTGTTTGTTGTAGTTAGGCAGAAAAAGCATATTAGATGATAGAAGTTCATGTTTGGGTCAATATGACCTGCAGGCGTAGCCAGAACTGATGAATCATGATCATTGGTAAAAACTAATTGTTAAAAGAATGTAAATTAATCTCATTGTCACCTTTTAATTTATCTACTAATCATAGAAAAAATCGTTTGAGGGTTGTTCTTCCTTAAAAGCAACTCTCATGTGAAGTTTACATGAGATCAAACCAATATAAATAAAAGACAGAGAGCTAATGAGTTTGGTTGGGTGCAACTTTCTTTGTTCAAAATCTTTGATAGATTCAGAACAGTATCACAATGACCACAACAACCCTCTTTTACTCTGGCTCAGGTCTTTGTAGAGCTTTCAATGTATATTTCAAATCTTGAATCATACTTTTACTATTGATGTAATAGTCTTGCTGCAAATCCAACTTTACCTATAAATATATAAGACTACAAAGAAGTCCACGACATGCAATTTGATTGCAGTTTAGTACACACAAAATAAAAAGAGTATTGTCTTTTTATACTTATTTTGAGATTGTTATATACTAGTGTTTGGGGAACCAGGTCTAGCCGTCCGAAAAGAATACACAAGTCAAATCCTTTGTTATACAAAGAAGCCTTCATGCCAAGATATGACTTCTCAAGCCAGTCAGATTTTGTCAGACCAAGTTTCATAACTCCAAGTCTCACATTTTTTTTATTTATGAGAGTTTATAAACTTATCCGGAATAGTTCCAAAATCTATCCGGAATAGCTTAAACTCCAAGTTTTGAAAATGCTTGTATATAAGATTTCCCCTAGGAATCGGTATTCATGTATATAAAAAAAGGAATATACACTTGGTCGTTGTTGGTAGAAATTTAGAGTTGTGACACAATACTTGTATTGAATTATCAAGAAAAATTCTCCCATTATTTATAAATACATCTTTTTCTCCATAACCATGTTCGATCGATTGTTCAACAAAGTAATCTCCGATCATCAAGTGTTCTTCACCTGATCAGCCACCAAGGTTATATATCTTTCTCTTCCCGATGCAGACTTCTTTATATATTGTTTTTAAAGCTTTTAGCTCTAAACTCTTATATATTCTGACTGGCCTAAATTGTTTTACGTAAACATCATGAGCATATTTTCAAGAACTTATACAACTTGAATTGAACCTCTCTTTCATCAATGATTTCCTTCCTTCAACTTTAAACCTTATTAGATTCTTGTCGTCGTGAAAGAGTACTAAAAATTCATAAAATAGCATGTGGGAAATAAATGCAATTATTGTCCTCCATGGCTCCATGTATGAATTAGAGTGAGAACATTTTGGCGATGGCACAAAGATTGGAAGCGGTAGGTAGCACGAAAGGCTTTACATTCGATGATGGATATGACCATGACGGTCTTTCCAAGATTTTTGTTGGAGGTGGTCTTCGAGGCATTAATTACATGGAGTTTGAATATGTCAAGAATGGACTGCTAAAATTTGGTACTCTCGTTGGTCGTCGACATAGAGGTTTCATTGAGACGGTATGTCTTTGATGTACTAATGTTATATACTAAACTACACTTCTTTTACTTGGTTTATATATGTGTTACTTATTAATGAATTTGTAATTTTTGTTTTCAAATTGTTTTCTTTTTTTTTTAGTTTGAGATTAACCATCTCAACAATGAATACCTCGAATCTGTAGAGGGTTACTACGACGACCAATCTGGTTGCATTCAAGGACTTCAATTCAAAACCAATTTTAGGATTTCGGAACTGATAGGATATGACAAGGGTAGCAAGTTTACACTTGAAGTTGAGGGAAAGAATATCAATGGGTTTCATGGATATATGAGGAACAGAAACATCATTTCCCTTGGAGCATACTTCACTTGGAATTATCCGAATAGATTGAAAGCAAAAGGTAGCAAGGGAGGCTATAAGTGGGATGATGGAGCTGACCATGACGGTATAGCTAAAATTTACGTACGAGGTGGTTTTGAAGGCATTCAATACATCAAATTTGATTACATCAATCGTGGAAACCCCGAAGAAGGACCAATCCACGGCTTCTCGGGTAGCGGTTTCACACAGACGGTATACATACAAAGAAGTAACAATTTTTTCTTATTGACTAAAATTGCTATTTCTTTTGTGTTCACCAATTCTTTCTTTCTTTTTTCTTGCAGTTTGAGATCAACTATCTTTATAATGAACATCTAGTATACGTAGAGGGTTACTATGATTTTGCATCTGGTGTTATTCAATCACTTCGATTTAAAACTAACTTTAGGACTACGGAGATGTTGGGGTATGAAAAGGGTAAGAAGTTTTTACTTGGAGAAAAAGGTAAAAGAATCATTGGCTTCCATGGATATGCTGACAAGAATCTCAACTCTCTTGGAGCATATTTCACAACGGTTCCCATTACCAAGTCAGAATGCCACGGTGGTATTGGAGGCCTACCTTGGGATGATGGTGTTTTCGAAAGCATAAGAACAGTGTATGTTAACTATAATACCACTAACATAAAATGTATCACATTTCACTACCAAAACCATACAGTTGTTGAGCGTCAACACGGGTGGGAAAGTATACAAGATGGAGGAGAAGAAGAAGAGGTTCGTACTATATAGATACCGAAAACACGAAATATATATATATATATATTTTTTATCATAAGATCTTGAATAGTCTTTTATGAGAAGCATGATTTTATTTGCAGTTTGAGCTTGACTATCCAAATGAACTGATCACTTCTGTGGAGGGGACTTTCAAAAGCTTTGGAGCTGGTGAGATTAGGGTCACGTCATTGATTTTCAAATCATCTGAAGGGAGAACCTCTCCAACATTTGGAACTGTGTCAGGTACCAAATTTGTGTTGGAGAACAAAGGATGTGCTGTCGTCGGGTTCCATGGAAGACATAGTGATTGCGACCTCGTTGCTATTGGAGCATACTATGGTCAGATACCTCCTCCTACTGCAGAGAAGCTACGACCACAAGGTGGTTATCGAGGAAGTTCATGGGACGATGGTGTTTACGACGATGTTAGAAAGATATATGTAGGAAAATGCGAAAATGGTATCGCATTCCTCAAGTTTGTGTATGACAAGGACACTCGGATGGTTATTGGAGATGATCATGGAAACAAAACACCACTTGAAATCAAAGAGGTGATTAAACTATTTACATCACATTCTTTTTTGGCAGTTTACATTTTACATGTTACATTATCTATACTATTAATTGGGAAGCACACAACAAGAAGCCAAACAACCCCCAATTTTTTTTAAAAATGTCATGAAACTTAAACTTGTTGCCAAACAAAATTAATGACAGCAAAATCTTTTTTAAAAACAAATAAATAATAAAAAACAGAAACAACATATATTTATGGAAATCATATTAATTTTGTTGCCAAAAAGTGGACAATTAAATTCGAAATTTACATATATAACATATTTAATTTTTGAGATATTTTTATACAATAATTTAATACTTAATAAAATCTAATTTATTTTATTTTATTTATCAGGTTTAATGGTTTTATTCAAGTGGTTTTGTTACATTTATTTTGTATATCTGTTATGATATGATAATAAATTTATTTTGCCTTACAAAATCATCATATATTTTAGATGTCAAAAAAAAAATTCATATATTTTAAACACAAAAATAAATATGTTATATATTGTACAATAGTCTAAAATATGGAGAGAAATATTCAACAAAATTGCTAATATGATTAAAAATTAAAAGTGATAAAATCTTAAATAAATAGTTTAAAATGTTTAAATAAAAAATATTCAATAAATCAATAATAATTGTTTTTTCAAAAATCAATAAAATAAATATTTTATATCACATACAATATTTTTTTTCACATTAAAAATCTTCATACTGAAAAACAGTCTCGCAAATATAGCAAAACAAAAAGACCTTTTGAGATATATTGATTAGAAATGAGATATTTATATATTTCGTTGAAATAAAATAAAAAACCAAAAATAACATGTGACCAAAAATAAAATAGTCAAATAAACATTCCTAATTATTAGCATCAATTTAATAATATATTAACCCCCAATCCTGCTGGATATTAACTAATATGCAATTAGCATTTAATAATTTTAGAAAACTTCAGGAAATCATATCACAAGATTATTATATTTTCCATATAATATAACATTGACAATCCAAATTTTTTTTTGAAAGTTAATGTATGCTATAAATAAATAAATAAAATCATATAATTATGAATAAAAATGGAATCAAATATTTATTTGAATTTCCATTACTTAATCTATATTTACCATAGCCACTTACTAAAATATTTAATATATATTTATTCAATTGATTTATTTATTTTTGATTATTTAATTCGAGATAAGTTCTTAGTTTATAAATGTGACTTTTTGGTTACATTTCTTTAAATTTTATGGTAACACAAAAAACAACATTACACAGTAATCACAGGCTATATGTTTCAACAACCTAATAATTAATGGTATTCGTTTTTAATGTTGTTAATTACACGCTATATAATTTTATTTTAAAAAAATAAACATGTAAATGATGCCATTTATATAAAAGAAAAATACATGATCTTATTTTAGAGGGAAAGAACAGGTACAAAAAGGAAACATGTAATTCAAAAAAAATCTAAACTATTTCTCATCAAAAACAAGACGATATAAAAAATTTGGAAATTTAAATTCAATTTTAAATTTCAAATATAAAATGATGGGTATGATATATGAATATGAAATTTAAAGAGCAAAATTAAGTTTTAAATTACTTATTTCAAATATCGGGACAAAAAAAAGTTATTATCTTAACTATGTCTAATAATATACATAAGTGAATTATGGGTAACATGCAAGAAGACATATTATTTATTCATGTGGGTGGGCCAAAATATTTCAATTTGTTGTATGACATGCATAATGAACGGGTTTGACTCTCTTGACATCTATATTTATGTTATTTTATTCAAAAGTTTTAATGTTTTCTATCGTTTTTATGTGATGTGATAGTACATGAATTTAATTGATTTCTAACTTATCATTAATTCGATTCACACTACATCCGGATTTCTTATCTTGTCGATCCGAATACATTAACTTTATGATAAACTTAGGTTTTGCAATCAACCCCGCACGTACGTGCGGGTCCATCCCTAGTGTAACTTACATAAGATATTTCTTGTTGGCAGTTTGATGTAGAATATCCAAGTGAATACATTACGTCTGTGGATGGTTGTTACGACAGAGTAATTGGAAGTGAAGTTGAGGTTATAACTTTGCTGAGGTTTAAGACGAACAAACGAACATCTATATCGGTTGGATTCGAATCAAGCTCAAGCTTTATACTATGCAAAGTAGGCTACAAAATTGTTGGATTCCATGGAAAAGCAAGTAACATGATTAATCAACTTGGGGTCCATGTTATGCCCTTCACCGAGTGATCATCTTCTAGTCTCCATTGTTGTCATAATTATGCAATCTCTCATGTAATAAAAATATGGAATGGAAAATATCTAAAACAACCTAAAACTACAGTTTGAAATTTGTTTCATTTTTATATTATTTTTTTTTCTAAATTGTAAACCAATATTATACATTGTTAACAATAAGCTTTTGACTGAAGAGATGCATGTATTTGATGGGCATGTAGACACTGCGGAAAATGTTATCATATAAACTAAAATGTTATCGAAATGAGTCATTTCTTTGTAAAAAATTATCCTAACTAAAGCAAACTAAATGACTCTGATACATATAATTTACTCCTAACCAAAAACTTCGAATAATTTGAATCTGATACATATAGAATTACACATATGGATGAATGTAAAGAAGATCCAAAACGGTATCTCGATTCTTTGATTTAATATAATTAACCAAAAACGGTTAAATCCGGTTCAGGGTTTAGCATCTATTGGAGTTAGCAATCTTTGGACATCTGGAAAAACAAAAGCCAATCGGAATCGAGTTAGGCTAACAAAAGTCAGTCATGTTCTAGTTGAACAACCCGAGAAGAAGTAGAAACCTTTTTTTCTTTGGTTGCTTTGGATTTGGAGTTGCTTTAGTAGCAAACCACACACACTTATGTTCTGTTTCTCATTGAAAGTTGTTGTCAAACTCTAAAAATAATTGAGCGATCGCAAAACATGGAAAATACATTTTTTTAGTAATAAATAAACAATAAAAATATAAATTATTATTCCTCTAATTCTCGTATTCGGTCGCAGAATCCAACTTAATTAAAAAATTAAATCTTTTTATATTTTTTTTAGGAAGAGAGAGACAGAGAGATAGATTCAGCAGATGACACGAATCACTCCACCATAGCTTCTTTCTTTTTTTTTTCCTTTTTTTTTTGTTCGATTCCGCGTAGTAGTAGAAGAACATTGCTGTTGGGTTTGGTTTCGATCGATTCTAGAAATTGGTTTTGGTAGAAAAATCTCATCTTTTTAAGTGAACAACACTTTACTCTCTCTCTCTCTCTCTCTATCTCTTCTGGGTTTGCTTCATTACAGTGATTCTTCAATCTTCAAGTTTCAGATTTCTCTCTTAAGCTTTAAAGGTTTGTCTTTTTTTTTGTTCTTTCTCCTTGCTCTGTTTCTTTGTTCTGTCTCTCATGGGTTAATTTAAAGATCCAATCTTTGAAATTTATTGCACCGCCATTAAAAAAATTCATTGTTAAGTAATTGTTGAAACTGTTCGTGACCAGATTTATTCCTAAACATAAGCTTTATAATTGGTAATTAATGTGTATCTAAAGCTAACTTTTTTTTAATTTTCTCTTAAACACATTTCAGTAGTGTATTTAGAGTTTGTATTTACATTCCCTAGATCTGGAGAAGCAAACAAATAAATCCAAGAAAATTTATAATTCCAATTTAAAAACTCTTTTGTCTTTGTTTTTTATACGAATCCTTCCTTTAGCCGTTTCGCTTTCATAGTGGCCCAGATTGTGTTCGTCTGTTTCTGGTGAGTGAGTAGACTTTGAAAGGTGTCATCTTTGTGTGTTTCTATTAAGCTTTCTTTATCTTCTTAATAATCTCATTGTTCCGGAGAAAAATATCTCTTTTTTTTTCTTTTTCCTTTTTGGAAAGATTCATTAGCAAATAAAGTTTCGATTTTTATTTGTAGGAGCCTCTGATTTTTGTGTTATTCTCGTGTAGATTTCTCAGAAAAGACACATTCTTGCATGTGCGTAGATCAGAAACTGAGATTTTGGTGAAAGGTTTGAATTGGGTTCTTTGTTCTCTGTTCTTGTGAAGGGAACACAAAGACGGTGGCTTTTGGTGAGTTTTTCTGATTGAAGAAAACTTTGAATTGTCTTTTTGTTTTTGTATGGTATTGATGAATTTTTGATGTTCATGTAGCTCGGTAGATAGATTATGGAACATGATTTGCCGTCTATTAAATCATGGAAGTCACTTGTTAAGAGAAGAAACAATGCTCAAGAAGGGGTAAAAGGCTTTTCTTTTCGCTCTGTTGATCTTGGTGTTCACCATGTTCAATACATTACATCGTGATTCAGTGTGGCTTTTGATTTTGATGATGTGGGTATGCTGGAAATTTGCAGGGTAAATCATCGTGGAAGATGAAGCCTGTTATGGCACTCATGTGTACAGTTCTTTTGATCTTTTGGTATAAGACCACTAATATCCAATATGAACAAACAGAGGTATTGTGGAAGAGCTCATTTTGATATCTTTCGAAAGAAGTTTTTAATGTTTTGATATGATGATGCAATTATTGATATGTAACTCTTTTGTTTGGTATATGCTTTACTTAGATAGAAGAGACAGATTATCCATTTGAGATGGCAAAGGTAACATTTTGAGTCTCTTTGTTTGTAATCTTGATGCATTTGCTGGTCTAAAGTTGATGTGTGGGTTTCTTATTCCGCGATGTGATCTTATTCAGGAATCTGAGCCGGTCAGTGAAAAGTTGAAAGGCTTGCCTTTTGGTATCATGCAACCTAGATCAGATTTGGAGTTAAAGCCACTTTGGTCAAGTAGTAGTTTGAGGTCAAAGGTTAGATTTTTCTGTAAGGTTAAGTTTAGATTGAGGAATCATATGTATTTGTTGCTAGAGGAATTTTCTGATATCTGTTGATATCTTGCAATAGAGCGGCGAATTGACCAACCGTAACTTGTTAGCAATGCCAGTAGGACTTAAGCAAAAGGATAATGTTGACGCTGTTGTAAAGAAGGTAAGCATGCTTTGTATATACTGTATGTCAGTTGAATAGACGAGGCTGGTATGCGAATAGTTTCTTTTCTAATGTTAGTTTGTCTGGTTGCTGTGTTCAGTTCCTTCCGGCAAATTTCACTGTAATTCTATTTCATTATGACGGAAACATGGATCAATGGTGGGATCTAGAGTGGAGCTCAAAAGCCATACACATAGTTGCACATAACCAGACTAAATGGTATAACGATGTTGTTGATATGAAGTCTATTAAGATGTCTATAGCCATGGTTTGTATAGCTTTATAACAATGGTATTGTTCAAAAACTACGATTTTACTCAGGTGGTTCGCAAAACGATTTCTCCATCCTGATATCGTCTCCACATATGATTATGTTTTTCTTTGGGACGAAGATCTTGGAGTGGAGAATTTCAACCCGCAAAGGTTTATTTCATTTTCGCGTTAACTTGTAAATTTAAAACCCATAAAGGTATCATCTTGGAGTGCCTTTTCTAAACAGTCTCTCTGCAGGTACCTGAAGATAGTTAAATCAGCGGGTTTAGAGATATCTCAACCAGCCTTGCATCCAAATTCAACAGAAGTTCACCATAGACTTACAGTCCGGTCTAGAACGAAAAAATTTCATAGGTGAGTTCCTGCAACCACTGGTTAAGGACTTCTCTTGATAATATGTGTTTTTTGATACTTATATCAATTTTGGTTATAAAACTGCAGACGAGTTTACGACAGTAGGGGTAATATGAAGTGCTCAAATACTAGCGAAGGGCCTCCCTGCACCGGGTAAAATTTCTTAAGTAACATAAACAATGTAAGACTTCTCTTGATATACCAAGACACAAACATTAATATATTTCTCTGGCTTTCTAGCTTTGTTGAAGGTATGGCTCCAGTTTTTTCAAGAGCTGCCTGGTTTTGCACTTGGAATCTAATACAAGTAATTTTACGAGATGAACATTTACACAAGATAATCTGTCTACTTTTAATGAAACTGCATCGAACTTCTTGTTGATCTTTTCTGGTTTGCAGAATGATCTGGTTCATGGGTGGGGAATGGATATGAAACTTGGGTACTGTGCTCAGGTAAAGTTCGGTTCTTGTTTTCTTCGCTAAGACCTTACAGCATCACTAGTATTCATTAGCATTGTGACCTGATTGCTTTCTCTAGATGAATCGGTTTTAAATGTTGCTATAGGGTGACCGTAGCAAGAAAGTAGGCATTGTCGATAGCGAATATATCTTTCATCAAGGCATTCAAACACTAGGTGGAAGCGGTTATCCGGATAAGAAGGTCAGATACTCTACTTCCCTCCATATATTCCTCCTTGTAACATAACAAAAACCGTATACTGAATAATCTCTTCATAATTATTACAGAACTCAGGTCGTGGCGGAGTGACTCGGGTAAGCACTACTTTAACATCCAATTCCTCATTTCTTGACTGTAAAATAAACAGACATCTCACCTCTATGGTCACCTTTATTTTTTTGTATACAGAAACGAGGTTCTGCAGCTTTTGATTCAAGGACAGAAGTGAGTTATTGTTTCCTTGTGACGAATCTGCTTTCGGAACTGGCTTTGTCTCTCGAGCAGGATTGTAATTTGTGTGTTTTCTTGAACAGATACGGAGACAATCAACATGGGAGCTTCGAACTTTTAAAGAACGGTGGAACCAAGCTGTTGCAGAAGACAAGAACTGGGTCGACCGGTCTTCATCGACTAGGAACAGAATTGGCGGTAACAGGAGATTAAAACGGACTAGTGTGATTCCAAGTTTAGTGCAGAGGAATGCTAAAGAGACTACAACATAAAAACACTTACAATCAGATTAAATATAGAAAAGCTTTTTTTTTCTTGAGGTTCTCATTGTTATATATAAGTCAATAGTTAATCATTTACTCTCTTTGATTAGTCTTAGTTTTCATGGTAATTTGGTCTCTCTCCATTTTTGATTAAGTCCAATATTTTAGCATGTTTTTCTTGAAAAAAAAAAATAGTTCATATTTAAAATTGGCTTACAAAAAAAATATATTTTTAGTGAGAAAAGCTAAAATCTTTTTCTTTCTTTTTTTCTCAAGAAACTCTCTTTTCCTTTATAGATATAAAGTTAAGATAATATCACAGTAAAGGTTCTCTCCATCATTTTCATATTATAAAAATTAAAAAGCATATATATATATATATATATTTTAAAGTAAAAAATACAATAAATCTTATTTATAAGTCATAGGAAACTAAATTAAATTCTAAATTTCCTATCAAAACTTGTTATTGTTTCTATATTTTCTCTAAAAGACAACTAATATCGATTTTTTTAAAAACATTGTGCCGTATGCGATGGGTTACTTTTCAAACGTTCTTAGAAGCAGACAAGATCATTGACCAAAGGACAATATCAAATTTTCCTATGTACTCATTAGAATATTCAAAATATTTGAAAACCAAGTCGTTGAATATATATTCTTTTTATAATAATTTTGTTTTTAAGGCTAACTTTTAATTTTTGCTTACGTTTCTGATGACATTAATTTAATGAATCCATTAATTTTACAACTAAAAAATAAAATATTAAGTGTAAACTGTAAAGTAGTAAGTTTTGATTAAGAATAAATTCAGATCTGATTAATTGTAATTAACAAGACATAACATAACCAAGAAAAAGAAAAAAATATTTTACTAATAAGAGTATAAGACACGCTTTTGTTTTGTGTATATATGTCTGCATAAGAGCTTGTCTTCAACGTTCGGCTAATCCTCGGTCCGTGCTCTAAGATCTTAGATCGATTTCTATAGTCTTCTTCTTCTTCTTCAGATATCTTGGTAGTTGAATCTTCTGAATCTTTGATTTTCCATAGCCATGGCTAATCGTTATGATCCAAATCCTTTCGCTGAGGAAGAAGAAGTCAATCCTTTCGCTGTAAGCTTTTTTGACTTTTGGATTTAACTCGTAAAAACTATAGCTTTAATCTCTCTTCAATCTTAACTTCTACGAATTGGGTTTTCGAATTGAATCTTGTAAAAATCAGTGAGTTTTTCTTAGGGTTTTAATCTTTGTTGTTGATTTGATTTTATCCCCACTGGCTTTGTACTTGTAGCTTAGAATCTGAACATGGGTTTAATGAAATTGAAGTTTATAAGAGATTTTGTAATGAAAGAGTTGATAAAGTTTCTAACTTTATAAGTATTTATATTGATTTAATCATTGTTGTTCTTGGGTTTGTTATGCTATTCTCCTAACTGACTTGTGGATGCTATGTAGAATCCTAAAGGTGTTCCGCCTGCATCAAATTCGAGACTTTCTCCTTTGCCTCCGGACCCTGTTGGTTTCGATTATGGTCGTACCGTAGACATTCCTCTTGGAAGACCTGGAACACAGGTTGGTTGGTTAAAGATAATTGAGTAGATTTTTATTATATGTTTTTTTGTGATTAGGTGGATCTTGGAGTTAGCTGTGATAACGTTTTGTGCTTTGTTGGGAATCCAGGATTTGAAGATGAAAGAGAAGGAACTTCAAGCCAAAGAAGCTGAGCTAAGACGACGGGAGCAGGTATTGACTGCTAACATTAGTTAAGATAAGGCTTGGACTTATGCACTATGAGCCTTGTCCTTCGTTTAATCTTTTGTGATTTAACTTTAAGAGTAGTTCCTTTGATTCTCCGGTTGGACTTTTTTCTCAATTTTTTTTTTTTTTAAAGCTCTATAAGTTATAGAAGTGGAGACTTTAACTCCTGTTTTAAAGAATTGCAGTCTTCAGATAGGCTTTGCAATGGTTCTATTGTGCAGACACAGTTTTATTTTTGTTTCTCGGTTTCAAATTTAAACCATTTGAAGTATGCTTTACCTAGCAACAACGTCGTTAATCATTTGAATGTTTATTTTGATTCCATTTCGTAGGACCTCAAACGGAAAGAAGATGCTGCTGCACGAGGTACTACGATATACTTTTTTCAAGCACTTATTTCCAAGCTATCTCCTTGATGATGTTGAACTTGTTATTTACTGTCTTTTAACATAGATATGTCTCAGTCGTCTGGTTCATCGTGTTCTCTATCAAAATCATTAATTTTTATTGTTATCTCTATGCAGCGGGAATTGTTATCGAAGTGAAAAACTGGCCGCCTTTCTTCCCTCTTATACACCATGACATTGCAAATGAAATTCCAGTTCATCTCCAAAGACTACAATATGTTACTTTTGCAACGTTTTTGGGTATATTTTTCTGTCCTAACTTAACAATTTTCATTTGATGCAATATACATACTCTTTCCTGCATTTGTATTCAGCTGTAAGTGATCACATTTTTTCTACACTCGTTACTTCTATATTTGTTTATTCGACACATATGTAATTCATGTAAAACAGGTTTGGTTCTTTGTCTTTTCTGGAATATCATTGCCGTTTCTACAGCTTGGATCAAAGGAGAAGGTTTGTTTTAAAGTCCATTATAAAGTTTGGCTCCTTCTCCACCTTAACTGCATATTTTAACAAGACTTAAAAGAGTTTGGCTTTATGTCGTGCAGGAGTGACGATATGGCTTCTTGCCGTAATTTACTTCATAGCGGGTGTCCCAGGAGCCTATGTGTTATGGTATCGGCCACTCTACCGTGCCTTCAGGTTCTTACATGATTTTTGGAGTCTTCTACTTTCAAAGTCTGGATTTGTTGTTCAGAATACTATGTTACTGATTTTTCACATTTTTGTTGAATGTCTGCAGAACTGATAGTGCATTAAGCTTTGGATGGTTTTTCTTGTTCTATATGGTGAATATGATTACCTTCTATGGTTATATTTACATTTATGCTCGGTATAAAAAATTCTGTTCTGAAATCTTGTTCTTGCTGCAGCTCCACATTGCTTTCTGCGTCTTTGCTGCAGTTGCTCCACCTGTCGTCTTCAAAGGAAAATCTCTTGCGTAAGTATCTTTCTCACCGAATTTTGAAGTTAAAGTTAATCCTGTCACTGTGTTTCATAATTTGTGTGTGGTTGAACACAGTTTGAATTGATCAAAATAAACAACTAGTTATTTTTCCAAATCTTTATCACATATTTCAAAAACACCAGCATATTGGTAAAGTGGTAACCATTCTGGTACCTATCACCGGCATAAGCCCACTAAATAATAGTTTCAAAAGTAGGTGCTATATTATCCATTGTTTGAAAACTCTCTAACCATTTTTTGTATCGATTGATCTTTCTGTAACAGTGGGATCTTACCTGCAATAGATGTCTTAAGCGGTCAAGCAATTGTCGGGGTAAGCTCTCTCACCCTTTGATGAGCTTAAAAACAATTCTAAGCATGATCTGATAATATGGATTAATGACCTGACATTTGTTCTCTTTACAGATATTCTACTTCATTGGGTTTGGATTTTTCTGCCTCGAATCAGTGGTTAGCATCTGGGTTATTCAGGTCTCTCTTCTACTCCCATCACTAAAGCATCAGTCTTTGAACATGGTTTTATACATCTGTAATGGTTTTTTCTAACATTGGATTTTGCAATGGCTTCGTTTTGTTTGAGCAGCAAGTGTATATGTACTTCCGAGGCAGCGGAAAACAAGATCAAATGAGACGGGAAGCGGCAAGAGGAGCTTTGAGGGCCGCTGTTTGAGAGAGGTCTCCTTGTAAAATTCTGGTTTGTGTACCTAATCTTCCACTGTTACTTTCATTTTTCAGATTCTATCTCTCTCCCTCTCTATGCTGTAAGCCAAAAAAGATTCAATTTTTCTTTGTACCTTTATCTCATGTAAATTTGTTTGTTCAAAAGTGAGAGTTCAGATTCATATATTTTTGGATTAGTCTTTTGTGTTTGCGTTTGTGTTCCTATATATATTCTAGTGGCTACTTATCAGTTCCATTTCTTGAATTAGTTTCTTACATGTCATAGAGATTACAGATTAGTCTGTAAAGAAAGTTTTGTATCCATTGATGTTTACTGCAAAACGGTTAAAAACAAAAAGAAAAAGCTATAAAGTTTTTGAGCATTGAGCAATATTTTGGGTAAATTAACCAAACCATATGATATATCATTTATTGTAAGATAACTCAAAACATACCAAATCAAGAAAGATTGAAAAGACTATATACTATAAATATATTTTATATAAATAAACATTTACCACGAGATTCACATTTTCAACAATAAGCCACACACTTCTTCTTACAATCAAAGGTGCAACCACCGCCTCCACCACCACCACCGTATCCTTTTCCGGAACGGCTAAAAGACTTGAAACACTTAGCAGGACAGGTCAGCTTCTTCATGTAACAATGACCTTTCTCTTTACAAACCACCGTTGGTCTCACCACACCTCCTTGGCTATATCCACCACTAGGTCCGCCGTAACCACCACCGTATCCTCCACCCATGTTTCCCCAATCTTTGCCGTTGAAACCCGGTAAACCAAAACCAGTTCCTGGTTCGGTTCCTGGTCCGAAGTAGCCTCCTGATGATCCATAGCCCTTGTCATTCTTGTTGTTATTACCTTTGGAGTGTTTCTTTAGCTGATCCGAGTAGGATCCGGTTGATGATCCGGATCGGATCGGGCGTGAGTGGGAGAGTGTAAGTGTGAGAAGCAAAATCGTGAAGAGGAGATTGAGTTTTGTAGTCATTCTTTTTTCGGTGTGAAGTGTTGGATTTGGTTTTCTTGATTTTAGTGGTTCGTGAAGAAAAGAGAAATGTTTATTTATAGAGAAAAGGTTTTAGATGTTTTCATTATATGTGAAGGATCATCTAGTTGTATATAAAGAGAATAATGAAGCTTTAAAGAGCACTTAATTGATTTGGAGGAGGAGTTGGGTGATAGTTGAAGATATAAAGTCACATGCTAAGAGCATCACTGTGAACTTGTGTGAGATTCTAAAAAAAAAAAATTATAATCATATTTTAATTAAACAATAAATATTTTAGTTTTTATTTAAGTTTGACCACTCACAAATGTCCAGCTGTACAAATAGTGTAAGGGGCCGTAGCTTAACTAGGAGGTTTTAGAGCTTTTCTCTTTCTTCTTTCATTATTTTTAATTCATTCTGATTTATTTTTAATCTGTTTTTTTCTATTAACCCCTCTTATGAACCTTGCGTTGGAGATGGTCTAATAGACTAACTTGACTTTTTGAATCAGAATTATTACACAAATAAAAATGAAAAATGAACTCAAATTTTTGTTGGTCATGTCCACAACTACGAATCATAGAGGAGGATGGAGATTTCATAAATATGGGTTAATGAAACTACTAATTTACATAGTCGTACTAGAGATTGGATGTAGAATTTTTATTTAGATTACACAAATAATGAAAAAGTTAGATATAAATAGGACTTTCATGTGAGTGTTTTAGGCTAGTAATAATTAACTAAGTTTTCCAAAGGTTTTGATATTTTGTTTTCCAGTTTAATTCATCTTAAAGATATATATTTTTCAACTAACGCCTTTTCATAATTACATTGCACCAAAAAATCACATCATACAATACATAAGTCATATTGTGGCATTATGGAAATTAGAGTATGAAGGTCAAAAACATGCAAATTATCATAAAATCTTCTATGATAGGAATTGATTGCTAGAAACTAATGCCAAAGACTTCATCATTAATCACTATAGTCAATTGTTAACTATCAATGATTGAATCTACCCAGTAAAATCAACATGATAAGCCAAAGTCTCAAACAAACAAATTCATAGATAAATTAAGAATCATCCAAGGCAGATCAAGTGGAATCAAATTCCATCAAAATGACGGAATGAAGTAACATACGAGCGAGTAAAAGAGTTTCCTTGTGTACAAAATACATCAGCTAATTTCCTTGCTGTAAAACAAGAAAGTGCCAAAAAAATACAAATTTAAATCAGATACTTATGAGTCATTTAAAAAACGGATACATGATTCATGAATTTATGACACCATTACAAAATTAAAAATAATTAGTAAGAAACTATTAAATTGCTCATATTTGTTGTAAAGATGATAATATATACTAAATAACCAAAATAATTCTGTTGGAAAAATTAAATAGAAATAAAATCATTTTTAAAATAGAGACGGTTAAACAGAAAAAATGCATAAATGATTATTTTCAGATATAGATTTTTTTTAAGTGTGTAAAAATAAGAATTTAAAATAATACAAAATCAAATATAGAAGCCATTAAAAGATTGGAGATACAAGAATCATAAAATCATGATATCATTTCAGAAATTAAAGTAATGAATACGAAAAATATATCTTTTTGAAAAGTAAAAATAGATACAAAATATATAAAATGATTTGTTGGAAGAGAAAAAACCAATTTTAAAATATAGAAGATTAAACAGGGAAAAAAGAATAAATGACTCATGTCTCTATCTCAAAGTCATACTCTCTTTACTAGTAGTAGTAAACCCAAATCTGGTCGGTTCATCCTCATGATGGTTTTACTCCAATTTGGCAAATACAAATCCAAAACTGACTTTATTGCAGACAACAGATGTGTGTGTCTGACAGATAATTTTCCCACTTCACCTAGACAAGAACAGAAAGTGCCATTAAGTTCCTCAACTATCATCTACTTAACTTTTAAATTCTTCTTAAAACAAACATTGTTTTCATATTTATAAGTATTTGAATTCTCAATCGAACTAATTTTATAAAGTATGTATAATTAAAAGAACCATTTAACTTATATGTTGGAATCATTCCAACTAATTTTCTATATTTGAGTAGTTTAGTGGTTGGTATACTTTTACATGCATAATAATACACTAATTAAAGTATTATTTCATATCATATTGTTTTTAAAAATATGAGAGTTGAATATTGTTTTCAACGATATAAAAACTTCTTTGGGACCTTTGTTGTGTGTTTTTATTCTAAGAAAAGTCTAATTGAGATAGAAAATTCATTCACAAGCAAACCCTACATGTCTACAAAGTGTGTATTTGGTTCACCCACCGTATTCTATGAAAATGATTTTTCATATGCACGTACCTCTCGTATTTGTTTTTCTTATTTTTGGTCGTTTAAATCCTTGTATATTTCTGTATTTTTCTAAGGAGATATTTTCCATATTGTATAAACAAAAAAAACGTCGAATGGTTTGCGACAACCAAAATAATCTTATCCTATACATAATTATATAATTGTTATATGTTAGAAAAGAGGTTTTCTATCATAATGCTAGAAGAGATTCACTGAACAAATACTTAAATACATCAACTTCAATGAGAGTTCTGATATTATATAATGCAAATAAAAAAAGGCAAAAAAAAATCATATATTCAAGTATATGGGTATATCCGTATATGAGATCTACCAAACAAAACAAATAAAAAACAATGCGTATGGGTAACAATGCCGAATCTACTACATGTTAGACTTATCTTTATGCTTTGCAAAGTATTGCTAGGATTGAATAGCATTGCTTATACTCAATAAGTTGTCTAAAAGTTACATGTAAAAATAAGTTATACATATAAAGAAAATTATGGTTAGTTCTAATGATTAATGTTTATGGGTACTTTTCACTAACAATATCATAGTTATTGATAAGATTGGTTCCTACAAATCCAATACTCGGATCATCGATCCATCTCTCAATCCAACATAAAGACGATGACTCGCAGGGATCTCACAATCTTTGCAAAACTTTTTGATGTCACAGATTACTTACACTTAACTAAGTCTCTATATATTATTAGTGTGCATAATTACATATCGATAAAGATCAAGCAGTCATGAAAGTTAGTTAGCAAAGAACTTAGACGGTTTATTAGGTTATACATATACGCGATTGTGACAAATGACCAACATAGTTTAATGTTATTAAACTAAAGTGTTTCCACTTTAACAAACTCTAACACTAGTTTACAAGAAATCTTTACCACCAAATTTGGACAAAATTTCTCTATTTTGTATATAAATCTTTGAACAAACTTCTCTATCTTTCGAATAAAGTTGGTTACTTCCTTATTTTTACTCGTAATTATTTTCTTAATTATTTTTTTGATCAATGGTTAGTTCGTAATATTATCCTTAACAATATGTACAATATATGGTTTGGCATAATACAATAGCAACCAAGTGTATATATATCATTTTTTCATGTAAAACCAGCACATTAATATTTACAAACCAAATATTATACACATCACACAAACAACACCAACAAAAAAACCCTATGATAATAATTACTTCAAAGCATTGACTATAAAAACCTCAAGCTTCACAAATTAATAAACAGATTTTTTTTGACATCTAACTTTCTTTTTTTCCTTAAAAAGTTAAAATCCACTGTGACTAATTTTCTCTTTCTATTTTTTTAGTGAGTAAAATAAAATTTAAACGAAGGTAAAAAAACAACATAGAAGCTTAAACCCCACGGCTAGTTATCTCTTTGTACTGTCTAAGCGACTCCAATCTCTGCAACTTCATCTCCTCGTTGGTCTTCTTTATAAACGCCTCGACTCGTCGATTCAACTCATCCTGACTCAGCGACGGCTCTTTTCTCATCTTCGCCGTCGTCTCTAGCGTCTGGTAATAATTAGTCCTGTCTCGAAACGTCTCCGATTTCTTATAAACCGGTTTCGCCTCGCCGTCCACGCCACAACCGCTGGAATCACCACGGGTAAACGTATCAGATCTCCGGTATAACTTTCTTTTCTCTTCCGTTATCATCTTCCATATGTTCTCTAACGTCTCTTCGTTTCCCTTTGGCTTCGTCACTCTCAAAGCTCTCACACCTGAAGTGAACCCAAGGAAAAAAAAAATGTTAAGTTACATATTTACCCTTTTTGTCCACCGACGCCATATTTGAATTTTCAATCTACCAAACCGTTTTATTTTGTTTTTGGTTTACATGACATCATCATCTTCTTCCTCTGTTTTTTTTTTATTCGATGTTTTAAAATAAAGTGAAGAATCAAATCACTACCTTCTTGGCTTGCTTTCATTAATTTCCGGTGACTGAACCTTGAAGAAACCAGAGGCTTCTCAATCGGAGGAAGATTCTCCGATTCGATCAGATGATTCTGATTTGAATTCTGCAACGATACAAAATCGGATTCAACCAGATCTGAATTCTCCACCATAATCACTCTCTTAAGCTCCTCTTCAATTTCATCCTCCGCCGCCGTCGCCACCGCATATTTTATCTCCTCCTCCTCTTCAACCACCGTAACCACTTCTGATTCCAGCTCCTCCGCCTCCGGATTCGCTACAACGAAACCGAAATGCGCACCGGAATCCAAATCCTTAACCTCCAACATCCGCGGAGGAGCTTGATGTTGATTCACAACCGGCTCCTCCGTCTGGTGGATCTTATAACCACCACCACCGCCACCACCGTATACAACGATCTCGTCTTCTTCATCCCGATCATGATGGCTTCTGTAATACTTAGAAGAAGCAACGATAGTGATGATGATTCCGTTGGTAACAACGTAGAGATACGGCGGTTTCAGCCACGACAACAAGGAGCTCCATAAGATCAGAGCTTGCGACACGGAGAAATCAACAGCTACCGGAACAGAGACTTTAAGCAACATAACAACGGATGCGACGCCGCTAGAGAGTAGCACCGCCTTGATTGTCATCATCCACGACACCATTCTTTTTTTAATTTCTCTCTCTCTTTCTCTCTTTTTGAAGATTGTGAGTGTTCGTTCGTATGGGTATGTGTGTACGGTAGACACTTCTGAATCCTTTTTTCAGATTTATATAGGGAGGGAAAGTAGCGTATGATTCTATATCCACCGTTAGATCTTCGCTAACTTAGATGGACGGTTTAGATTTATGGAGAGTGTTTTTTAATTTACATTATCGTCAGATGATTTAACGATGACCATGGAACTAATTATCTCTTACGTGTAAATTTGTGTGTAATAATAAATACTTGATGTATCATGCTCTTTTTTTGGGTTTTAATGTTTGATAACTCTTGATAGTTACTGGTGAAATTCATAAGAATATTCTAATTAGTATATATAGTTTTCGTTTTTTGGTGTCATCAAGGGAATTGTTATAGAGAGAGAGATCGATAGATGATAATAACCACGAAAAGAATGATTTGTTTATAGAAGAACTATAGCTACAAGCCTACAAAAGTCAATCAAGAATTTCTAGATTACATTGTTTTTTGTTAGTGACATATCTAATTTACATTACTTTTTCCACGAACTTGTCCCCATAATCTTACACAACATTTACATCACATATCCATAAATATGTTATTTTCTATAGTAGATATTTTTAAGTTATTATTACATGTGATATGTTCTCGATCGCTTACGTTTTGTAATTCACGTCATTAATAAAAATAGTAGAACTCGTAGTATTATATACTATGGTATGTGAAAGACGTTATAAAAGATGTCATGACGTCGTGTTATATTAGTCTACAATATTAATTCTTGTTTTTGATGTGAATTACAAAACATTTCTTAGTAGTTTCTATATTAGGTTGTATAATTTATGCCGGAATTTAGACGGAAAAAGAAATATTTCATAGAATTCTTACGAAAATATCATTTCTAAAGCAAATTTTATCAATATATCGTTTTTGTTAAAATTCTATAGATTCATCATTTTTGAACACTTCAAAATATTTGAATTTACTATTTTTTATTAAAATAAATATTTTTTATTATAAATACCAAACTTAAAAAACAAAAATAGAATGACTAAACTCAAATATAACTAGTCAAACACGTATTCATCAATCTTGTTTTGTAAAATTTACAAATATCATCACAAAAAATAATAATTTCATAATTGATTTATGATTAGCAGCATTTAAACATTCAATAATAGATAACATATATAGATGGTGCACAAATTTGAGTTTTGGATATCTATCTACCACAAGGCTACACTTCTCAAATTCTGATTTGATGGGTATTGTTCGAAAATGGCTTGTAAGATACTAAAATATTACCCAAAAAAATCTCTCCAAGTGTAATCAATCATACCAAAACACAATTTTTTTTGTTTTTTAATGAAAGAAACTACACCATTCATAACAATATCTTTGACCATTATAGGAACGCAGATTCTGAATTCAAGTAGCGGCCAGCCGGCCACTTGACTGATCATCATAGAGGAACATAGATTCTGGACTCGAGTAGTGTGGCCACTTGATATACTCAGAGCCATTGATAATTTAAGTGATTTTGTCGATGGCATGAAAACTATAGTAAACATTGTAACTCTATACGTCAATACATATTAAAATTTCGAAATATTAAAAGTTGATTTGTAGAGTGATATTTTTAACGTGAGTTATTGTGAATTAGAATTAGTGATGGACACATATAACCATATTAGTCAAGAAAATAATAAAGTGGTGTTGTGTATTAGTGAGGTGGGTGTTGAGGCAAAGTATATACTAACTTACTAAATACAGTATAAAATTAACCAACGCATATTTGATTGAATGGACAAAGAGTCTTGTCGAGGAAAAAAGTGCAAATGTAACTTAGAGCATCACCACTCGAGTAACCTACAAAAAAAATGTTTATGATTAAATTAATTATAAAATTAAATGAAAATAATAGAATAGCTGTATAGGGTACTTATGTTACAAATAGAGAAAAGAGGATCGATTCTTCAATTGCCTATAGAAGTATCGATTCTTTTAATTGTGGGCCCTTTTTTAGTTTTTTATTTTATTTTTGCTTTACAAAATCAATTAGTACCTGTATAAAGATTGCCAGTGGAGATGGCCTTATGGACTAAGTTTGCTTACATCATTATATATTTATATATACTACATATCTCAATAGTCCTATTTTGACCAATATCAGTTATTTAAAATTCATCAGATTGGAGCCTTGAGACATCATTTGTTTCTTCTTCTTTTGTACTTTATTATTTAACCGATGATTACATCCAAATTAATCCTAATTTATTATAGACTTGTGAATAATCAAGAGTAATAATTTGGTCATTCAATATAATATGAAATATTGTAAGTTGAAAAGAAAAAGAAAAACTCAATGGAGCGTCGTTTTGAAAATCGAGTTGATGTATATATGTGCAGAGTGCATACCACAAAAGTTCGAATTTGTGGGTAAAATCAAAGAAGCTTTGAAAAAGTGTGTATATGTTTTGAGATGAAAAATACTAATAAACACTTACTATATTACAAAGTTACAAAGTAACGGTCACATATTGGACCGTTATGTGAGGAAAGGTTTGAAGCCCCATTTGGGCCAGCCAGCACTCACCAGTTAGCAGCTGCTGCAGCCCCCACTGCACTGGCTGCTCGCTCGTGTCCAGCTGTAGTCTTCATTGCTCCCCAAAGTTTACTTCGCAAGTGGCACCACAAGTCTCCACTTTATCTTCTTACTTCTTCTTTAATATATGCTATTTGTTTACCAATATTCAACTTGATTATTAATTTATTTACCAATATATTAAGAAATATAGAAGTTTATATTTCTACAAAACTATGTACAACAAATTGAGTGTTTCACATTATTGGGTTCAAAGGTTTTCACCTCACATAAATTACTACAGAATAGCATTAGCTCGATATGCTATATACGTGATATATATATACGTAGGTGCAACTTATCCTAAAAAGGACATCTAGTAATTTAATTTGAACTAATCTGATTCTCCACCCATAAGATTTTGTAGATTCTTCTTTTTCTTCTAAATTTCATTAGTGAAATAAAAATTGAAAAGTGCAAACGCGTTAAAGCCGACTCTATAACGCTCGTTTTATTTTATATATATTTTTAGATTTTGTTGCTTTTATATATAAAGTTATTTTTTTGTTTAGTCATCATAAAGTGTCTTTTATATATTTGGGTTTAAAAGATAAAATTGTTGGTCGGTCAGTCTACTAAATCAGCTTGAGGTAGGGCTTTTCGCTCATATATCATGTTATTCATTTCGTAATATTAATTAATTTATCGAGTTCCTAGTTAACTCGCTCTTGTATGATAATTTGATAAAAAAGGTTATTTTCGTGGTTCTATATTAGTGTGTGAGTTCCTATTACACTATTTCCAATCATTTCTCCTTATCCAATTTCATAAACAATGAATACATGCTCTCTAACATGTAACTATGTAAGTGTTTTTAAGATTTACATACGATCGATAAGTACTATTCGAGATATACAGATGGTTGCACAACAACGAAAAACATGAAACGATATTTGTTAGCACTACTAGCTCATCTACAAACTAAAATCTATTTACCTTATAAGAGAAGATATTTTTAGTCTATGGATACACACAAGTTGAACGAAAAGAGCCACATCATAAAACTTGGGTTGGTTTTGGTGTGAAAATGCTGCAAATGGTTGCACCACAAATCTCAGACATCGTTGAATCAGAGTCTTGGCCAAGAAATTTCGTAGAAACAGCGAATGAACAAAACGACAACTGCATTCAACTATAAAGTTTTGTCATGGGTAACCGTCAACTAGTGATGGGTAACCGTCATTTTCATCCAACGGTAATAGACTGTGAGTTTCTTCTCAACTCACACTCACGCACCACCGTTCGCGTTCGAGATTATTCAGTAGAACAAAACTTGACGTGTCGTTCAACAAAGCTATGACTAGAGTTCACGCGCTATAGTTCGCGGCTGTGGATAATGCCATCTCTAGTTCCGGTAATTTCTCGAGTATCGCAACGGTTTTAAGGAGAATCTACACTGAAGATCCGTTACTTGTGCACCGGCCAGAGCTTACAAGGCACGACACGTGTCACTTCTAAAGTACGTTGAAATTTTTGATCTTCTCGGTTCTTCTTTTAATTTTGTTCGAGTGAGGAGATAATGTGAATGGATAAAATAGGTATGTAAGGAGACAAACTATAATAAATGTTTGATACATACTAATCTTTGACTGTTTCTATTAAAGAAAACAAAAAGGAAATGATAATTAATTAAGCAAAATATACGAAATTATATATATTCGGTAGATAGAATGACTTACCAACTAAATATCCTAAACGTGTGTTTGGTAATTAGTCAAATACGCGTACGAGGTTGTTTAATCAGTTGTTTAATACTTTGCTCAAAAGTATGGTTCTTTGTGTTATTGTTCTACGTGAGTAGGTTTCGTGAGTTTGTGACAAATGTTTAACCACAAGACCTGTAAAATAGTTCACACTAGACTGAGTATGGTCAACAAAAGTTTGATCGGGTGTACTACTACCGTGTTTGATCGAAATGGGTCACAAACGCTGAAGGTAAACCACAAAAGCATAAACTCGAATCACAAAGCCCATAAAGCTCGACAAACGATTTGGTTCAATATTTTCAATGTGGGCTTCTATTTCAACATTGGGCCCTGCTGAACTACGTTCACTATGTACAAAGGGCTGGTGTAATGTATAAACAAGTGTTTGTTTTTTACATCCCACATCGGAACCATAAGCTATCTAAGACCTAGCTAAGCTACTATAAGTAAGAGATGGAGGACTAGTATTACAATTTGCCTTAAACTAATGAGTAAGGAAAACAAAGCGGTCGGTGAGAACCGGTCGCAGCGCTAACGTAAAACAACAAAGTTGCGCAAGAATTTATGGAGGGGTTATAGGCTGGCCGATGTGTTGACGCTGCTTACTTTTGCAGAACTCACCTCGTGCGGGCCTCCCTACACCCGTCCCCCAATTATTCCTAGTTCCCCAAATTTTAAAAACTCTAATCTGTGTTATTACTGTTTGATGATGCATAATTTGGTATTTTCCATGAATAAGCCAATTTATAGGGACTTCGGAGCAATAAGGTGAACTTTGATTACAGCTCATCGTGTGGATTCGAGAGCTATCTTTTAACAAAACTCTATTCCCGAATATTTGCAACTTCGTCCTTGTAATTTGTTTTCTTTCTAGAAAAAACACATAACTTATTTACTTTTGCTTCCGAGTCTAAAATAAAACGATTTTGCTGTGGTTTTTTCTCATCCCAAAAAAAAAAAAAAATGGAAGAAGAAGCTGATTTAGCGAAGAGTCCGAGAAGAAATTTAAGAAGGATTAAAGGAGATGGTATGCAGGATTCAGAGATGATTAGTAAACCTTATGAGGTTTATGGTTTTGTAGGATCCATTTTGACTGTTGTTGCTACTGTGATCTTCTTGATTTGGGGTTATGCACCAGAGATGTTGTTAGAGTCTTTAGGGATTTCTCATTATTATTACTACTACCCAAACAAGTACTGGGCTTTGGCGATGCCTTTGTATTTGATGGTGACTCTGTTTTTAGTTTTGGGGTTTTACATTGGTCTCAACTTCATGTCTACTTCATCGCCAACCTCTTTCTATACTTTGTTTGGTGAGACATCTGACTCCTTTTTTTTTCACTTTTTGTTGATTTGTAGAATTGTTTTGTGAAAAAACTGTTTCTTGACATTGTAATACTAAAGCTAGCATATCAATGTGTTTAAATCTTAGGGGAGTTTTGGTTGCGATGGTGACAATTCTTTGGCTATTTTGTTTTGTTTTGCTGGTTATGACAGATGAGTACAGCACAGAAGATGGAGATTTTGTTCATCTGGTGAAGAAAGAGGAAGACAAGCCAATTGATCCAATCTCTGACATTGATATTACAAGAGCTAACGTTCTTATGTTCGATTCAAGACATGCCAAGTGATGTCCTTTGTTCGAATTTCGCTGAGGTAAGTAAAAAACCAGCCTTTGGTTCCGAGAGAGAATTGTGGATTTTGAGTATTTCAGTTCCAAGTGTTATGAACTTACAACTCTGTTCCTTTGAGATAATGAATTGAAGAATCCTCTCAGGTGAATTGGTTCAGTCTGTGTAAAAGCTAGTTGTTTCAAAATTTATCTAAGAATTCCAACTTACTCTGAACTTATAGAGCAGATATAAAATGAAAGCCAGTCGTAATGTTGAAAAGTCATTAGATGTCAACATCCTTGCCATAAACTAATTTATTTGTGTGGGACTCTATAGCTGACCAAGAAAAATAAGAATAATCAAAGTCCTCTATATGGAAACAGAGTGGTCTGAAATCAACGACGCCGATGTCTTTTTCTATCGTCTATCATATTTTATTAATTTGATAATTCCATTACTTTTTCACCTAAAACACTTCTTCAGCTTTTAGCTTTGTTGTTGCTTACTGAAAATTTCTCTCACCATGGGGAATCTCTTTTCTTGCCAATGTTCTGGTGATGCAGTGTTGGATCGTATCATTAGATGTTTATCTGATAAAGGTTATATTCCAAACCTCAAGAAGAATCTCAGGGCTTTGGAGAGGGAAATGGAAGATCTCAGAGCAATAAAAGATGAGGTGCAGAACAAGGTAGCGAGAGAGGAGACACGCCATCAACAAAGGCTTAAAGCTGTCCAGGTATGGCTTGACCGTGTCGATAGCATTGATATAAAGTGCAAAGATTTACTTAGTATCGGGCCCGTTGAGCTTCAAAAGTTGTGTCTCTGCGGTTTATGTTCAAAAAATGTATTTTCAAGCTACAAGTATGGGAAAAGGGTTTTCTTGTTATTGGAAGAGGTTAGAACGCTCAACTCGGAGGGTAAATTTGACGAGGTTGCTCAGCCGCCTCCAAGATCTGAATTTGAGGAGAGACCTACTCAGCATACGATTGGTCATGAAGAAATGCTCGCGAAGACATGGAACCGCCTTATGGAAGATGGAGTCGGAATCATGGGTCTGCACGGTATGGGTGGTGTGGGTAAAACTACCCTTTTCAAGAAAATCCACAATAAGTTTGATGAAATACCTGGTACGTTTGATGTTGTGATATGGATCGTGGTGTCTCAAGGCGCAACGACATCAAAGCTTCAAGAAGATATTGCACAGAAGCTACTCCTTTGTGGGGACGAGTGGAAGAACAAAAATGAATGTGATAAGGCCGCTAAGTTACACACTGTTTTAAAGGGGAAGAGATTTGTTTTGATGCTAGATGATATATGGGAGGAAGTGGATTTAGAAGCCATTGGAATTCCGTTTCCAACCAGAGAAAATGGATGCAAAGTAGCATTCACCACTCGTTCCCGGGAAGTATGTGGACGGATGGGGGACCATGAACCAATGCAAGTCAAATGTTTGAAACAAGATGAAGCATGGGAATTGTTTAAAACCAAGGTCGGAGACAATACCTTAACTAGAGATCCTGGCATTGTCAAGCTTGCAAGAAAGGTCACTGAAAAATGCGGTGGTCTGCCACTGGCGCTTAATATCATTGGCAAGGCAATGGCATCTAAAAATACAGTACAAGAATGGGAGCATGCCATCAATGTTCTAACTAAATCTGCTGCAGAGTTTTCTGACATAAAAAATAAAATTCTTCCGGTTCTCAAGTTCAGCTATGATAGCTTGGGGGATCAACAATTACAGTCTTGTTTCTTGTATTGTGCTCTGTTTCCAGAAGATCATCAGATACCTATAAAAGACTTAATACACTTATGGATATGCGAGGGATTCCTTGGGGAATACCAAGTTATAAAAGAAGTGTATAATAAGGGTTATGCAATGCTTGGTACAATTATCCGTGCAAATTTAATAACAGAGGTTGGTACAGCAGTAGTTGTAATGCATGACGTGGTTCGTGAAATGGCTCTGTGGATTGCATCTGAATTTGGGAAACAGAAAGATAATTTCGTTGTGCAAGCAGACGTTGGATTAGTTGAAATACCAAAAGTAAAAGATTGGGGAGCTGTGAGAAGGATGTCTTTAATGGAAAATGAGATTGAAGAGATAAGATGCAGTTCCAAGTGTTGTGAACTTACAACTCTGTTCCTCCAAGGAAATAGATTGAAGAATTTCTCAGGTGAATTCCTTCAGTCTATGCAAAAGCTAGTCGTTTTGGATTTATCAAAAAATTACGATTTGAGCGAACTTCCAGAGCAGATATCAGAGCTGGTCTCCTTGCAGTTTCTTGATTTGTCGGAAACATGTATAGAGCAACTGCCGGTTGGTCTCCAAGAGTTGAAAAAGCTAACTCACTTGAATTTACATTCTACAAAGAAACTTTGTAGCATAAGTGGGATATCTACATGGTTGCTGAGCTTAAAATGGTTGAGTCTGGTAAAGTCTAATGTTCATGGAGATGTTAGTTTATTTAGGGAGTTGAAGCTTTTGAAGAATCTACAAGAGCTAGACATAACGGTTTCAGCGGAGTTAAGTTTGGAGCATATACTATCAGGGGATCAAAGGTTGGCAAACTGCGTAATTGCTCTAGAGATTATTGATTTTCAAGAAAAGCCACTCGATTTATCATCCCTGAAGAGAATTGAGAATCTGACAGTCCTAACGGTGGAAAGTAGTCATGTCTCGGAGATTAACAATCCGACAATTCCATGCTTTACCAACCTCTCATACATGGAAATAAACAAGTGCCATAGCATGAAGGATCTGACTTGGCTATTGTTTGCTCCAAATCTTGTCACCCTACTGATTAGAGATTCAAGAGAAGTGGAAGAAATATTAAATAAAGAGAAAGCAACCAATTTCAAAGGTATTACCCCATTTCTGAAACTAGAATACTTAATTGTGAAAAATTTGCCAAAGCTTGAGAGTATCTGCGGGACTCCTCTCCCCTTTCCGGTTTTGAGGCGCATAGGTGTATTGGATTGTCCAAAGCTGAGAAAGCTGCCCTTAAATGCTACAAGTGTCCCACTACTTGATGAATTTGGAATAAGTATGTATCATCCAAAACAGATAAATGAGCTTGAATGGAAGGACGAAGATACCAAAAATCGATTCTTGCCTTCAATCAACCGGGTAATTAATTAGTACTCGTCATTCTCTTCCGTTTGAGTTATAACTTTTTCATTTTTTTCAAGTTTATTTGAGTAATCATTTCTTATTATCGAATCAGAGCTATTTTTATTTTCTTACACGAGAGAGATATTACTATATTAGATGGCATGCATAATAGAGAATTTGGTTGTGCCTCTCAATTCAATGCTTTCCACTAAAGTGTTTCTAACATGCTTTCATTTTTTTTTTCCACAAAAGGGATTGGCCATTTTCTAAAGATTCATACTCAGGATTGGGAATCCTCCCTGTCTGGCTAAAACCAGAATCCTCACACTTCTGCTTCTACTACTTTAGATTGTTCTCTCTTTCTTCCTCTTCTAGTGTTTGTGTGTGTTGTTAATTTGGATTTAATGTTATTCATTTTCATATTGTATTTCTTATTGGATTTTACGTTTGGGATTTGAGCTTTGTATCTTCTGCTCTTTCATCTTGCAGCGTGCATGTTTGTTTGTGTTATTCATTCATTTGGGCGATGGTTATTTTTGTTATATGTCATGTGTCTAAGTTCTTATGTTCGATTCAAGACATGCCAGGTGAAGAAGGCCTTTGTTCGAATTTCGCTGAGAGGTAAGTAAAAAACCAGCCTTTGGTTCCGAGAGAGAGAGAGAATTGTGGATTTTGAGTATTTCTTTAGGTTATGTTTCTTTTTTCTTTAAGGATATCTATTTCTTGATTTTGGAAATTGCAGTTCCAAGTGTTCTGAACTTACAACTCTGCTCCTTTGAGATAATGAATTGAAGAATTTTTCAGTTGTTTTAAATTTATCGAATGATTCCAACTTCAGTGAATTTCAAGAGCAGGTATCAGAGCTAGTCTACTTGCAGTATTTTGACTTGTCTGAAACTTCTTCTGGACTTTGTAGTATCAGAGGGATATTAAGGTTGCTGAGTTTAAGAATGTTGAGTCTGCCAAAGTCTAATGTTCACTGGGATGTTAGCTTATTGAAGGAGCTGCAGCTCTTGGAGAATCTGCAAGATATAGCTGGCATAACGGGTAAAAAAATATATGATCCATAGTTTACTTAATTGTGAAACACACTGATTTTTTGTGTGTGTGTGTGGTTTTTAATGTATATGTCAACTGCTCTCTTTTATGGATTCCAATTAACTCATTCTCAAACTCTCAAGAGAGCCAAACCACATAGAGAAAGATATCACTGCATTAGTTAACAAGTAAAGGCTATTTTCTGAAGAATCTCCAAAACATGTATAGTCAAAACGAAACAATTACTCCATTTTGTATTGTTGCATTTAGCTTTTATCTTCGTTTTCAGTTATCACTACAGCCTATTTTACATGAACTCAGTATCTCTCTGCTCATTATTTTATTCATAGGCATGAACTCAGGCTCCACCGTGATCATGCATAATATTAGTTCTGATATATTGTTTAGACTTTTTAATTTCTTTTGTAGCATTCAGTTTCAAGTACAAAAGAACAACATTGAAAAGTCATTAGATGTCAATATTTCAATGCTTAATTACTGGTTCAGAAAGAAAGAGTTTTTTTTTTTTTTTTTTTTTTTGAAAACTAGAAAGAAAGAGTTTAATTTTTACTCTATATAGTCTATACTAAAATGAAAACGAGTCGTCGCTTTGAAAAGTCAATAGATGTCACTATAATTGCCAGAAACTAATTTGTATGGACTCTAGGTATTTGATGGCAACTCTGTTGTTAGTTTTGGGGTTTTACATTGGTCTCAACTTCAACCCCAACCTCTTTCAATACCTTTGTTTGAGCCATCTGACTCATTTTTTCACTTTCGGTTGATGTGTCGAATTGTTTTGTGTAAAACTGTTTCTTGAGATAGTAATAGGTAAAGCTAGCAATGTTTTTAAATCTTAGGGTGGAGTTTGGTTGCGATGGTTGCTAGTGATAACAGATGAGTACAGCAGAGAAGATGGAGATTTTGTTCATCTGATGAAGAAAGAGGAAGACAAGCCAATTGATCCAATCTTCTGACCTTGATATTACAAGAGTTAAGTTTCTTATGTTCGTTTCAAGTCTTGCCAAGTGAAGAAGGCCTTTGTTTGAATTTCGCTGAGGTAAGTAAAAAAACAGACTCTGGTTCAGAGAGAGAGAGAGAGAATTGTGGATTTTGAGTATTTCTTTAGGATGTGTTACTTTTTTTTCTTCAAGGATATATCTATTTCTTCATTTTGGCATTTGCAGTTCCAAGTGTTCTGAACTGACAACTCATCTCCTTTGAGATAATGAATTGCAGTATTTTGACTTGTCTAATACTTTTTCTGGACTTTGTAGTATCAGAGGGTTTTCAAGGTTGCTGAGTTTAAGAATGTTGAGTCTGCCAAAGTCTAATGTTCATTGAGATGTTAGCTTATTGAAGGAGCTGCAGCTCTTGGAGAATCTACAAGATCTAGACTGGCATAGCTGGTAAGAAAATATATAATCCATAGTTTATATGACAGCAGAAAACACACTTTCTAAAGAAACTTTTTTACTTTAATTGTGAACCATGCTGAGATTCTTTTTTGTGTGTGTGTGTGTGGTTTTAGATATATATCCAGACTATGCAAAATGATGGAAATTTATTCATTCACAAACTCTTTTAAGAGAACCAAACCACATGGAGAAAGATATCACTGCTATCATATATATATCATCGCCATCATGTATAATATTGTTTCCAATTATTGTTTAGTCTTCTTAATTTCTTTTGCAGCATTCAGTTTCCTTATTTATAATGTTTTTTTGTTTGTACTTACAAGACTTTGATATCAGAGTGACATAAGGGCTTAATATTTATTTATTTATTTATTTATTCCTTTGTTCCTTATTTATTTATAATGTTCTATCATCACTCTGCTGTGAAAGAAATATTCTAAAATGAAAGCGAGTCGTAACTTTGAAAAGTCAATGTCAATATAACTGCGAGAAACTAGTTTGTATGGACTCTAGCTGACCAAAACGATAACAATAATCACATGGAAACCGAACGGTCTTTAATCGACGACACCAATGCCTCTTTCTATCTTTTCTATCTTAATTTCTTTGATAGTCTCTAAACTATTGGTATTGGAGCAAGACGATGTTACCTCCAATAATTTTTCACCTAAAACAATTCTTGAGCTTCAGCTTTTAGCTTCGTTATTTCTTACTGAAACTTTTCTCTCTTTATTATTAAATTTATGGGGACTTGTTTTTCTATCACTTGTACTATTGATGATCAAACACTGGAACGTATTACAGGTCTTACTAAAACTTTTCTCTCTTTCTTATGTGAGATCATCAACAGAAACTCTCGTGGAGTGGAGGAGATGCCTACTCACCCTACGGTTGGTCAGGAAGAAATGTTTGAGAAGGCGTGGAATCGCCTAATGGAAGATGGAGTTGGAATCATGGGTCTGCACGGTATGGGTGGTGTCGGTAAAACTACCCTTTTCAAGAAAATCCACAACAAGCTCATAGATGGTACGTTTGATGTTGTGATATGGATCGTGGTGTCTCAAGGCGCAACGATATCAAAGCTTCAAGATGATATTGCAGAAAAACTAGGCCTTTGTGGCGACGAGTGGAAGAACAAAAATGACACTGATAAGGCCACTAAGATATACAGAGTGTTTAAGGAGAAGAGGTTTGTTTTGATGCTAGATGATCTATGGGAGGAAGTGGAACTAGAAGCCATTGGAATTCCATTTCCATCAAAAAAAAATGGATGCAAAGTAGCATTCACCACTCGTTCTCAGGAAGTATGTGGGCAGATGGGGGATCATGACGCAATGGAAATCAAATGTTTGAAACGAGATGAAGCATGGGAATTGTTTAAAACCAAGGTCGGAGACAATACCTTAAGTAGAGATCCCAGCATAGTCAAGCTAGCAAAAAGGGTTGCTGATAAATGTTGTGGTCTGCCACTTGCGCTTAATGTCATTGGTAAGGCAATGGCATCTAAAACTACAGTACAAGAATGGGAGCATGCCATCAATGTTCTAACCACATCTGCTGCAGAGTTTTCTGACATGAAAAATAAAATTCTTCCAGTTCTGAAGTTCAGCTATGATAGCTTGGGGGATCAACAATTACAGTCGTGTTTCTTGTACTGTGCTCTGTTTCCAGAAGATCATCAGATATTTAAAGAAGACATACTATACTTTTGGACATGCGAGGGATTCCTTGGGGAATATCAAGTTATAAAAGAAGTGTATAATAAGGGTTGTGCAATGCTTGGTACCCTTATCCGTGCAAATCTATTAACGGAGCTTGGTACAGAAATCGTTTTGATGCATGACGTGGTTCGTGAAATGGCTCTGTGGATTGCATCCGATTTTGGGAGACAGAAAGATAATTTTGTTGTGCGAGCAGGAGTCGGATTACTTGAAATACCAAAAGTAAAGGATTGGGGAGTGGTGAGAAGGATGTCATTAATGAAGAATGAAATTGAAGAGATAACTTGCAGTTCCAAGTGTTGTGAACTTACAACTCTGTTCCTCCAGCGAAATAGATTGAGGAATATCTCAGGTGAATTCCTTGAGTCTATGCAAAAGCTAGTTGTCTTGGATTTATCGGGAAATCGCACCTTGAGTGAACTTCCAGAGCAGATATCAAAGCTGGTCTCCTTGCAGTATCTTGATTTGTCGGAGACAGGTATAAAGCAACTGCCGGTTGGTCTCCAAGAGTTGAAAAAGCTAACTCACCTAGGTTTATATTCTACAAACAAACTTTGTAGTATCAGTGGGATATCAAAGTTGCTGAGTTTAAGATTGTTGAGTCTGGTAAGGTCTAATGTTCATGGAGATGTTATTAGTTTATTTACGGAGCTGCAGCTCTTGAAGAATCTACAAGATCTACACATAACGGTTTCGGAGTTAAGTTTGGAGCAAATATTATTCGGGGATCAATGGTTGGCAAACAGTATAACTATTCTGGAGATTATAAATTTTCAAGAAAAGCCACTCGATTTATCATCGCTGGAGAGAATTGAGAATCTGAAATACCTATTGGTGGAAAGTAGTCATGTCTCGGATATTAACAATCCATGCTTTACCAACCTCATCTCCGTGAATATAAACAAGTGCCATAGCATGAAGAGAAGTGGAAGAAATATTAAACAAAGAGAAAGCAGCCAATTTTAAAGGTATTATCCCATTTCAGAAACTAGAATTCTTAGTGTTGAGGGATTTGCCGAAGCTGGAGAGTATCTGCTGGAGTCCTCTCCCCTTTCCGGTTTTGACAAGCATAGCTGTAAAGGATTGTCCAAAGCTGAGAAAGCTTTCCTTAAATGATACAAGTGTCCCACAACTTGATGAATTTGCAATATGGGAGGACGAAGATATCAAAAGTCGATTCTTGCCTTCATTTAATCGGGTAATTAATTGTTACTCTCATTCTCTTCCTCTGCTTGAATTATAACGTTCTTTTTACTAGTGCAATTTCTCAAGTTTGGTTCATTGGATCGCATAATAGATAATCTGTTGTAGTGTTGTGCCTCTCAGTTTCAATGCTTTCCACAAAAAGTGTTTCTAACTCAGGATTGGGAATCCTCACTGTCTTTCATTTTTTACACAGAGGGAATTGGGCGTTGTGTAAAGATGCATTACTCAGGATTGGGAATCCTCACTGTCTGTGTAAAACCAGAATCCTCACGTTTCTTCTTCTTCTTCTACTTTGTATGGCTTTCTCTTTCTCCCTCTAGTGTGTGTGAGTGTTTGTGTGTTGTTCATTTGGATTGCTTTCTCTTTCTTATTGGATTTTTTCGTTTGGGTTTTGATCATTTTAGTTCAAAATGCCAAGCTTTGTATTTTTTAACTCTTTCATCTTGCAGCGACTTTGTGTTATTCATTTATTTGGGCGATGGTTATTTTTGTTATAAGTCATGTCTAAATCGAAATGGCTCTCACAATCAGAGTATTTATTATATTTCAGAAACAGATGCATGCCACAAAATTAGATGCTAAATCATATAAAAAGAGTTTGTTTTTGCATGTGATTTTGCTGGAGTTCATTTTATAATTATTAAGATTATATATTATCAATTGCTAAAAAATATGGTCTCGTTGTTGCTAAAAAATAGTAAAATATAGATTTTTACCCGTATTGAAGTATGAAATTAATGATATATTTTTTATTAATATCAATTCAAACTCGTCACGTCTTATAACCCGTCTCATCATATAATCCATTGGAAAGTTATTACAACCTTTCATATCATATAATTTTCGAAAAATTAAACTCATGTTTAGCAAGGTCACTTTAGCATAGAGTTAAAATAATAATAACACTTAAATTTTTAAAATGTTTAAATTTTTTTAAAATATATATATGTAATTAACAACTTTACTCGTCTTACAACCCGTCTTGCCATACAATCATGTTTTGTCATATAATCGTGGAAAAATCAAACCATGTTTAAAATATGGCAGTTCAATAATATGTTAGTATAAATTTAGTGTAGAGTTAAAATGTTAATAATACTTAAACTTTTTAAAAGTTCCAAAATATTTATAATATCTACAACTTTATAATATTAATAATATTTCCTACTTTTTAGAGATTTTAGATATTTACAATATTTGGATGCATAAAAAATCCAGCTTCCTACTCATTTATATTTGGAAACATATGGTCTTATTTATAAAAGTTATGAACCATTGTCAAAAACATTGTCGACTCGATATGGGATGTTAAACATATGTTTTAAAATAATTTGTTATATACATCCATTTTCAAAAATTCAGATTGCAACATATTCAAAAAAATGTTTTTATTATTATTATACATATGTATTATGTAATAAAATAAATTAAAAAAATATAAGATCATATAAATGTATTGGACAAATATTTGAGAGAAATAAATTGAAAAGTAAGAAATTTATATTTTGTATGTATTATGGAGAGATTTTAGGAAGTTTGTTAAATGTGATTATTTTTATATTTTAAATAGAGTAATTAAAGCCAATGGCATAGCCTTGTAAATAACTTCCAACTCCAAAAGTTTCTTCAAAAAATCCTGAAAAAATGTTAATATAGATTTTTGGTGGAAATTTTAAATTTTTGGGAAAAAACAAAAACAATATATATAATAATAATAATAATCCAAATGAGGTTTTAAAACATTTGAGCTTTGTTTTCTTTAAACAGAGTTGCAAGATCTAATAAGTTTCTTTTTTTTGGATTGTATTAGTTCAATATAATTCCAGTTGACAAAAAAAAAAAAGCGAATCTTAATGTTGAAAAGTCATTAGATGTCAACATCCTTGCTATAAACTAATTTATTTGTGTGGGACTCTATAGCTGACCAAGAAAAACAAAGATAATCAAAGTCCACTGTATGGAGACCGCGTGGTCTGAAATTAAAGACGCCGATGTCTTTTTCAATCTTAATTTGATAATTTCCAGTATTTTTTAACCTAAAAGACTTCTTAATTTGAGCTTCAGCTTCCTTTTTGCTTACTGAAAATTTCTCTCACAATGGGGAATCTTTTTTCTTGCCAATGTTCTGGTGATGCAGTATTGTTGGATCGTTTCATTAGATTCTTACGTGGTAAAGGTTATATTCGAAACCTCAAGAAGAATCTCAGGGCTTTGGAGAGGGAAATGGAAGATCTCAGAGCAATAAAAGATGAGGTGCAGAACAAGGTAGCGAGAGAGGAGACACGCCATCAACAAAGGCTTAAAGCTGTCCAGGTATGGCTTACTCGTGTGGATAGCATTGATTTACAAATCGAAAATCTACTTAGTACTTGTCCCGTTGAGCTTCAGAAGTTGTGTCTCTGCGGTTTATGCTCAAAAAATGTATGTT